CCCTCTCCCAACAGTACCTTACATTGCATTGCCCTAATAGATCCGTCTCATTCCGATAGACCCCTGTTTCACCTCGGACTTCTCTCCCGCCCCACGGACCTCCATATCGCCCTCATTCACCCCTTCTCCCACCTGTGGACATCATGGTCTCCCTTCTCACCTTTGCTGACCCTTGTCTCGCCCTACGGCACCTCATTCCCGTACAGCCAGGGCCCAAATCTGCCCCCGTACATCACCCCATCTCATCAGCGTGAGTGTACCCTCCAGTCTTGCCCCACCCGCTTCCTCGCCCTTCTCGGACTCTGCCCCAGCTCGGTTCCAACCCCTCCACTTAGCGCTCTCAGGCCATCCTTCCCGCGCTCCCATCCAGCCCCAGGGGTGCCCAGCTCCTACCTAGGGTGCTCCCGGCGGGAGGCAGCCGGGTCCGAGGCCACGCCGACCACCAGTGCCACCAGCGCCAGCAGCGCGGGGCCATGGCTGGGACGGATCTGAGGGGCCGGACAGCAGACCTGATACCGAGGACTGCCCAGCGCTCCGCGCAGGGCGCGGGCTCCTATCCGGCCCCTCCCTGACCCCGCCCACAGGCTCGGGCCCGCCCCGAAGTCCCGCCTCTCACGCTCTGGGACAGCGCGGTGTGGCTGCTCCACCCCCCGCGCCTCCAAAGGATCCCGCCCCCAAAAGAGAGGCCCGCCCTTGGATCCACCCCCTCCTGCTGAAGGCCCGCCCCGGACTTCCGGTCCCTACGTGACTGGATAAATTTGTCCCCAGTCTTTATCCGCCCTCCAATTATCGGAAGTCTAGCGTTAAAGGAGAGCAAACCCTCGACGCAGTTTCACTCCCCGTTTGCAGAAAGGAACCAATTAGAGAGGAGTTACTTAGCCTCTCGTCGCTGGCTGATGACGCAAGCGCCTTCCCTTTTGATAGATATTCCACCTGGGCTGCCAACCTATCACCACTAGGTTCAAGCAACCTCGGAACTCTGAGAAAGGGGGCTCCTGTTGGAACTTGGCGGCCGTTTTCACCTACCAGGATCCTGTACAGGTGTGACCCCAGCAAGATGCTCCCGTAAGAAATGTCCAAACCAGTAGAGAATTTTTGTAAACATTTATTAGAGCCAAAATTGATGACAATTGCGAGGAAGCAAAATTTCAGATACTCCTGAGAATAAGTTTTGCCGTTTCTTTTGTGCGTTTGAAATTAGGGAACATAAGGACAGTTCCGTGAAGGTGGGAGAAAGCAAGGCAGGGATTGGACTGCACGGTGGCAAACTAGATTACGTTCTCTCTTGGGAGTGATGATGCCTGGCGAGGTATTTCGGCATTTGAAAAATGTGTTAACCTCGATGCGCAAGAACAATGTAATCGTGTACCCACCACCCAGATCAAGACTTTCTTAAAAACTTTCACTGAAGAAGTGATAGGCCCAGGGCGGGACGACCCACCAAGACCCGCCCATTTAGGATTTTTCCATCAGCCCCCGCTGTGAGGTTACTTTCCATAGAACGCCTTTTTAGTCCAGAGATCTTGTCTGGCCTCACCGCTTCCCTTTTCAATAGGTGAGAAAATGAGAGGAGCAGTTTGCCCAGGGGGGCTATGGACGGAGTCAGATCTTGACTCTGTCCAAGGGCTGGAAAAGTGTGAGGTCAGGGAAGCACTGGCCCCCAGTGCAAAATTAAAGAAAAAAACCCACGATGGGCAAAGTATATTTTTAGATGACAGGATCTGTGGTCACATCTGACCCAGTAAGCTTAAGGCCAGATTCGGCTTCCTCTTCTCCCAAGAGCCTCCTTGTCAAATGCTTCCTTGGACAAGACTTCCCTGACCCATCCTCTACAAGCTGGTTTAGAGCCCCTTCTGGTCCTCTTAACACTCCACCCCACTATTACTTACTACACTGCCTTATCATTTTTCATTATCTTTTTAATTGAACTGTAACAAACAGAAAAGTGCACAAATCAGAAGTGCACTGTTTGGTGAATCATCACAAGAATGTAATCATGTAACCACCACCCAGATCAAGAGGCAGAACATGGCTGGCCCCCTGGGGAACCCCTTGGGCCCCTTCCCATCACTTCCCCTCCCTCCTAATGTTCTCATTTCTAACACATCACTGTGTTTGTGCCTCTCCCACTAGACCAATAACGGGCAAACTATGGCAGGCCGCGTCCTACCCATTGGCTGGTTTTGTACGAGCCACAGGTTAATGGTTCTGACATTCTTAAATGGTTATTTTAAATGTAAAGAATAATGTTTTGTGACATGTGAAAATTACACACATTCATAAACATTTTATTAGAACACAGTCATGCTCGCTCCTTTACATATCTCTATGGCCGTTTCGCACTTGGACGGCACAAAATGCTTTGAGTACTCGTGACAGAGACCACATGATCCAAAAAGCCCAAAAGATTTACTATCTGGCCCTTTTCCAGAAATCGTTGGTTAACTCCTGTCCTAGACTACAAGCTCCAGAGGCTGGGGCCCACTCTCATTGACTCTTACATCCCAGAGCTTTGCATAGCACCTGGGGCACAGAAGATGGTCATAAAGAGTTTGTCTTAATGACCAAGTCATTTATTATCCTCTCACATGGGAGGAAGAGAAGGAGACTCAGGATCAGATATCCCAGAGGCACTACGATTGGTGGTGAAAAGCAGGGATTCTGGAGTCGGACACCCCGGGCTCAAATCCTTCTCCCGCTACCTACAAGCTCTATGCCATTGAGAAATGTAAACCCTCCGAGGCTATCTTCACAGTGTGTAGCACAAGGAAAAATATACAGCCAGGTCCTTGTAAAGATTAAAAATTAAATGGAATAGGTAAACAATGTGCTGTAAGTTTTGAGTAGATGTTAGCTATCATCATCATCATCAACATCATCAATATTATCACCTGATACCCCCGTGCACATTAGATCTTAGGTCGCTGCAGAGCCCTCCAAGGGCTTCATTCCCTCCTGTCACCTCCCCTCACCTCACAAGCCTCATGCGTCCCAGTCCACATTCTCAGAGTAACAGAAAATCCAGTCTCAGAGTAACCAAAGCGACTCGTCCCAGCTGCCTGTGGTACAGCCAAGTCTGGTACTAGGGCCTCCAGCGGCTGCCCATTCCCACTCAGACCCAGATCAATAACAGTGAGTCACTGATTTTTGTATTAGGGTGGTTTTAATCACGTGGGACGATGCCATGGGGCCTTTTCTGACATTGCATTTTTCATGTGGAGAACTGGCCATTTGATTAGTCCCGCTCATAGATCTCAAGGCCATTTCCGAGCTCCGGATGCACTTTGGAAGAGCAGCAGGAAGGTATAGCAGGCTGGGGAGGCTGCCAAGCCTGCCTGGGCCCAAGACAGCCGCTGGGATTCCAACTGCGCTCCATCAGCCAGCCTCCCCTCGGGGCGTGGACGGCTCCCTTACAATTGCTGACTGCGGGAGCTTAAGGAAGGAACCTGGTACAGAGGTGACAGCAGGATTAAGGGGCCAGTGAAGCTGTAGCTGCAGGACAGGGTGTGACAGGAGCTGACAGGAGTGGGAGAAGGGTCCGGAGGGGCAGATGGCAGCTACCCACAGAGCCACCTAAGGCCACACTGGAGAAGGGCTCTCCAAGGGAACAGGCTTAGAGAATGCCTTCCGCCCGCCATCTGCCCCTCCGCCCTGTCCCATTTGCTGGCCTCTCATCTGGGGCGGCAGGCCCTTCACCCCTGCAAGGACTTCACTGAAAACAAGGCAACTGTGTGCTCAGAAGGTGACTGTGCATTGTTCACCAGGGATGACCTTGCCCCCCAGGGGACACTCATCCGTGCCTTCAGACATTTCCATTGTCACCACTCGGACTCCTGACACGTAGCAGATAGTAGCTAGGGATGCTTCGAAACATCCTGCAAGGCACGGGATGGCCCGTCAACAAAGCATTATCCGGCCGAGATGTCACAGTGCAGAGGTGACACACCTCTGCTCTGGCCTCCTTCTCTGTCCCTCCATCAGCCTCTAGCTGGGCCCTTCCTTGCAGCCCCTCTTCCAGCCCCCTCTGCAGGGCGGCCCCAACCCCCTTTCAAGTCTGCCCACGTAGGCTGACTCTCGGTGGTGTCCCCAGCACCTGGACCTGTTCCTCGGGCTGGAGACAGCAGTTCCCTTACATCCCTGCCCTCTCACAGGCTGCAGAGGAGGCCGCCACAGCCCAGCCCGGCCAGGGCCGCCAGCTCTTGCCTCTGCACCACACACTCCTCCTCCTCCTCCTTTCCTCTCTAAGGCCAGCTGTCCCCCAGGCCCTATGCCCATCACCCCTCTGGCCTCAGTCCCCCTCCCAGGGATTTTTCTCTCGCTCACTTGATAGTTCTCCCAGGTCCACCCCTAAATGACAGGGAACAAAGCAGACTCTGGAACTAGCCAAGACCATGCTCAAAGCTACTTGTACTCTTTCTCCCCTTCCTTCCAGAACCTGGAATGTTCTCTTTATAAAAGAGAACACATGCAATTTGACCTTGCTGATGCTGTGGCTCTTGGGAGCTCCTGGCTGGGGTCTGGCACAGGCTTCTCCGGCTGACCAAAGGTAACCGCCCCTGTGGTCCCTGGGGAGAGGGCTCCTTAAGGGACAGAGGCTCCAAGGGCACGAGAAGAAGCAGTGGCCAAGTGTGCAACTCGCCTGGTGCCAGGGAGGCCCTAACTGAGGGCTGGCTGTGCTCTCGATGCCCCCTCCTGGCCCGCCCCCTGCACAGGCTCTCCTCACCCCATCACCCTCCCTCACCCCTGCCAAGGCTCAGGCAGAGTTGGGGAGGAATCCAGCTGTTCAGTCCTAGACGGAGTGGGCCAGCATGCCCAGCGTCCCCAGCCACCTCTATTCCTTTCCTCCAGGCAGCCCTCAAAGCCCAGAAAAGCAAGCAGGGCAGGTGACCCTCCCGTGTGGAGCCCCCAGCACCAGCTTCCTGCCTCCCTGCCCTCCCAGGGCCTTTGTGCTCCAGGTCCACCACCAGCAGCCCAGCCACACCCGAGGGGGAAGGGCAAGCAGAAGCAGCAGAGCCGGGGCTGGGCCCCGGAGGGCAGCAGTGTGGCTGTGCCAGCCCGCCCCTCATTGCAGCCCCACCAGCTCGGTGATGGGAGGGGTCTGCACCATGAGCTCCTCGTAGTGACTGAGAAACAGCCCGAAGCGAGCCAGGTAGGTGTCCTCGTTGTAAGGCAGCTGCTTCTCCCGCAGGAACTGGGATACCACAGGCTTCACCTGCCAGAGGGTGGGGGAGGGGGCCGCTGAGCCGGGACGCAGGGGTCCTTTCCTCTTCCCAGCCCCAGCTCCTGTCTGCCTTGCTCCATGATGCTCTGCGGGGCCTGGGCAGCTGGGAGAATTCCTGCCTCTCCCCCTCCCAGCAGGTGAGGGAAGGGCCACATCCACCGCCCCCCAGCCTGGCTCCCAGCTACATGACAGTCCTCCTTGCTTCGGATCCCTCTCACCAGCACCTACGGTGCAGCACCTACTGTGTGCCCAGCATTTCAGATCTATTTCTCCACTTCCTACGCAAAGCCTGTCAACGTGAGCACCGCTCACTCCCCTGCCACAACAGACGGGGAAGCTGAGGCTCAGAGACGACCAGTGACCTCGCTGAATCGCACAGCTGATAAGAAGCCCAGGCGTCTTTGAGTGGAACCCCACACTCTGCTCGTACCCTGGGTTGCCTCTCCTGCCAGTTGGGGGACTCAGTGTTCAGGCGAATACTGAAGAGTGGCCACCCCCTGCTCTCCAGCAGTGTCCTCATCCCAGCCCCTCCGGCTCCACCCCCGCCTACCTTCAGGCACATGTGGTCGGAGAGCTTGGGGAAGAGGTGGTGCTCCACGTGGCAGCTGACGATGGAGTGGCCGAAGGCCCAGTCCAGCAGGGGCAGCCGCGGCAGGTTGAGCACCCCCAGGCTCATCATGTGGATCCGCCGGGGCTTCTTGTCCCGGGAGAACATGGGCAGCCCGATGTGCTGTGACAGACGCGTGGGTCACCGCCCGAGCTGGTCCCACACCTCCCAGCCTGCCCCGGGCGCCTTCACTGAGCACGAGGGTCCTTGTGCCCCCACGCCCGCAGACCTGCTAGCGGCTTGAGGAGGCTGGGCCCCGAGCACGCCTCGCCCATCTCTGGGCCTCCCTCCCGGCCTGTGCAATGAGGGGCTTGGCCCGGGCGCCCCTCGGGTCCCAGGACCCTCCAAAGCTCTCAGCGCCCACTGTTCACGCTCCTGTCACTGTCTGAGCTTCATCCTGGAGAGGCCCTGTTCTGCTGCTTTCACCAATCAGAAGCCTGCTTGTCATTCAAGGTCAAGCTTACATAGCTACAAATATTTTTTCATCCATCGAGTTTACATAAATGCCTCCTCCGCCAGGCACCATCCTAAGTCCAAGGGACGTGAACTGAATGGAGCTTCCATTCTAGCAAGTCGGGCCCCGTGCCACACCTGGGGTTCTGTCACCCAGGCGGCTGAGGTGAGTGCTGGGATGGAGCCACTCACACCGGCCTGGGGAACAGGAGGCCTTTGTACCATGTGCTGAGCCCTGCCCTTCCAGCTCCACTGTCTGCCTGCCTCTTGGCCGGAGCTGGAGCTCTGTGACGGTCCCCATGCCCCTGCCCTGGGGGTTGTCACAGTAAGTGCCCTGAGGACAGGGGCCAAGGCTAATCTCTTGTGTCCCCACGGGGCTTAGTCAAGTGCCCTGTGCATAGAAGTTTCTTAACAAGTCTTCAATCCCCATGTGAATGACAGCCAGTGTTGAAAAGCAGCAAATTCCTCACCTGAGACCAAAACTCTCTGTGGGGACCCGCAGAGAGAAAAGTAGATGGCCAGGTGGGAGGTGGGGGGGTTGCTCAGGTGATGCTCTCCCAGCCCCCAGCACCTTACCTGGAAGATGTTGACGTGGAGGTAAGGGTGGGCCAGCAGAGATCTGCTGCTCAGCATGCAGACCAGGGCTGAGCCGGGGCTCTGGAAACCAGACACAGTCAGGAGCAGCCAGTAATGAGAATAAAGGCCCAGGGAGATCAGGCCCAGCGTCCGCAGGGCAACCCTGGGCTTCGCCTTCCTCAGCCGCTCTGCCGGAAGGGGCAAGAAATACAGGGGCGGGGGCGGGCAAGGTTCAGATCCATAAGCTGGTGCCCCGGGGGGCTCAGCGGTGCTAAGTAGGGGGAGCTAGGTGTGTTCATGCACACGCAGCCCTGGGAAGTGGATTCACCCACGTTATGGGTGAGCCAGTGGAGCATTAAGCAACTTGACCAACGTCACACTGGTAGTAAGTGGTGGCGTGGGGCTCCAACCCAGGGCCGGCTGCCCCCCAGCCCCTGCTCCTTCCACCGTGACATTAAGATTCTAGTGTGCCATGCAGAGAGAGGCACTTACAAAACACTTTTCCGTCCATGACCTGGTACTGCTTTCCCACCACTCCCGAGGAGCAGGTGAGAACCTGAGGCTCAGAGAGGTTAAGTGAGCTGCCTGTGGTCAGTACCCAGACTTGGCCCTGGCTCTGAGGCTCTTTCCACCCTGCCTGGCTGTCTCAGAGAGTTTCTGGGTTCCCTCAGGTCTCCTGGCTTCCTCTACAGGCAGCCTGCAGAGGTGGAGAAGGGAGGGAAGGCTAGAAGGGTGAGCCGCCCTGTGCAGGGCACTCCAGCCCCGGCCCCAGCCCCGGCCCCAGCCCCCGCCCAGCCAGGCCCCAGCCTACTCACCGACAGCCACCAGAGGGGTTAGGACAGGAATCAAGAGAGGAGCGAGGAACATGTAGACATAGCGGTTGAGGCGAGGCACCTTCCACGTGCTGGAGTCCCCCAGGCCCAGCACGTTGGTGTAGCCGTGGTGCATTTTGACGTGCCCGTGCTTGGCGTCCTCTGCAGGGAAGGCCGTGCACACCTACCAGAGGGGCCAGCAAGGGCACCGAGGTCCACGTCAGCCCAGTCAGGCAAAGCGGGACCTTTGGGAGCCTCAAGAACACCCCCTGTCCAGGGCCCTACTGCCTGACTCACACCCCCAGCTCATTAGCCCTGCCCATCAACTCTCAGGTGTCGGTGGCCATAGAGTGGCAGCCAGCCAAAGCAGCTGTGTCCACTTGGGGTGGCACTGCAAAGTACTAGGGAGCAGGCGGCCAGCCCCACCCCCAACTGCCACTCTGCCACTGACCATCCGGACAAGCCTGCAAGCTCGAGAGGACTCAACACATGGCAGGTTGAGTTCCTGGCACCAGGCTACGATTATTTTGTGTGTCTCTTAGAAGCATCTGTACCTCCATAGCACTGCTTTGCATCCCGAGCCTGCAGCAGAAAGGGCGGGGTGTGTGAGTGGTCCTGAGGCAGAGAGGCCATCTCCTAAACTGTCTAGGAGGGTGGCACTTGGGGTGAGGGTGCCGAGGGCTAGCGTCTCCCTAGGGGTGGCTCTACTGTGGCATTCAAGGGGTTCTCTGAAGCTGGTTCTGAGCAGCGGCTCTGAATCCGGGACCAGTCATCTGGATGCAAAGAGGGGCTGAGGCATTTCTTATGCAGATACATGCAAATGAACATGCAGATGTCAGCCTCTTGCATTATTTTACCCAGGCCAGGAGATTTGCTAATCGCACTGGAGACGCTGCCTGCCTGCTTCCAGGAGAACGTGAAGTGGAAGGTTTTCCAGTGCCAATCACTGTGAGCCTTTTACAGAGAGTGGAGGTGAGTACTCAGCGTTCTGCACTTCACGTACGTGACTTGTTAACCTTCCAAGCCCAGGGGTCAGTGGTGGTATCATCCACAGTTGACAGAGGCAGAAACCCAGATACAGAGAGGCCAGGTGGCCACCCAGGTCACTCAGCCAAGTAGGTAGCTGGGGGGGGGGGGCAGAATTTGAACCCAGCTTTCATCCAAGATAAGCCACAAGGCCCCTTCAGTAGAGGTGGATCCCAGAGAAGACAAGATGACAAGGGCCACCACCCTCACATTCTGCGCTCAGAGACTTCCTCCTTTGGAACAAAATGAAGACGAAAGGTCATCAGAAGCTCTATCTAAAGGACACTGGGGAGCACAGTTAATAATGTCACAAGGGGCAGTTTCACAACAGACAGGGCCCAGGGCCCCCGAGAAAGCAGAGGGCAGGAAGGTAAATGCTAATTCAGCCACCGCCCTGGAGCCCACAGGACCAGCTGCTTTGCTCTCGGGTGACGCAACCCCCTGGGCGTGGGATTTGCTGTTTCTGTAACCTTGCACAGGGACAGAACCTGGGAGAGGCTGCAGGCGGTGGGCAGGCAACGTGTTGGCCAAAGCAGTGACTCTTCCGGGCCTGCTGGTCTCCAAGGACCTGCGTGCTGAGAGCACATGCCCGTTGGGGCTCCGTGGTTGGTTCGAGTTAGTGGTGGCCATCTTCGGCAGTGGGCACAAGGGGGCCGCAGCCAGGGTCTGTTGGGACGTCCTGAGATGGACCTGCCTCTGCCGAGGTGTCTCAAACCTCACGGTCTATCCCATGTAACTGGATGGGGCCGCTGTTTGTAACGGCTCCTTCCGCGCCCTCCTGCTCCAGGGCCAGTCCTCTGCGCATGGCTTCTTTCCTCAAGCAACACCAGCTGAGTCGTCGGGAAACCAATAAATACGTGCTGGCGAGGCCTCGGAGAAATGGAACCCTCAGGCACTGCTGGTGGGACCGCAGATCGGTGCAGCCAGCGTGGAAAACAGTATGGGGGCCCCTGAAAACTAAAAATAGGGCTGCCATAGGATCCCCCCAGTGGAACTGCTGGGTATTTACCCGAAGACAGCAAAACACTAACTTGGGACAGTATTCGCATCCCTCTGTTCACTGCAGCGTTATTTACAACGGTCAAGGTATGGAAGCAGCCCGGGTGCCTGTCAGTGGACGAGTGGATAAAAAAGGTGTGGCACCATGGAATGCGACTCAGCCACGGAAAAGAACGAAATCTCGCATCTGCGCCAACATGGAGGGACCCAGAGGGCACTATGCAAAGGGAGGTAAGTCCGAGGGACAGGCACTGTGTGATCTCACTTACACATGGAACCCGAAAAAACACGGTGAATGAACAGCACAGAAAGAGACTCATTGACACCCAGTATCTGCCGAAGGGAAGGAGGTGAAGGGTGGGAACTAGGAGAGGTCAGCTGTCCACCTCATGACAAGGGTGGTTTTCCTTCTGGCGCAAGCTCTGCATCGCCTCCCGGACCAGAAGCTGACCACGCTCGCAGCGGCCAGGTCAGAGATCACAGAGCCTGAACCAGAGGCCTGCCCAGGCTCCCGGCGAGGTTCCCAGCCACATGTCCAGACCTGAGGGTGAAGGGGAGACGGGCTCCCTGCGCTGTGCATCGAGTATGACGTGTGACTCAGGACACAGCCTGTTTACGATTTGCCTTTTATATGCACACGAACAGGTTTGAGGCCGTTTCTATAACGCTGGAATTCTCACTCCTATCGAGATGTTCTCCGGTGGTTGTAGGAGAGAAGGGGAGACGGCACGCAGACTGCAGCATGTCCGAGCGCATGCGCACCCACCAACTGGAGCCCGGCAGGCCCCTCTGTTCATGGGCCACCGGCTGCGGTAGTGGAAGAACGGGCCGTCCTGCTGGAAAGGAGGATGGTGGAGACCTTGTTTAAAGGTCTCGCCCAAGTGGATTCCACATGCAGACCCAAGAGAAAGTTCCGGAAGCCTCAAGGCTGGTGGTGTTCTTGATGTCACCACCCTCTGTGCTTCTCAGCAGGACCCCAGAGCCCCAGTCTCTCCACAGCAAGTGGCCGGGCCGCGGGAGGGGTGCGTCTGTGCAGTTCCTCTCCACGCGTCCTATCAGCTGAACGGGGCCCCAGCTCTTCCACTTATTCATTCATTCTCTCCCTCATGCATTCTTTTTTCACGTTGTTTGTCCGCCAGAATGTCCTCGGACCTCTGCCACCGGCCAAGGGGACTTTTCTGAGGCACCTGATTTGTTTTTTGAACAGGAAATGTGTTTGCGTAATTTGGAATTCAGAAGGTGTGCGGGGCAGGCCCTCTTCCTCCCGTTCCCCAGCAGCCCTGGCAGGTAAGGGAGGCTCTCGGTTCTTACCTGTCCTCTGATCTTTCATTTGATTGGAAGGGCAGGGACAGGATGAGCAGGCCCTGGGCGTTGAGGGCGGGAAGGGCAGGTGTGGGGGCAGGATCTGGGGCGAAGGTGAGGAGTGGGAGGAGGAGGGAGAATCCAGGGCAAGGCCAGGTTTCCAGCTCAGGGCCAGGGGCACAGCAGGGCCACTCCAGAGGTGGACACGGGAGCGGAGGGCAGCAGACACGGACAGCGTGAGAAAGAGGGGCTGCGGGTCAGCCCAGGGGTGGCGTCCCTCGGGCAGGATGGACCTGGGACAGGAGTCTGCTGGGCTCCCGTCCCTCCTTCCATGGTCCTCTCACAGGTTCCCAGGGGCTCCGAAGCCCCTTCAGCCTGGCTCGAGTGGCAGGGACCCCAGGGGCTCATGGGCCTCAGCAGTAGGTTTGTCAGACAAAGTATGGGATGCCCAGGTACAGTGGAGTTTCAAGTGGAGAACCGATCGCTTTTTGTAGCCATACACCCCCCACACTGCCTATATCCGTCGTTTATCTGAAGTTCACATTTAACCGGGCATCCGTATTTTATTTGCTGCACCTGGCAGCACCCCCACCCCGACCCCTCACAGTGAGAATACGGCCAGTCCTCAGGCTCTATGGCGGCAGTGTCAGGATTCAGTCTGCCCACTAAGGTGTCCCCAGAGCTCCGCCACTGGCCAAAGGGAGTTGTCTAACTTATTTCTTGAATAGGTAATACGTTCACATGGTCCAGAATTCGGAAAGTGTGCAGTAACAGGTCTTCCTCCTCCCGTGTGTATGGATGAGAAGGGGGGAGTGCTGAGGGCGGAAGCCAGAGTGGCCCCTGAGCGCCTCGTCCTGAGGGCAGCGGCTGCGTGCGTCAGCGGCTCCGAGCAAACCCTCTCCCCTCTCAGGCTGTGTCCCCAGGAACCTCGGAGCTCCTCCGCTTGGCCCACGGGCCTCCTGGCCCCCCTTCTCAGGCTCCCCGTTAGATTCTGCAGGCCCCTCAGCCATTATGCTGTTTCCCAGTCTGTGCCTTTGTGCATCTGCTCCCTGTGAAACTGCCGTCCTGCTCTGGGCCCGGCCAGCCCTGCCCTGGCAGCGCCTCCTGCGGACTCTGCCCCCACCCCCAGGGTTCTCAGCCTGGGCACTGTTGACATTTGGGGCCAGGTCATTCTGTGTTCCGGGGGCCTGTCCCGTGCAGGGTGGGATGTTTAGCAGCGTCCCTGGTCTCCACCCACTAGATGCCAGTGAGGCGCATACACACACCAGCGGTGACAGCCGAAAAGGCCTGCCCACGTGCCGGAGTCCCTGCGCCCCTCCCCCCGCACCCCCCACCTCGGTCGGTGCTCACATCCTCCACACTGGCTGGTTGACACGCCAGCAGGTTCTCCCCGCCCCGCCCAGCCAGGGGACCAGCTGAGCAGCCTTGGGCGAGTGACTTAACCTCCCAGACCAGTGTCCCCTTGTGCATAAATAGGTAATCATAGCTTTGACCTCGTGAGGAGGTGTGGCTGTTAAGTGAGATAAAGTGTGTAAAGTACACAGGAAGCAGCCACTAAGCGTCAGCTGGTATAGTCAGGATTTTTACGATTTCGATGCCATTGATGTGTCTGTTTCCCCACTGGACTCCGAGCCCCCGGGGAACTAGACTTGCCTTGTTCAGGCCGTGTCCCCAGCACCCGGCAGAGGGCACGGAGCAGAAGTTCCCTGACGGTGAGGGCACTGCTCAGCCTCCGCCCACCCAGGCTCCACGGACACCGTCTCACCCCCAAACATCCCTCTCCCCGGAAGCAACCCTGCCTTATTCTCTAGGCAGCCTCCCCTAGGCCACTGCCTGGCCTTGCTCCCCGCCAGGGGCGCCACCACCAGGAGCCAGGCTCACGGACCCACAGGCTCGGCCTTGAGGAAGCCACACCAAAGCTGGAGGGGGTGGGGGGCAAAGGGCTGCTTCCCAGTAGTCTGGGAACCTACACGTAGTCTGGGAAATGGCGTCGGACAATGCGCAGACACACACTGTGCTGAGGTCAGTTTCCCTGCGTTGCACTGAACAGCACTTACTGAAATGTAGTTACTGGAGGGTGTAGCCAGGTGGAAGGGTGCACCGGACTGCTTATCCTGTTTCTGCAAAACCCTGTGAATCTGCCACTGTTTTCAACATAAATGTTTTTTTATAAAAGTACGTTATGGGGTGCAGATCTGAGTCTGGCCCGTAATCGAATTTTGTAAATAAACAGCAAAGCCACAGCTGAGCCTGTGCGGTCCAGCGCCTCTCAGGGCTCAGGTGGAGGAAGGCAGAGAGCAGGTCGGAGAGACGGCCCTGGGGGCCATGGCCAAGCTGAACTCGCGGGAAGAGCACATTCGAGAACTACGACCTGGCTGGGCCTCTCGGCTCTGTTTCCACCACCACACTGGACTTGAATGAAGGTGAGGGCGTCCCCTGGTGACCCTCCCGTGGGCAGAGCTGGCCTGTGTGCCCTGTGGCCCAGCTGTGACTTGCCCTCCAGGGGCACAAAGCCGGCTGCGGAAGGGGGGCACGGAGCTGAGACAGTGGAGCAGCCTGTCCCCTCTCACTCCCGACGGCACCCTGCCTGTGAGCGACCTGCAGGGGGGTCTCTAAAGCCCTTTGATTTAATCCTTCCCAAGCTTCACTACTGAAACCAGGGTGGCCCTGCCCGCCACCTTACCGCAGCCCTTCGCTGGCAGTCCCCAAGAATGTATCAGTCCCTGCGACACCACTCAGGACAGGGAGGGGCAGGTGCTCTTGCAGGGGGTGGTCAGGGTTATCTGTGGGCTGGAGGGGGATCAGAGCTGCACTAGTAGGAAGACCGGAACAGTCTCGTGGAGACCGGAAGTGTGTCTTCAGAGGCAGGTCCGTGCGAGCATGGGGAGGCGTGAGTGACCGGGGACACTTCAGCAGAGGCACACAACAGCCTGGAGTGTCACCGGCCCCTCCATCCTGCTTGTTCCTCCCGCCAGAGCCAGGGGGTCAGAGAGGGTGAGGTCTTTGCCCACCCCCGCTGCGGCCAGCAGACCCCGACACAGGCCCAGCACACGCCGGGTGCCCCAGGAAAGCCAGGGAGACAAGGCCGACACCCACGGCTGCGGACTAAAGGATCAGGCTCTTCTATAGTGACCGGGTCTCCTGAAGGTCAAGGTTGGGGAAGAGCACAGGACCCAACAAGAAGGGGGTCCAGGGCAGCAGGAACGCGTCCTCTGTGCAATGCTGAGAGCAGGCGGGGGCCAGCGCCACCCCACACAGTCCCTGAACACGCACACTCACCACACACAGTTCTGTCCACTTTGCACAACTGTATCCACCTTTTGGCTAAAAAATGATACTAACAAACACCAAAGGTGCTAACCCTTTCCCTGCTGCTGACTGCGTGTTCCCTCCAGAGGGGATAAAAAGCAGAGCTAACACTCGTCAAGCCTCGAAGAGCCAGGCCCCAGCCCCACACTGAATCCTCAGGCTGGCTTCGTGGGGGAGGTAGTGCGGCACTCCTGTTTGTTAGCTGAGGAAGCCCACACTCACACGCTGAGTTCAATAACATGCTGAGTCAATGCGCGGGGCCGGGAATCCAGCCCAGGAGTGCAGCTCCAAAGACTGCGCCCTACCCTGCCCCCTGCCTGGCCGGCCTGGTGAGGATCCACCTGGAGGGCAGAGGGAGCAGGGAGGGACCAGATGGAAGGGCAGTCTGGCCAGACACCTCTGCCTCCCTGGCCTCGCTCGTGGGATACAAGGCTGAGATAGATGGGGAGGGGTGGAAGGAGTGGGGCGCAGGGTCAGGAGAGAGGGGGGTCCTTCCTGGAGCACACTTGGGGGAGCAGCGAGAAGCTCCCCCAGGGTAGCTCGGCCAGTGCCAGGCATCAGCGGAGCGCACGTTCCAGGGCTGGGACCTGCAACACCAGGCACCTACTCCCTGACCCCTTCTGTCTGCAGCTTACATTGTAAACCCTGATTGCAACACCAGGGGGCCCAAAGGTCTTGGCCGAGACCTGCAAGCCACAGGTGTCCTGGCAGGAGAAGGAAGTTCTGCCACCACTTGGGCCAACGCTGCAGAGATGAGTGGGCGTCCCCAGGAGAAACGGGGTACCCAGGCCAAGGCCACCGCCACAGGTGCATACTCATGCACCCCTCATGCAGTTCTCTGCCCCCAGGTGCCACTGCCCTCAAGGGTACACACAGACACACGCACTATAGTGCATGCTGCATACTTGGATTCACATTCCAACAGACACACAGGTCCCAGCGTGCATGCTGTACCCACCTGCTCTCGGGCCCAGGGCCACGAGGTGGGCACCCAGGACCGGCAGCCACCCCCACCCCCTCCCGGGCTCACCTCCACGAAGAAGTGCGCCCAGATCTTGCTCCAGCGTTTGGACTCGGTGAGGGCACCATGAGTGGCCAGGTGGCTGCCCTTGACAGTGAGGGTGTAGTGGCACACGCCCAGGATGGCAATGCCCAGGACAAAGACCAGGACATTGTCAGAGCGCAGGCACAGGAACCCTGCAGAGCGAGCAGGCAGGGTCTCCCTCCGGCTTTTGGAGACCTGGGTTCCCAAACACCCCAGCCCCACCCCTGGAAGCCCAGACCTGAGGGGGCCCAGCTCTCAGGGGGGCTGCCCCAAGCAGCAGTGGGTACGTCCCACTGTGGCCTGAGGGTGGGGGTTGGCTCTCACTACAGGGCAAAGCAGAGCCCCATTCACTCCTCAAGGGGAGTCCAGGAGTCTTGGTTCTGGGCCCTTGCCAAGGCAGTGACCTCTGGGCATTGTGGGGGTGCAGGCCAGGAGAGGTCCAGGGAAACAGCAGCCCCCCTCCTCACCCCATCCCTGGTGGCCCCACAGAACGCCCTTCCCCTCCCCCAGGCCACCTCGTCCCTCCCAGCCTGCCCGTGACCCTCCTCAGCTTCCCCCTCCTCTGCCCTTCCTGCCAGCCCTCTCTCTCCTCCAGCGCGCAGGTCCTCCGGGGACATAGAGCAGGACACTCCAAACAGACTTTCAGTTTGGGGTGTGACTCTCCATCCTGGGGTCCGGGGCAGGCAGCGTCTCCTCAACTCCACCCTCCCCTGCAGCCCTCTTCATCCCCTCCCCCGCACCCCCTTCCCAATCCAGCCTCTCGCCGCCCAGTCCCCGCGTCCCTCACCAGGCGGCAGGGAGAGGAGGCTGAGCCCGAGGACGGCACCGTCCACGCCGTGGCGTTCCCACCACGAACTCGCCCTCACCACGTCCTGGACCCGCGCCTCCAGCTCGCGCAGCAGCGCCTCGGCCCCAGCGCTCCCTTGCGGCACTCCCCGCACCGTTTCCATGCCCGCGCCCCCACGACTGGGGACACCCGGGAGTGTCTGCGGCGCCCGGCAAGGCAAGGAGGAGCGCGGGGGCGGGCCAGGGCGGAGCCAGGCGCCGGGCACCCGCCCAGGTGCGATGGTTTGTACCGGGCACCGAGGGCCTCTGGTCCAGAATAGCCGCGGACGGATACCCGGCAGGGCCCCTGATCGCCTGACCTCAAACAGCTCGCTGTGCCCTCACATGCTGCTCGGGTTTGTGGCAGCATTTTGACCCCTTAGCCTGAGTGTTTTTCTTAGTAGCCCTGGCTGAGGAGTGAGCCACGGGGGGGGGGGGGGATCCCCAGTCCGGGGACCGGGGGGCTCAGAGGGACATCTGTAGAGAAAACACAACCAGACGTCCCCATTCCCCATGGTCAGGGGTGCCCTCTGCAAGTCCCTCGGTCAGGGGTGCCCAGGCCCAAACCCAGGACCAAGGCCAGCACCAGGGCAACCCGCACCCCCAAATCTTGGGCCCTAGCCCCCTCCCATCACCCCAGACCCCCATCTACTGCTGAAGGGCACAAGCCACTGTGGCTCTGCAAACTCCCTCCTTTTTCCTGTTTCGTTTTACTTACTCCCTAGTCTTACACTGAAGTCCCTTTTAGTACGGGGTCCGGCGCCGGTGAGGACAGCGCCGTTTTCAGCGGGGGTGACCTTTGGGGGCGCTGGGGAGGTGAGACCAGGAGGAGGAAGGGGTGGGGGTGGGGAGACAGCTGTCGGGGACACGAATGACTTGGATTCCTTCTGCCTTGCTTGGTGGTTTCCTTCATGAACTCGTAGGAGTTTGTCCTTCTGGTTCTTTATAGAAGGGCAAGATGTTTTTACCAGGCCGGTGTTCTAAGGGGCTTACAATCTAACAGACCAATTCTCACCACACACACACACACACACACACACACAGAGTCTGGCTCCCTGGAGTCACTGCTGACTTTCACACACTGAGTAAGTCGTGTGACTTTCCCCCCTTCGGTGAAGGAGGGAGGCCCACAGAGGTGAACTCACTGCCCAACACGCACCCCGTGGCTCCTAAACAACAGGACCGGGACTCAGACCCGGGCGTCTCTCCCAGGCCCAGTGATCTTTTGTTTCTATTGGAGACTTTTAAGGCAGAGAAGAGATGGTGACTTCCCCTCTCCCTGCCCCACCTTTGAGCCTTTTGAATACACTAGAATTTTCAGGGAAGGAATCTGTCCAATTTAAAAAGTCATATTAAATATTACTATTATGTCATGTAAGGATGGGCTCCCACTGCTTTTATCATGTAAAGCGGGGAGACTTCTGGTACCAAGAAGCTGCCCTCCAGGCCTTGGCTGCCTCCTGGACACCTGAGGAGGCAACTGCTGAGCTTGGAGGACCCCGGAGTCCCCGTGGGGCAGGGCTGGCTAGCAGCTTCTCCGCAGAGACACAGGGGAGGGCGGGGAACAAGGCATGCTGGGTCCTCAAGGCGTGGGGCAGGAGTAGGTGGGGGATCGTTAGGGAAGGGCAGAGGGGGAGGCTGGGGCCAGTTGCTGGAGGAGGCAGACTGAGAAGCTGGGGCTGGGCCTGCAGGCTTGGGAGCCACAGCGGGCTCTAGAGGGAGGAACGGCTGGTGCAGTGTGGCCCAGCGGAGCAGCTGGGGACCGGGTGCCCTGAAACAACGTGGTGCCCAGGGCGTGGCTGGCAGGGGGAGGGAGGGAAGGTGGGGGTCACGCAGTAAGGGAGGCTCAGACCGTCCATGGAAGCCAATGTACACCTGGCCAATAAGCACATGGGAAGATGCTCAACATCATTAGTCTTCAGAGAAATGCAAATGAAAACCCTGGTGAGGGCTCGAATTCGATAGCCAGGTGACACCAAGCATGCGCAACGGGATGCGGAGCAGCTAACCCGTCCTTTGCTGCTGACGAGCCTGCCCGGTGGCACAACCCCTCCGGAAGACAGTCCTTGTGAGGTTACCTGGGCACTCGCCCTGTAGCCCAGCGATCCAGCTCGCAGGCGTCCACACAGCAGGGATGGGGACAGGTCTGGGGAAGGACGTGCCCCTGAATGACCACAGCCACACCGCCCATTGCCGCCCAGACTGGAAACCATCACCTACAGGGCAGTGCACGCACAACCGCGCATGCGTTCAGTGTCCTGAACAGAGCGGCCGGCAGCCGTGCAGACGGACCGCCGTCCCCCAGGCCAAGTGCGTGCGTGCCGAGGGAGAGAGGCCAGGCGCCCACCGTTCTTACTGAGTCGTTGCATTTGCAGGAAGTTGGAGACCAGGCAGAACTAACTGACACACAGTGATAGGAGGCAAACCAGCAGTTGCCTGGGGAGGGCTGGGGGGTAGACATTAGTCGCAAAGGCTCACGACATGGAGACTTTCTGGGAGAACAGAAATGTTCTGCGTCTGGATTGTGGTGGTGGGCACGTTCGCCCAAAGTGACTGGGCTGTACATTCCAAACGGGTGCGTCTTATTGTAGTTCGTCGGACCTCGGTAGAGCTGATCAGAGCAACACCGAAGCAGTCAGGCAGACTCTTTCACAGTGGAACCTGCTGTGTTGAAGCTGAAGGGCGAGCAGTACAGCAGCAGTACTCGGAACAGCGACAGACAGGGACAGCTCAAGTGCCCCGCCCCCCACAATAGAATGGATAAATAAAACGTGGCACGTGCCTGCCGTGGAGGTCTGTGCAGCCCAGACCTCGGGATGACTTAAATCACCAAGAGCACAGACTGACTGCGTTCAGGTGGAGCACACCAACAGGCTCAGGATGGCCGTCGGGTTCAGGGTGGTCACCAGCAGGGGCGCCTGGGGCTTTCTGGGGGCTGGCAAATGTTTTGTTTCTTGATCTGGGTGCTAGTTACTCTGGAATCTGTTCAGTTGGTAACAATTTATCCTGCTACACTGTAATGGCGTACATCTTCTGTGTGTTACATTTTAATCAAAACAGTTGCTTTATTTTTAAAATTAGTAATGTTTTTTTCTTAGAGGTATAAATCAGCGGGTAGATGCGGTCCATCAACCCAGTGCAGTGAAGCACAGGAAGGCAGACTGGGGAAAGCAGGATCCCCTGCTCCCGGGACCCTGCTCACCAAGGTGAGGGTGCATTGTGAGGATGAAGCCTGGGATGGAAGGCTCCGGGTAGCATCCAGGCCTTCTGCGTGGCTTCTCAGAACAGGTCCTGGGGGCCAGGCCGGGGCAGGTTCCTCCGCCTCTGCCTGCCACTAAGGCAGAGACAGCTAGGGCTGAGAGCTGTCTACTCCTCCCAGCCGCCCTCCCTTGACCTGCCTCTGCCCCCACTTAACCCCTCACCTGTCTGCATAAGACTCAGCATTGGTGAAGAGCACAGCTTTGGAATCTAGCTTGTTCACTAGCTGTGTGACCTTGGGCGAGTTACCCAACCTCTCTGAGCCTTAGTGTCCTCATATATACTAAGAAACAGATTTAAAGGAGTGTGGTAAGTATCAATGGGGGTTTTAATATTTTCCCCCTGGACCCCAACAGACTGTTGTGCATACCCCCATTTTGGAGATCGTGGCCCCACAGCCCCACAAGGCCTCAGTTGCTTGGCTTGGCTTCTGAGGGCCTCCAGCTACACAGTGCAGCTCGGACTACGGTGCTGCTCAATCAGAGTGACAGCTCGCTGCCTCTGACCCTGGTCAGGTGTTGCCCTTTCTCACGTCTCTGTCTTTATCCCCAGGGTAATTGTTGCCACTCCCCCCGCCCCACCATCCACCCCTGGCTGGTGTAGCTCAGTGGATTGAGTGCGGGCCTGCAAACTAATCACTGGTTTGATTCCCAATCAGGGCACATGCCTAGGTTATGGGCCAGGTCCCCAGTGGGGGCCACATGAGAGGCAACCACACATTGATGTTTCTGTCCCTCTCTTTCTCCCTCCCTTTCCCTCTCTCTAAAAATAAATAAATAAAAAGTTTAAAAAGAGTTGGGAATTAGATTCCAGAGCAGGGCACCTATCTGGGTTGTGGGTTTGATACCCAATCAGACCGGATCAGAGGGCGTATGGGAGGCAACCAGTCAATGTTTCTTTCTCAGATTTCTCTCCCTTCCTCTCTAAAATCAAAGTCCAAACTCGAGACAGGTGAGCCCTCCTCCCAGGCCCCAGCGGATCGCGGACCCATGGGCCCACTCGAGCAAGAACGGAGTGGGAGTGGGGTGTCAGTGCTAGGTCTGCCCTTCCCGGGACCTCCAGAGTCCCCCACCCTGGGGCAGCAATGACTCCTCCCTTCTGTGATTCAGATCTTTATTTGCTGGGGTTCACCAGGGTTAATTAGTATTGTGGTTGGGGTGGGGTGGGAAGGAGCCCCGCCCTGGCCCCAGGGCCTGGAGGGGGACCCTGAGAGTCGTGGGTGGGTTTGGAGACCTGGGAGGTGGGGGGCGCAGGGTGGATTAGAAAGGAACCCCCTGCAGCACTGTGACCATTTCTGTGCTCTAAGCCCGGGTGGATGCCCTTGAACCCTTTCTTGTCTTCCGCCCATTCACGCCACCCCCCAAATCATCAAAGCCTGGTGAGGTCTGGCTCCATGAGGCCAGTGGCGTTGATCACAGGGTGGGGCCGAGTGAGCTTTGGGAGAAGAAGCCTGGCCTCTGGCTCAGATCTTGGTCATCTGAGAGTGGGGCTGGCACCCCAAGGTCCCCGGGCTCCAGCAGGGCAGGTCCCCACTGTCGGAACATCTTAGCATCGGCCTCGCCTCCAAGGACCCGACCCGCGGCCTGCTCCAGCTGCCTGCTGCCTCCGTCCTGCCTTCCCAGGCTGCCGGCCCTTCTGCAAGGACAAAGCCAGGTTGGTGATGCCCAGAGGCAGGTCGGGGAGTGAGGGAGTGAAGGAAAGGGGAGCTGGGCCAGCCCTGCGCTGCTGGGGACACGGCTGAGGCTCCAAGGGCTGTCAGTCCGTGCCCCCCATAGGAAAGGAAACTGAGGTCCAGGCTATCTTCCCGAAGCACACAGCAAGTCAGGTCTCTGGAAACACAGGGCTGGAGCTGTTAGTGACCCAACTCCCAGCTGGGTCACCTGGTCCCTCCCTCTGAGTCAGGGCAGCACCACAGCCCAGTGTGTGGGTGACCCTGGGATATGGAGTAGCCTTCAGGGTGGGCGTTGGGCCTGGTGGGGCCAGTGCCAGGGCTGAAAGGGAGCGAGAGCCGTGATGTGTGCACAGTACAGAGGCCAAGAACAGGGTCTAGAGCCAGGCTCTGGGCTCAGACATACCCAGGTTCCAGTTCTTGCTGTGTGCCCTAGGGTAGGTCACTTGGCCTCTCTGAGCCTCAGTTTTCTGAGAGGGTGATTCGGAGTGGATGAATGTGATGCTACTTACTTTAACAAGTCTCTGGAGAGAGAATGCGGATAACTTCTGTAGTGCGGAAATCGGTGGGCCACAAGGGCCAAGTGCTCGAGGTAGATACACTTATGACTAATGTCATTTCCTCTGCAACTGTGATTATTATTGTTATGTAGAATACTGATCTGATTTAAATCTAAGATGCATTGATATCAAAAATGATAGTAAAAAGTGGCTTCCATTTCTCTGCCATTGGTTTCTCTCTCTGCCATTGGCCAGGGATGCCCAGGCCTGGCCGATGTCCCTGGAGCCCTCCCTGTCTCCAGATTCCTGTCCACCAGGTCCTCAGGCAGGTCCTCCACCTACACCTGGGTGTCGAGGCCTGAGCTGAGTGCCTTAATAAAGTTCACCCTCACAGCTGGCCTACATACAGTGTGGGGTACAGTTCTCTGCACTTACTGGCGGGAACTCCAAGACTGGGAAAGGCAAATTAGCCTCATCAGCACAGCAGAGCTGTGCATCCAGTGGGGACATACCTCCAGCTCAGGGTCCCCTGGGGCACCCAGCATAGCAGGTTTACTTCAGCCCCTCCCCTGCCTTCTGGGCCGATGGTCCTCCTCCCCCTCTGCCCAACCCCTCCCCCAGAGAAAGCTAGTGGCATAATGGGGATCCTGGCCAGTGAGTCTGTGACTCCCCCTCCAGAAAAGATGGCCAGCTCCTTGGGCATCCTAGGAGCAGTCTGGCTTCCCCAGGGGACCTGCCACTGGATGGTGGCCCACTCTGGTCTAGCTGACCCTTCCTTAGCCACCGGCTGGGTTCTCAGCGCCCCCTGCTGGTCAGATGAGGCGGCCTTCTGTGCCAGCTTGGGAGCTAATGTGTCTGGTACGGCAGGGTCTCCCTCTGGCCTGGGGCTGTCTCACAAGGCTGCTCCCAGGGACTGCCGAGGGCTCATCTACTGGGTGGCGGGGACCCCAGATGCAATGGGTCTGTTTCAGGCCACCAATGAGCATGGCCATTACTAACCGATGTGTACTTACTGGGCAGCAAGTGCTTTGCCCAAATTATCATTTTGCCCTCCTAATGACCTATAGGATCAACACTGTTATTAGAATAAATTATAATACCCATTTTACAGCTGAGAAAAGAGGCTCAGAACAGCGGGGGACCCATCCGAGGCCACACAGCTAGAAAGGGACAGAGAGGGTTTGGCAGTCCAGATCTCACTGTCTCCTGAGTCCTGCCACCTCCGGGGCAACACAGGCTTATCTCAGAGCAGGTGGCACGGGTGTGCACTGGGAGAGCAGGAGTGTCACGTTGTCCAGCACTGGTCTAACGTGGGGACGGTAGGCAGCTGGGACGATGGAAGACGTCAGGACACCTGGCATTACTGTGCTGTGGTACTTGGTTGCTCTGTGACATTCAGCCAGTCCCTTGCCCTCTGGCCTCAGCTCACCTCCTCTGTAAAGTGACAAGCCCGTGCCACATACCAGAGAAAGCCCTTCCTGCACCTGATTCATCCCGCCACCCCCATCTCATCAAATCCATAATCCCACTTATAACACAACTCCACGGCCTGAAGTTGTGCGTGAAATTGCGTATGAGTGTGTGTGTGCCCCATGAGGATTCTGTCCAGGGAAAGTGTCCATATTCTTACCAGATTCTAATCCCGAAAGGCTAAGAATCCTTGATTATTCCAACCTTTTAGAAAGAATTTTCCCAACCTCCGTCTAAGTTTTTAGGGGAATGAGTGGAGACAGTTGAGTCTCTAACGTGCAAACTTTTCCCCTTCCCTGCGTCCGTCCACTCAGAGTTTCCGGAGCCGCACCAGCTCCTGCACCCCTGGCTTCCACCGTCGGGCCACACTGACCTTCCAGGGGCCCGTCCTCACTGCTTTCAGTTAGTTCTACCTCCACGCTGAAGCTCTGATCCATCTCTCTTGTCACTGAGTCCTCATGCCCACGTCCTTCCCTAGACCTGCGACGCCAGAACTGGCGGAGTCCTTCGTGAGGTATGTGCAGTGACACGGATGGCCACTAGAGGGCCGCTGGCAGATGAACCCCTTGGAACAAGGGAGGCAGAATCTCACATCTCATTGGCCCCTTTGGCAGCTCCCCGATGAGGAAAAGAGACCCGAGTTCTGGGTCTGGCCCCTCCCCTTGGTAGGGCTCAGTTTTTTCATCTGTAAAGTGGAGGGAGGTGGCCTAGAACCCTTAGATGGTTGCTAGGCAACCTTTCAGCCACTAATGTTCAAGGGACCTTTCTGATTGATGCTGGGGGGAAGAGGTGGTCTCGAACTCCCCTTGGCAGAGCATCCTTACAGAATAGAACCAAACAATTCCAGGGTCCTCTCCAAAGCTTGACTGAGAAAACAGAGCCCATTGTCCTGCAGCATAAAGGGATGCCTTACCCCCTGGGAGAAAGGGGGGCTCTAAATAGGGCTGCCCCAAGAGCTGCCTGGGGTGGCTGGGGAAACAGGGACCCCACTGAAGGCCTCCCAGGGGTAGGGGGGGCTTGAGATCAGAGCTCATGGGGCTCAGGTGACAGGTGGAAGCCTGCTGGGACACGGCTTCCATCCGTGTGCGGCGAAGCCCTGCAGGCCGCGCTGGGAAGGCAGAAAGTGTGGCCCCGCTCTCACGGCTCCAGGCTCCAGGAGCAGGGCCGGAGCCTGGGCCGCCCTCCTCACGCAGCTGCTCTGGGCCATCCTGTCCCAGTTCCCCCGGACCTTCCCCGCATCAGCTCCGAATTCTGGGCCCCGCAAGAGCAGGGGAAGGTTCAGACATGAGGGAGGGCCCTGCAGAAATGCACCCAAACATTCATCCCAAGACCCCCTCCAGGGATAGGACCAAGTCCTCAAAGACACAGAACCCCCCCCAAAATGATTAAGGAACAGGACACAGGCATGACAGTGATGCAGAACGTACTCTACAAAAGTTGTAATGAGCCTGCCGGAGGGGGGCCTGGGACAGTGCTGGGGTCACCAAGCTCACCCCAGCCCGGGCCTCGGAGAGCAGGGAGGGGCTGGGCAGCACACAGCCGGGAGCAGGAGGGAGAGGGCAGCACCTGGGGCTCCGAGGAGGTCCAGTCGGCACTTGAGGGCGGCCCCAGGCTCAGGCTCAGAGCAGGGAGGAGGACTGGGGCGGGCTCAGGGCAGCAGTGGCAAGCAGCCAAGCCCCCCTTCTGGGACCGGGGGCCGCGGCCCACCTCCACCACACCCTGGCTCTGGGTGTGTGTGGACGGGGCCCACAGGCGGGCCCAGAGACCCAAAGGGAGGCCTGTGGCATATGTGGGGGTTCTCTTCCCCTGCCCCGGCCGAGGGGGCCCAGGAAGGAGCGGGGGGACTGTGGCAGTGCTCCCAGCAGAAGCTGCTTCCCAAGTTGAAGGTCAGAGATGAGGTCCGCTAACAGGGGTGCGCATGTGGCTTCCGAGTGGCTCTCCCACATCTGCGACCTCAGTCTGACTGGAGAGCTCTGAGGACACACGTCTGAGGACCCCCTGGGGCTGGTCTCTCTCCAGGACTCACCACCATCACACAGCAGAGGCACGTGTCACTCTTCCTTACGCACTACTCATGCAGGACATGCAGCCACCTCCAGGCCTTGAGGGAAATCCGCCCACCAACCCCCAACACAGGCACACAGAGCCCTGGGACCTGGGGGCCATCAGCAGCTCAGATAACCCCCGTCCTCGGGCTCCGGTGTCCACAGGACAGGATTGCCCACGGTGGGCTAGACGTCCGCCCTGCCCAGTCCCCACTGGTTTCAGGCCTGGGGCCCACAATACTGCAGCCAGTGGGTTACTCTAGCACCTTTGCATCCATTGCCCTGACTCTCTGGGGTCCCTGGGGTCCCAGGCTACTCAGCCAAGGAGAGGGAGGGCTGGGGAGAAGAGGGGAGGGAGGACAGAGCCAGGCTGGACCCCACCCCAGGGTGAGCTGGGAAGGCTGCTGGTGACCCCCGACACACACTCCAGCCTGGCAATCCAAAGCCCCAGCGTGGCCAGTGCAGGGAGGAGAAGTGGGCTGGCTGTGCTAGGGGCGGGGCTGGGGACTCCAGTCAGGACATTTGGCTGAAGAGTCTAGCCAGGACCTCTTCTCTGGGGCGTACGGGGGGAGGGGAGGCAGCCCACATTCCTCCCTTCACAAGAGGGGAGCAAGTGAAGCAAGTGAGCAAGTGTCCAACCTGAGCAGGACGAGACCCTCAGAGCAGGGGCGGGGCAGACAGTGGCCCCTGGGATGGGCCGTGCCCACCCCTAACACACATACTCCCACCCAAGGTCTCAGGGGCCTGTCATCTGGCCCCAGGGCCCTGGGGACCCCCACCTTTCCTCTGGCCGCCTGCAAATCCCCATGTCCTTTAGGGCCACTCAGATGGGCGTGGCCCAAGGGCTCCAGGACCCGACTGGGAGCCTCCAGGCCGAACCCAGTGCTTCAGAGCTCAGAGGAGACGACCCACATGGTCCTCACCCCTGGGCAGGGGCCCGGGGGGCTGCAGGGCTGGCAACTGTGAGGACTCCGTGGCCCCACCGTGGGTTGTGGCAACTTGCAATTCATTTTGGTCTTGGGGGGAGGAGCCCCCTGTTATCTGTGGAGACAGAGACAGAGACAGACCTCAGATGAGAGCCTCTGAGACGTTTTAAACCAAGACCAGCCATTTTCCCACCATCTCTGGGCAGGCTGGTGGTCAGAAATGGGGACACTTGCCTAGGAGTGCCCACGCCACACCCCAACTCTAAACCAGACTGCCTCCGACGACCACCCCTGCCCAGGCATGCGGGGCAAAGGCCACCGGTACCAAAAGGGCTTGTGGGGCGCCATGAGGGAGGGGTCGAGACAGGAGTGGGCCCCAGCATGGCCAGCGTGGCAGCAGCCTTGAACTCCCATAACGGCTTTTTGAACGTGACAGTCCCACCCTTTGCAGGAGTCACCCAGTCCTAGGCTTTAAAGTCACACAGACTGGGGATCAAGCCCAGCTGTTCCCCCAGCATCTGCAGGCCCTTGGGGGAGCACTGTGACCCTCTGAGCCTCCACTTGCTTGCCTGGAAAATGGGATGATACAGCCCCTACGCTGGGGAATTAGAAGGGTTAAATGGGAGCACACACGAGGGCGTCTCTGGCACCCAGGCCATGGGGAGGGGGAGGGCTCAGAACATCCCGGCTGTGATGACATGACCACTGTGTCTCATCCAGACTGAGACACCCCTCCTCCCACATTGCGATACGGCCAAAATAGAGGTGCACTTTCCAGTCGCTGTGACTGGAAGGCCTTGTATCACCATCAAATCAACAGCTTCTTTTTCTGAACTGGCAGTAACGAAAACAAGTGGGGCCTCTTGTAACTGATGGCGACTTAGATTTATGAACTATGGTATCATCCCCCACTTCCTGGAAAGGCAGATTCCCCCCTGGCCCCGCCCCGACCCCGCCCCCCAAGGCTGAGGCACTCACAGCTCTGTGTCCTCCAGGGCAGGGGGGCGCTCCAGCGCCTGCCTCCGCTTCCGCACGGCCCCCATGATCTTCTTGCGGGGCCCCAGCGGGACACTGATGCTCCGGAGGTCGAGGTCTGAACACAGCATCAACGCCTCAAGGTCGATCTTCTCGTGCCGCAGGAGGGAGGCGAAGTCCTCCATGTGCAGAGAGGCCAGGAAGGTCTCCAGCGGGCTCGTCTCGGGCTCCAGGTCCTCGTCGAGGCCCAAGTCCACCTCGTCCCAGGGCAGCTCCTCCCCGCAGCTGCGGTCCTGCAGGCTGTTGGCACTGCCCAGGCTGTCATCGTCCAGGCTGGGGGAGCTGTGCAGCCGCGCCCGCGGCGCGCCCACGCCGTCCAGCGCCGCGTCCTCGCGGCCCAGCCCGTGCAGCCCGCTGCCCAGGTAGTTCCTGCGGAACACCATGGTGCCCAGGCCGGGCCGGGTAAACAGGGAGTCGTGGCCCGAGTCAGTGCTGACCTCCGAGTGCGCTGGCTCGGCCGCCAGTGTGGCACGAGAGACGCTGTCCTCGTCGGAGAGGAACATGTCCCGGAGTGGGGAGCGAGCCCACTCCTTGGGGTTGGCGTAGGGGCCCTGGCGCACGAACATCACGTCGCTGCCCAGCTGCAGGCCGGAGAGCGAGCGCACACTCTTGCGGCCGTCCTCCGATATCTTGAAGGTGCCCTCGCCGCCATGCTTGCGCCGCTCCAGCTTCCGCTGGATCTTGGTCTTGCCTTTGTTGGTGCCGTGCAGCGTGGCCTGCGAGTAGGGCAGGTGGCTGCCCAGCGCCAGGTGCTGCAGCCGGCCACTCAGGGTGCTGGACGTGAGGCTGGAGAAGCTGAGTGTGTCGGAGCGCTCCGCCAGCTCGCGCCGGTAGCGCCGCTCCATGCGCTCGTGGTGCTTGCGCTGCATCTTGGCGCACTCGCGGATGCGCCGCTCCGCCTCGCGGAAGGCCTTGTCCTTCAGCTTGCCCACCAGCTTGGGGTTGAGGCCGCTCTGCTTGGCCGCGATGGAGTCCAGGTAGCGCACGCACTCCATGTGGCCCTTCATGGCGGCCATGTCCAGCGGGGTGTGGTAGTCGTTGTCCAGGCACCAGATGTTGGCCCCGAAGGACACCAGAAAGGAGAGGCAGTGCAGGTGACCATTGGAAGCTGCCAGGTGCAGGGGCGTGTTGCCCCAGATGTCACACTTGTCTGGGTCTCCCCTGCAGTGCGAACACGTGGAGAGGGGGGATGAGCCATCAAGCTCAGACAGAAGTCAGCAGGCCTAGGGAGCTCCCCGCCTGGGTCAGCCTCCCCGGGCAGAGCAGAGGGACCTTCGGGCCTGAGAGCTGTCTTCTGACTCGGGGAGACACGCAGCTCTGAGCCACCAGACAGACACGGAGTGAGCCCCAGGGCCAAAATGGCCCCAGGTACCGCAGGGGGTGGGGCAACAGAGAGGGCGGGGCCTTCCCCAAGAGAACTGAGGGCTGGGAATCTCAGGGGATAAATATTTGATGCCCAGAGAGAAAGAAGTGAATTATTCATGGGGCCTAGTGGGGAGCTGGCCCAGAGAGGTGGTGGGCCGGGGTGAGTCTGGGTCTCAAGGCGGATGCAGTGGTGAGCGTGGCTGTGTGTGCAGAAGTGACGGTGGAAGAGGCTGAGATGGTGGTGTGTGCTGGGCCTGGGCCTGAGTGAGTGCGTGAGGCTGCGTGGCTGCGTGCCTGCGTGGTGGCGGGCACGGCCATGTCTGCAGGGAGCGGGGCCAGGCCTGGCAAGCCCGAGTGTGAGAGCAGGTGTCGGGTCTTGGCCTGGGCCAGGAGGGGAGCGTGGGGGCAGCCAGGACTAGAGGGGAGGAGGAGGGAAGCCTGCAACCTGGGCCCAGCCTCCCTCTGGGCCCCTGCTGCCCCTGCTGCCCCATCTCTGGGAGCCCCGTGAGGCAGGCTGGCTTGGACCTGGCCAGGGGGCCCACACAGCCCCCTCCAACACTCTCGACATCAGGCCGTGTTCCCCTTGGGCACCCTCCCACTGGCTCCTCCAAGCTCTCCCTCCCTCAGGGGCCTAGCTCAGCGCCTCAGCCTCCTGCAAATGAGGCCACAGGCCACCCAGCAGGGCTGGAGGAAGAATCACCCCTTTGTCATTTCCGCTCCAGGAACAACCCCCTCCTCACTTCCCCCTACTAGTCACCAAGTCCTGCAGGACAGCATGGGAGGGGCTGTTTGGCATCTGGTGCCCAAACCTAAACACCAGCCCTTGCCCTCCATGGGAGTTGGGGGGGGCAGTTTGAGTCTTTCTGAGAGCAGGGGCAGAAGGGCAGGAGGGCAGGGTCATTGTATGCCCTCTTGGCGTGGGAGGGACCAGTCTGGCCACTTGGAACATGGCTCAGCTGCCTGGTTTTAGGGGCTGCCCCCAGCCTGCTGAGCTCTAGGAATAGCCACCAGGGAAGGGCAAGGAGTTTCCCCACCCACCACACATTCAGGCCACAGGCCAGTACCTGGCACCGGGACCAGGGAGGTGCCCGGCCCTCCACCCTGACCTCCCTGAGCCTGAGATGTGCATATTGGCCCTCCCAGGGCATCTCGTCCACTCTCGTCTCTGCCCAGGCTGCCCCGGTGTCCAGTTCAACCTGACTTCTCTTTCTAAATCTGCTGGGGGCAGGGAAGTCATCCACGGTGGTGTCATTCCACCCCAGGAGCCCCCTCCAATGTCCCTGGAGCCTGCGTTCCTCAACTGCCACCTCTGAACCCTTGACATCTGTACTCTGGGCCTAGCTCTGCCCCTAGACAGCTCCAAAAGTAGGGTGAGGCAGCCTTTGGGGGGAGGGGCACGAAGGGAGCTGTGGAGTGGCTGAACGCAGTGACATTTGGTACTGTGGACAGTGCCCATAAATCCCAGCAATAAGCAAGCAGACAGTGTGAGCCTCAGCCCAGAGGGAGGGGGTGCTGCTGGGAGAGCCCTTTGGCTGCTGGGCTGGGGGCATGCAGTGAGGAACCCCTCCTTCCCCAGCCCCACCCTGACCCCACCAAGGCTCCGCACCTTCTCTCCTGTTCTTCAGTGGCACCTTGAACACTTGCCTCCCACACTCGCTTCAAGGTGCCACCCTCCCAGGAGACCTCTCCCCCAGCTCCACCTTCCCCTCACTCTGCAGATGCTCCCACAGTCGTGAACCCCCAAATCTTAGTCCGCCTCCTCTGGCCCCATATTCAGGTCACAAGCATCACACGCCTCTGCATGCGCTCCCCTCCTTCCCACAGCTGCCAGGCTCCAAGGTCCCACCTTTGGGTCTGTGGCTGGGGAAGGGAGTGGCTCAGAGGAGAGGGTGCTCTGGAATCTGGGGAAGGGTCTCAGGGGGCTGGGGGGCGCTGAGAACTCTCTTCCCCATCCCCCTTGGTACTCACCCCCGGCTCACGATGAGGCGCAGGGACTCCAAGTTGCCATGGTAGGCAGCCCAGAGGGTGGGGGTCATGCCATCCTCGTCGGGGGCGTTCAGCTCCTTCCGGGTGGCCTCCTTGAGGAGCTCTAGGTAGCCGTCCCTGGCCGCCCGGTGGTACTGGTCGTTCATGGCTCCGGACTTGGGCGGGGCGGGCCGGGGTCACGGGGAAAGGCCCCCCGCGGGGGAGGGTGTCGCCGTTAGGACTGAGGCATGGGGTTGGGGGACGGGGACGGGCAGGGGCAGGGGCCGGGGCTGCCAGCCCCTGCTGCCCCAGACGGAGGGTGCTGAACGCCAGAGCCACCACTAGCTCCTCCGACATCTGAGCCGCTCACCGGCGGGAGGGAGGAGGATCTCCTTCGGCCCGGGAGCCGCCCCCGGGCTGCCCCTGGGTCCTAAACACCCGGCTGCCGAGAGCTCAGGGGTGACCGGGCAAGGCCCTGCCCTCTTTCCGAAAGTGCCACCTCCCCCCCCCCCCAGCGCCCCGCCCTGTGAAGACCCGTCTGGGAACAGTCCGAGGTCTGTCCTCACTAGAGCCCGGGTGCGCGGCTTCCGATGTCTCCACCCCCCAAAGGAGCGGGCCGAGGGCTGGGGAAGGGCGTCTGCGGGCAGTCCTGACCCCGAGATCAGTGGGCCTATGAGGGGTGTTGCTACCGACCGCCGGGCAGTCGCAGGTGGAACCCCGGGGCGCCGGCCAGAGGCCTTCCAGCAGGGGGCGCTAGAAGACCGGCGCGGACTCGGCGCGCAGCGGGAACGGCCCCCCAGCGGAACTCCGCGGCCCGCGGCGCAGGGGGGGGGGGGGGGACAGAGGCGGGAGGAATTTATCCCAAAGGAAGGATGTCCGGGGAAGGGGCTCGGGGGTCCAGATCTCGGGGCAGCCACAGAGGAGCACGAAGGCATAGGGCGCACCGAGGGCGTGGCAGGGCTGACTGGCCCTCGGGGCGCCTTTGAGCACAAGTTCTCGGGACCCCTGGCGGCCGGGACGGGGGGGGCCGGGCGCTCTCTAGGTGGCGCCCCGCGAGGTGGCGCAGTGCGAGGCCGCGCGGAGCCCGGCCTGGCGGAGGTGACAGGGAGGCGGGGAGGGGGGGCGCCTGTTAATGGGTAAATATAAATCTCACCTTCTCTGGCTCCCGCGCGCCCTTCCCTAAATTCAGCTTAGAAAAAAGATGGATCATGTGAGTGGGACTGAGAGCCGAGCTCCCTGGGCTGCAAATCACGCTGCCCGCCCGGCTCCAAAGCTCGCGTCCAGCCCGGCGTGGGAGAGAGGAGACGCTCGCCGCCCTCCGACCGCCAGCTCGGCGCGGGCTCCGGGCCCAGCCAGGTGGATGCGCCGGGCCGGGGCGCCCACGGATTTGGGGAGTGGAGGCCTTGCTCCAGGTCCGACAGGACTGCTGCCGCTGGACGCGGGCGGTCTCAGCTTTTCTCCTCCCCATTCCCAGGGCTTCCTCGGTCGCCCGCAGCCCGCTCTGAGTTAGAAATTCCCCTGTCCCCAAATCTAGGGATAAGATCGGGGAGTGAGCCTGGGGTCCCGCTCGCTCCTTCCACACAGTGATCCCTCCAGGATCCTCCAGTCGCCCTGTCATGTCCGAGGATCCGGCCGCCTGCCCCGAGGAGAGCCGGCCGGCACCTCGTGCGGGCCCCCGCGAGGTGTGGAAGAAGGGCGGCCGCCTGCTGTCGGTGCTGCTGGCCGCGAACGCGCTGCTCCTCGCCTGCGCGCTCATCAGCGGCGGAGCCTTCAACAAGGTGGCGGTGTACGACACCGACGTGTTCGCCCTGCTCACCACCATGATGCTGCTCGCCGCGGTCTGGATCCTCTTCTACCTGCTCCGCACCATGCGCAGCCCCGAGGCGGTGCCCTATCGCGATGCGCACGCCGGCCCCATCTGGCTCAGAGGTGCGGGGGAAAGTGGGGGCGGAGAGGGGGCGGACCAGGCAGGGGGCTGGAAGTGGGGCTCTCCCAGAATTGTGGAGTGCGTCGTGGAGGGAGAGGGGTTAGAAGTTCCCCTGACAGGACTAGATGTGGCGGAGGGACAGGTGGGCTGCCGTTGAGGAGAAGAGGAGGGAGAGGGTCCTGGAGGAGGGATGAGGGGAGCTTCTTTGCCCTGTCTAAAGATCGAGCAAGGGTGGCCCTGGGAGAGCCTCTGATGGAGAGCAGAGAACAGGTGAGAGCTACAGCTGAGCTGAAAGGGCCCATCTAGCATCCCTCCCCTTATCTACTTAGCCTCAAAGAGATGGGGCCCAATGGGACATGCCTCTATCCACTCATTCGTCTTTCAGTCCATCCATTCACTTCTCCATCCATCCACCCACCCATCATCCCACCCCATTCATCCATCCATCTACCCACCCACCCATCCAATCACTCAATTAGCCATCCATCCTCAGATTCATAAGCCTGCTCTCCTGCCTCTCTGATCCACCCCTCCAAACCCCCTTCCCAGGTGGGCTGGTGCTGTTTGGGGTCTGCACCCTGGTCATGGATGTCTTCAAGACCGGCTACTACTCCAGTTTCTTCGAGTGCCAGTCGGCCATCAAGATCCTGCACCCTCTTGCCCAGGCCGTGTTTGTCATTGTCCAGGCGAGTGGGCGGGAAGCGTGTCCCTGAGTGTGGTGGACAGGAGCCAACATTGGGATGGGGTCAGGAGGCCCAAGCGCCACTCTTTCTCTGCCCTGAGCAACCTGATAAGGTGGCGATAGAACCGTAGAGGAGATCATATGTGTTCACGCATCCGGAAGTCCTGGGTGAGGAAGTACTCTCCAGACGTGAGTGCGCACTCAGGGGCCCTGTGGTCTCATGTCTACCTGGGCAGCGCCGCTAGTTAACACCCAGGATGTGGGAGTTGCAGCGGTCACCCTAGAGCCTGCCCTCCCTGGGGGCCCGTGGAGGGCATCAGTCTCAGCCCAGGGTCCTGCTGCCGACGTGGCCAGTTTGCCTCAACCTATATTTTGTATATTCTGTATACAAAATACAGGCCCCTATATTCTGTATTTGTTCAGGAAATAGGGTATGCTGTACCTGGGGTTTTTCAAACAAGTTCAAATACATATTTTTAAGGCTTTTTTGTTTGTTTGTTTATTAGAGAGAGAGAAAGGGAGGAAGAAAGCGAGGGAGAGGAATGTCAGTGTGTGGTTGCCTCTCACGCACCCCCACCTGGGGACCTGGCTCACAACCCAGGCAGGTGCCCAGACTAGGAATTGAACCAGCAACCCTTTGGTTTGCAGGCGGATGCTCAATCCACCGAGCCATGCCAACCAGGGCCAAATACATCTATTTTTATTTATTGCACAAATACCATTGTGAAAGACCTTCCTACTAAGCTAAGGCAGAACTGGACTTACATGGGACCAGAGCAGATCCCAGCCCTAGAAGATGAGAATGACCGTGGGCACAGTTGCCCATCATCCCCGTGGCCCATTTTCCGAAGTTGGTATAGTTGTAGTCTCTTACATTTTGTGGGTGTGAAGAACACTCAGACAGAGAGAAAATGCAGACACTCCACACTGGAAGGGTTTGTCGGTGGCTGAGAGCGAGGCCTTGCAGGGCACTGCAGGGTGGGGACGAGGCCCTGGATGGTGCTGGTGTGAGGCGCCACCAAAGGCTCTTTCCCCCTCAGACAAGAGGCAGTGGGGACTGGCCTTGCCCCAGGAATAAGTAACCAGACACCCAAAACTCTACCAGACCTCTATCCCGCAAAAAACAAATGCCAGGGCCGACACATTTTACGGGTGCCATTTTGCAAATTATTAAAGAATGGAGTGCTAGTTTATATGGGTTGTTCCAGAATCACTCCTGGTCTCACCGGGTAAAGCTAAAATAAACGTAATAAGTTGGCAGGAGGGCTTTCGATGCAGAGAGGACTGAGTGCTGGGTGCGGACATGGGCACTTCTTAGCTGCAGTTGTTCTGCTGAGTGAAAGACCTCACCACTCTTTTTCCACACAGACTTACTTTCTCTGGGTTTCTGCTAAAGACTGTGTTCACGTCCACCTGGACCTGACCCGGTGAGTGCGCCGCTCAGGGGGCCTGCCCAGCACCCCCGTGCTCCCTGCGCATGAGATGAGGGTCTCCAACCTGAGGCAGGGGTCCTTTCTGCCCCTTGGTGGGGTTTCTACCAGACCCCTTGCTTCATCAGCTCGATTTCCATCCGTCTGGGCAATGCTGTGTGTGTGTGTGTGTGTGTAGGTGTGTGCACTTGTGCCTGCTTTGGTGGGATGGGCTGTCTAGTGCACTTACTCATCCTGTCCCCCAGGAGAGGGAGCAGCGGAAGCTGAGCCCCCGGTACCCCCAGGCATCCCTGCATCCCTCCAAACTCAGCTTCCCATTCACATGGGAACAGAAAACGACTGCTTTCTCGTTTCTGTCCCTGCTGTCGCTTCCCAGCTCGCTCTCCACCTTGCCCAGGTGAGACGAAGACTCTCACGGGCCTCTTTGCTCTGCCTCCGCAAACAGGTGCGGTCTCATGTTCACTCTCACCACCAACCTGGCCGTCTGGATGGCAGCCGTGGTGGAAGAGTCGGTGCACCAGGCCTCCACCCACAGCGCCTCGCAGGGCAATGCCAGCCACGCCCACCGTGCTCCGGACAGTGAGTGCCCTTCGGGCGGCCCCTGGCCCCGGGACTGCCGGGCCCCACGCTGGGCGCTGCTTCCCCTGTGGAGTCGCCCTCCTCCTGCTCCAGGCTCTGAGTCTGCCGTGTAGGTGTGGACGACCCCGGAGGGAGAGTGCCAGGGGTACCTTCTCATCCTAGAGGGTGTGGTCTTGGCCCCCATGTTCAGGTCTCCATGCTACTGAAGAAGGGACGTGGGCTCCAGGAAGAAAGGGCAAGGGTGATGGAACTGGAGGGAGAAGGAGGGAGGAGGCGGCTCGAGGGTGGGCGTGGGGGGTCAGGTGGAGCACCTGGTGAGGGGAAGCCGGAGCAATCATCACAACAGTGACCGTGACATCTACTGAGCTCTACATGTCGGGGGCTCTGCTAAGTCTCTTAACCCTCACAACCTTCCTATGAGGTGGGTGGTAGTAATATTCCCACTTTACAGGTAAAGAAACTGAGGCACAGTGAGGTGGTGCAGCTTGCCCAAGGCCACAGGGCTCCAAATTGGACAAGTAGTATTCAGACCCACCTTTCCTTTTAACTGCAATGCCGTAGTGACGAAGGATGGGGTCCACGGTCCCCGGATGGTCCTACTTCCCTGGGCCGCTCTAGGCCCCCTGCTAGCCAGGACCGGACTACATCTGAAGACCCATTCACACACCCAGCGCAGGGGCCCAGGAAGGGAGAGCGTGGGCCCGCCCAGCCCGGCAGGACTGACAAAGGGCCACTTTTTGCATACAGAGAGTTCCTGAGGATGGCCCCACCTGGCAGGGGGTGGAAGGGGGCGACTCGAATGTGCGGGAGCTGCAGGGGTGCAGAGAGGCACGCTGGGGTGGTGCCTGCCCCAGGGTCGGAGTCAGGTCATTGGAGTCAGCTCTGCCATCACAAGTCACTTTGCCTCGTGAGCCTCAGGTTCTGCATCTGAAAAATCAGCTGGGATAGTTCTGGAGACCAAATGAGATGCTTGCCAAGCTTCCTGCGGGGCACCATCTGGGGGCAGCACGAGACGACTCTTAGTGTGGTACAGACCGAGGACACGGCCCGGGCCTGGGCGCAGCTGCTCACTCTCTGGGCTGCGTCAGATGCGGGGACGAGCCTGGAGGAAGCTGGAACGTTAGGGGTTCCCGAGAGGGCCACCTTCTCTCAGGACCAGAAAGAACCTCGCCTACGTCAGGGAGTCAGGGGTCCTTACTGGTGGGGACAGGTGGGCCGTGTTTTCCTGAAGGAGTGGAACAGGGCAAGCAGGCAGTCTTGCCATTCAGATGTTCTTTTCTTTTTATCGAGCACTGGCTACTATTTACTGATGCATCCCACGGTCTCTGGCACACAGTAGGTGTTTTGTCGGTGATGGTGGGGTGAACGAACACGCCAAGGCCAGCAGGGGAGTTGGGGACGTAGTGGCGAATGTGGCAGAGAGAGACCCCGCCCTCAAGAAGGCCGAGTCCCGGGGTGAGGCTCTTCAGATGGGGCGCCTCTGGGGACGTGCGAGGGCAGTACCGCGCTGTGCCCCTCTCTCCACAGCGGAGCGCGCAGGCGGCCAGCTCGGAGGGGACTGCCCGTGCGACACGGCCACCTGCAGGATCTTCCAGCAGGGCTACTTCTACCTGTACCCCTTCAACATTGAGTACAGCCTCTTCGCTTCCACCATGCTGTACGTCATGTGGAAGAACGTGGGCAGGATGCTGGCCTCCTCCGCCCACAGCCGCGGCCACGACCCATCCCCGGTCAGCCCCTTCCGGGAGACATTCTTCGCCGGCCCAGTCCTGGGCCTGATGCTCCTTATTGCGGGACTAGCCGTCTTCATCCTCTATGAGGTCCGAGTCAGCGGGGAGCAGGGCCACACCCAGCAGGCCCTGGTCACCTACTACAGCTTCAACATCGGCTGTCTAGGGCTCATGACTTTGGCCAGCCTGAGTGGCTCAGTCATCTACCGTTTTGACCGCAGGGCCATGGACCACCATAAGAACCCCACGCGCACCCTGGACGTGGCCCTACTGATGGGCGCCGCCCTGGGCCAGTACGCCATCTCTTACTACTCTATAGTAGCGGTGGCTGTGGGCGTGCCCAGGGGCATGCTGGGGGCGCTCGACCTGGCCCACGCTCTGCTCACGATCGCGCAGCACACCTTCCAGAACGCGTTCATCATCGAGAGCCTCCACCGGGGCCCCCCCGGGGCGGAGCCTCACGCTGACCCTCCCAAGGAGCCCTGCCTTACCTTTGCCAACCCGGACGCCCTCCACACCCTGCCGGCCTGCCCACCCACCCCCAGGCTGGTTGGCTCCGGCGTGGAGGGCCCTCAGGAAGCCATGGCCGTCATCTTGGCCCCCAGGAGCCACTGGAGACGCCGGTGTCTGAAGGACATTTCTCTGTTTCTCCTGCTCTGCAACGTCATTGTGAGCACCTGGGGGAGAGGCGCCGGCTGGGCGAGGGGAGGCCGGGGAGGGGGTTCTTTCGGGCTCATTCACATGCCCTTCTCTGTCTCGCTCTGGCAGTTAGAAGAAGGATAGGTTCAGAGAGGGTTAGGTGCAGCCCCCAGGCAGACAGCGTCTCCGGGCAAGCAGAGAACGAAGTCCTAGTATCCTGGCAGCCACGCAGCAGCCGGGGCTGGAGGGTCCCGGGGGATGCTGGCATGGGGGCTGAGCCAGGTGAGAGGGGACTGCGGCCCCGCCCCCCCGTGGGAGGTGTGGGAGGTGTGACCACTCTGGAGAACTTGTGACCAGCCTGCTGCCCTGAATAACTGGAGCAGCAGCAGGAAGTAGCGGAGACCAGCGTAAGTGTGAGCAGCCCGTTAGCAGAATGCAGCTTCAGGCTAGCTGGGAGGGTGGCACCCGCCGCGGCCACCCCCTCCCCAGGGATTCAGCAGAGCCCTGACTTCCGCAGACACGACTACAGCCAAGTACGCAAACACTCTTCACCAAGGAGCCCCGCCGAGGCGGGGAAACACTCCGCAGCTCCCACCCACCTGTGTCCCCATAACCCCCGGGGTCGCTCCCTGATGCAGCCACCTGCGTCCACGAGCGCATCCCACACCCGCCTCTAGAGAAGTTTTGCTCAATGTGAAAATAGCCCTTTTAGCTAGCTATAGCCAACAGAAAAAAAAAAAATTATAGGGCCCGGCACAAATAACGCCCCTTTTTAATTACAAAATCATAAGCATGTAATACGGTATCATAACACAATGTCACACTCAAGCATACCATGTGACATTTTAGGTGAAAATGTTCCGATTAAAACTGTAAATTATTATACCCGTATTATTACACTCCAACCACACTCAAGAGGGTGTTACTTCCACCGGACCCTGTATCTGAAATACAGAAACAGCCTTAAGGCGAGAATGTCAATGTAAACATCTCCAGAGAGAATTCCGCCCCAGTGTGGTCCACATGAAATACACCAACAGCCCACCATTCTCAGTGACATTTCCGTTGTAAATATTCCCCACCCTACAGGGAAATCCTCCGCCCCCTCCCCCCCCCCCCCCCCCCCCCCAGAAAAGAGGGACCAGCAATCTTGGACTTGCCAGTGGAATCAGTAAGGCTCAAATCATCATATCCTCAGGCAGCTTTAATGCCCCCCAGCCCGCAGGCGGGGAGTCACCTTTGGGGGCTGTTTCGGCTCCAGGTGTCTGAGCCCGGATCCACTGCTAGAGCTTCACCTCCCCCTCCTTCACTGCCTGGGACAGAAGCAGACCGACAGACAGGCGTGCCCAAGGCCACAGTTACCTGGGGAGGGAAAGTGCAGGGTTAGCCTGGAAGCCTTGGTTCTGTACCCCACACCCTGCGCCAGGACCTCCTGGCCGGACCCCAACCCCCGCCCCTGCCTTGGTCCTGTCTGACTCTGCCACAAGTTTCTCCGGGAGAGAGCTCCTGATTTAGCCATTTCTAAATTACAGTCCAGCTCTCACCTCATCTACTGAAGCCTCTTCCCTCTCTCTCCACCCTACCAGCGGGCACCCCACTGAGGGTGGAAATGTGATCGCGGGGTCGCCCTTGGCCTGGGGAGGGCACGTTGAAGTGAGGTCCCCATGCAGCAACAGCCAGGCCTTGCTGTCCACCAAACTAGAGGGGTGGGACCCCCTGCAAAGCCCACTAGTGTGACCCCGTCCAGGCCAGGTCCTGACACCCCCTCTGCCCACAGCTGTGGATCCTGCCTGCCTTCGGGGCCCGGCCCCACTTCAGCAACAAGGTGGAGGTAGACTTCTACGGCTACTTCCTCTGGGCGGCCATCGTCAACATCTGCCTGCCGTTCGGCATCTTCTACCGCATGCATGCTGTCTCCAGCCTGTTGGAGGTCTACGTGCTGTCCTGAAGCCCCTGGAAGAGCCATGGGGGGCGGGGACTCAGCTCCTGTACCCACCCCAAGGCCCTCAGGAGTGAGCCCCGGGCTGGCAGTCACTGCCTCATCGCCACCTGTTCCCCGAGGGCCCCAGTGTGGAATTTTCACAAATGCTGTCTTCCTGGGTGTGTTTAAATTGCAGCCAGGGCATGCCTATGTGCCCCAGCATGACCCTGGTGTGCGGGACGACAGGGCAGGGAGACCCCCCCCTGCCCGAAGCATGACCAGGACCGGGTAAGACCTGGAATCGTCCTAAGCCCAGCCCTGTGACCTGGCCGGAGCTGCTGCCTGGAGTGGGAACCGGAAAACCTGCAGTGCCCCCCCCACTGTCTCCCCCCAACCTGCCCCAACTCAGCAACCCCGTATGAGAAGGTCACAGGAGAGGATCTTGGGAGTCCGAGCTGGAAGGGCCCCTGGAGACGTTCAGGTCTCAGGCTTTTCAGCAGGAGGGCCAAGGCCGAATGACAAGCCAGTTACAGACTCCAGCCTGGGCGGCAGGGAGGGGCCGGGCAGAGTACCAAGGCTGCCACCTTCTTCTTCCCTTTATCCCCAAATGGCACCTGTTGGTCTGTGTCCCACGACTCAGGAAAGCGTAGCAAGTACCGACCTGGGCGAGCACCTTGTTACAAAGAACAATCTGAGGCCCAGAGAGGTCGTGTGACCCACCCAAGTCCCACAGCTAAAGAGGGCCAGAGCCTTTCTGCGAAGAACTGGGATTTTCAAACAGCAGAACTTTCCCCCCCATAAGTAAAATATATTCGGAAACCCAAATGTACAATGCAGGCATAAACCAGGCTTTGCTAGTTTCAGAGGAGCCAGGATGCAGACCTCCACTCCAGGGGGCCCCCTCTTCCCTGCCACCCCCCACTTTCTGGGGGGCCGAGGCAACTCTGGGACAGGCAGAGCAATGGACTCAGCAGGCGAGAGACTGAGGTCGTGAGAGGAGGAAAAGGCCAACAGTCAGAAGAGGAGGAAGAATCGGTGGCCAGCCGAGGAGCGGAGGGGGCGACAAGCTGGGGTGGGGCCGGGTGGGAGGAGCGTGGGGGCCGCAGGGCAGACTCACGGGGGCTTCGGAGGGAAACCTGCCCGGGCCTTGCCTCGGCGAGGGTGGGCCTGGCGCTGAGGGGGCTCCACTGCCTGCTCGGAAGCCAGAGGAAAGTGCGGCCTGAACCCCAGCAGGTCCAGTACCGCGGCCTAAGGACATTGCGGCCCACCGCTCCCGGAGGCCGCTGCCGGCGCGTCCCCTGACCCGGAGCCCGGCGCCCGCCCGCCTCCGGCCCCGCCCGTCTGTCCAGCCGCTTCCCTATTGGCAGCTCGGCTCGGGCCTGAGCCCCCGGCGGGGTAATTAACGGAGGATTAATGATATCCCCAAAGTCAACAGAAAAATCGATGGGCGGCTGCCCGAGCGGCGGCTGCGCAGTCCCGCTGGGCGAGGGCGTCGGGGGCATCGGTCGGGGCGCTGCGGCCTCGCCCAGGCTGACGGTCAGCGCTGCGCCCGCAGTCGGTGGTCAGCGGGCGGCGATGCCTGCCGAGGCCTCAGGTAAGGCGCCCCGAAGCGGGAGCGCCCTCGGAGCTCGGGTGGGACCTCCGGGGCAGGGCCACCTTGACGCTCGCACCTGCTCCGCGTCCCCCGGGGCTCAGGGCCGGGAGCTGCAGGGCTGCGGGGACCAGCCCCTGGCGGCCGGAGCGCCGGCCCCTCTCTGTCGGACCCGAACCCCGGCTCCGCGCCGCACTTCCTTTCCGCGCGTGGGTGCGCACGGCCGAACAGGGGGCGCGGAGGCCAGAAAGGAGAGAGAAATATGGACGGCCAGGAAAAGGGGGTGTGGGGCTGGGGCTGCGGGGCTCCGGGGCGGAGGCGTTCGTGCAGCGGCCGCCCCAGCCTCGCACCCCCGAACGGCTCGGAAAGAAACCCCGAAGCTCCTGGCCCGAGCTCCGCGGCCTCTCCGGGAGCCGACGCTGCGCTCCCGGCCGGGCGGGCGCTGCGCCCCGACGGGGGCACGGCTTTCGTTGCCTGCCTCTAGCCGGGACCCACGACCACTGGCGCGGGCCGTCCCGTGGACTGGCGTGGCGCCGAAGGGCGTGCCAGAGGGCGGCAGGTCGCTCCCTGTAGTTCCGAGCGCCCTCGCCCTCTTCCCGGGACCCGGCGTGTGGGCCGGTCAACACATTGGGGGCTCCCTGTGGCGGCGGTGGGAGGGTCGACCCCCGCGGGTGGGGGTCCGAGACCGCATGCTGAGGACCCTGGAGAGAGAGGAACCAGAACCTTGCTCTCCAGCGGCTCCTCTGGGCCTACGGTCCCAGCAGCCTGAACCCCTACGGGGTCACCGATGACCCCGACCCTTCGGGCCTCTCCAGGATTTCGAAAGACCTGGAAGGAGATGCTCAAGTCGCTAACATTGAGAGGTTTCTGTGTACCAGACACGGGTCTACGTTTATTTACATAAATGAAATCATTTAATTTTGATAGAACCCTGCAACGTATTATGCATTAGTTCCTTCGTCTATTCGTTCAGGAAACCGTTGTTGGACCGCTACCACGCGCCAGGCGCTATTCCATGGTCGTCAGGCGGAGAGTCCAGTCGCGCGTGCCAGCTCGCACGGGTGGGAGGTGTGGGCATCTGGGCTCTCAGTCCTGGGGCTACCCCGCCTTGGGACGCAGAGCAGTCGGCGCTGGGGGAACAGGAGCGGGGAGCGGTCCCCACGAGTCTCGGGCCTGCTCCCGCTGGGCGCGGAGGCCCGGAGGAAAGGTGCGGGGGCGGGGGGTCTGGACCGTGTCCGCGGAGGTTTGATGGGAAGGGTGTCTGTCTGTGGCCCTGGTGCTGAAGTTCCCCGGAAGATGCCTGAGTGGTCAGCAAACACTGGGCGAGTGTCGTGCTGTGCCGAGTTTGCGGGGGGGGGGGGGGGGGGGAGAGCATCGAGTTCAGCAGGACCGAGTCTCTGTCCTGGAGGAGCTCCGGGCCGAGGGGGGAGCCATCCACGACCACAGCCCAGCCCCAGGCAGTGCGCACCTGCTCTGGAGAGATGGCTGGGCGGAGAGAGAAGGCCTCCCGGGGGGCCGGGCCCTCAGGTGGCTGGTGAGGATGGGAGCGAGCGCCGTGGAGGGGAGCAGCAGGGCGGGAGGCCAGCGGACTCCAGAAGTGGGGGCGGGAGGCAGCAGACCACGTGAGCACAATGCTGGGGGGGGGCGGGGGGTAGGCCTGGCTGGGCGCGGATGGATGAGGGGGCAGGCCCCTGAGTGTGAGGCGGGGGCCAGGCCGGGAGGGGGCAGAAGTGGGGTGAGAATGACGGGGAGGACTAGGAAAGGGGGAGAAAACCATGCAGAACCTTTAAAAGAGGACCAAGTTTGACTATTCTAATTCCCCCGGAAGAGAAAAGTATAACTATCCAGCCGGTGCCACATGGTAGAATGGGGGCCTTTTAGAGCCAAATGAGATGGGGGTCTGCTGGGGGTCACAGTGTGGGAAGGTCTGAAGCTTGGAGTTCAAAGGGAGGGACAGAGCAAAGCACAGCTAATTAAAACAGAGTGTGAGATGTGATGCCCCAGAAACAAGTATGGGGCTCAGCGGGGGCACCCAGAGGGGGCACCTCATCCAGTTTTAGCCCGGGGGGTGCAGGAGAGACCGTTTACAGGAGGTGGGGCTCTTCCGGGTCCCGAAGGACAAGCTGCAGTCAGCGAAAAAGCAAGCAGTGGGCATTATGGGCAAAGGGCGGAGTGTGGGCAGACAGGCAGGTGAGCAAAGGCAGGGGCATTCTGGGAACTGCAGCAGGACGGCCGGGCCCAAGGGCGAGGGATTCCGACCGCTGTGCTGGAGGGTCGGCCTGACTCGGGTGGAGACCAGACCAGGAGGCGACAGCAGCTGCCCGGCCCCGAGCATTCCGTGCGCTACGAGCCCTTACGGCACACGCACTGCCTCGTTTCATGTTGAGAGGGCACGCTAAGCAGTCTGGACTTTATACTGAGGGCAATTAGTTGCCTTTGCAAGGCTCACAATAGGAAAGAGGCACGGTGGGCAGGGAGACCAGTCCAGCAGCCCTGGCCGGGTAGCTCAGTTGTCCTGATACGCCAAGGTCATGGGTTTGATCTCCGGTCAGGGCACATGCAAGGAGCCAATGAGTGCATCAGTGGGTGGAGCAGCAAATCTGTCTCTTTCCCTCTCTCTTTCCTTCCTACCTCTCTAAAAATAAGTAAATAAAATTTCTAAAAAAGAAAGAGAGATCGGTCCAGAAGAGAGAGGAGAGGGCCCTGACTACTGACTAGGGTAGTGGTTGAGGTCAAGTCGAGAAAGATCAAAGAGCAATTCTCGGGCTGGAAGGGACAGGCCTGGGAGGGCCAGTGCGGGGAGGGTGAGGAGGAGGCCTCCTGCAGCCTGGAGAATAGGCTCAGTGAGCACCTTGAACCTTGAGCCCAGAGCACCGGGGAGGCCAGGGCGACAGCAGGACCAAGGCGGGGGCCCTGGGGAGGGCCGGGTCTGCTCAGGAGGAGCCTTCCCATCAGGATAGCGCCGGGCACCAGCGGCACCCCCCCTTTCTAACACAGCTCAGTCCCACAAGGAAGGAGCACCCAAAGGTCGACAGGGAGTAAGCTGGACTGCAGGCCACGGCCCTGGGTGGCAGGTATGGGGAGACCTAGATCAGAGGTTGGCCCGAGGGAAAGAACAGGGTCGAGGATGATGCTGTCCGCGTCCTGGAGTTAGGGGAGGTATGCAGGGGCTCGGTCCTGTCAGAGTCAAGGGCGGGGCATTCATGCTGACCCCAGCCCGCCCCGTGTCTGTGCCAGACATGGTGGATCAACCCCACAAGTTTGCCCCTAAGCCTTTAAAATCTATTTTTTTGATTACATAAGTAATGTGTTTTTAAAAACTAGAACAGGGCCCTGGCTGGTGTAGCTCAGCGGATTGAGTGCGGGCTGCAAACCAGAGGATCGCCAGTTTGATTCCCAGTCAGGGCACGTGCCTGGGTTGCAGGCCAGGTCCCCAGTGGGGGCCGTGTAGGAGGCAACCACGCACTGATGTTTCTCCAACTCTCTCCCTCCCCTTCCCTGTCTAAAAATAAAATCTTAAAAAAAAAAAAACCTAGAACAGGAAACTGCTGTCACTCATTCCTTCCCCAGAAGAAACTCCTGTTGTGAACCTGGTGGGAATCTTCTAGACCTTTCTAGAGGGGTCCATAACAGAGCATCATCTCGTATCAGAGTCCTTCTCCTTGGAGCCTGCCCACAGCCTCAGGGCCCCTCCCAACACCACACTGGAGGCCACCATTACCTCCTAGGCAGAGTGAGGATAAGAGGGAGCACCTGCCTGCTCTTTTGCTGCGGCATAAAATTCCTCCCAGAAGTCAGTGGGGCACAAGCCGCTCTTTGTGGTGAAAAGATCTCAGGCAAGGGAGCTGCCCAGTGGCCAGATGCGCAGCAGACGCCACTTGCACCCCTGACAGACATCATTATTCCATCTCAGGGTCAGACCCCGAGTCAGGAAGTGGAGTGGGGAGGCAGGAGGGGGTCCTCAAGCCGGCGGAATCATCCTGTGTGAATGTGGAACACAAGGGGTCCCAGGGTCCTGGAAGGTAGATAGGCAGCTGCTGTTATTGCCTGTGATCTGGCCAGAGAGGTTGTATAATTTGCCCCAGATGACACAGCAGTTAGGGCCAGGGATGGAATGGAAGCCAGCACAGCCTGGCAGCCAACCAGTGCCCTCTCTCCCTCCCAGTGCCTGCTGTGGTTGCACCAGTGGCCTCTGCAGAAGCCCAGGAGAACCTGGTGGACATGGCGGCTGAGAAGACAGGGGCCCCCACCCGAGCCGGGCAGAGGTCCTGGCTGGTGCGGCATGTCTCACTGTTACTGCGGCGGGACCGGCAGGCCCAGAAGGCTGGGCAGCTCTTCTCGGGGCTTCTGGCCCTCAATGTGGTCTTCCTGGGCAGCGCCTTCATCTGCAGCTCCATCTCCAACAACGTGGCCATCACGCTGGGCGACGTGCGGGTCCTGCTGGCGGTGCTGAAGACCCTCTCCCTCCTCTGGCTCCTCTACTACGTGCTGGGCACCACCCGCCGGCCACACGCCGTGCTCTACCGGGACCCTCACGCGGGATCCATTTGGGTGCGGGGTGAGTACTGGGGCGCTGGGCAGGTGGAGGACCTGGGGAGGCCGGAGGTGCCAACGGCTGCCCGGCCCCGCCAGGCTCCCTGCTGCTCTTCGGCAGCTTCACCATCTGCCTCAACATCTTCCGCATGGGCTACGACCTGAGCCACCTGTACTGCAACTCGAAGCTGGAGCTCATCTTCCCCGCCATCGAGATTGTCTTCATTGGCATCCAGGTGAAAGGCCCTCCCGCCCCCAGGCCACCGGCCAGCGCTCTCCCCACCCAAGCTGAGTACGTGCACACCCCCAACCTCTGCCTGGACACAGCCTCAGGGGCAAATGCCTGCGAGGCCCAGAGTAGGGGCACTCACACCACAGCCCCCCCCCAGGTGCCTGCCGCCACACATACCGCGCACCTGAAACGGCCACCTGTGAACACACCTGCCTGTGCCTGCTTGCAAGTCCCTAACTCACGAAACCGCTCCTAACGATGAATGTCCAGCTCCCGCCTGACTTCCTGTTCTGCACCAGGAGCTGTGTTTCCTTTACGACCCTTTCTTGTCTCCCCGGGAAGTAGGCCTTGCCCTGAGCGGCAGGCATTTGAGTCTCCTTCTAGAGCTGAGAAGACTGAGGCTCAGAGACCTCTTGCCACTGGCCCAAAACCACACAGCAAGGAAATGGCTGGGCCAGGATTTTCCAACCCAGGTTTCCTCACTGTGTCACCAGTTGAAAATCCACACAAGCAGCGGAGGCACAGCCCCCACAGTCCCACCCCCATGTCCCGGGCCCTGGGTTCAAGGTCCTGTCTCTTTCAGACCTGGGTGCTCTGGAAACACTGTAAGGACTGTATTCAGGCCCAGGGCAACTTCACTAGGTAAGGTGGGGGTGCCTTCTCTCCCTAACAACTCCCGGGGCTCCCTGTCCCCCACTAGTGCCTGTCCCCCACAGCTTCCCTGGACAGGGTGACCCTGGGGCTGTGGGTCTGCCCGGGAATAGTCCCAGGTGGCCCCTAGGGCTGCCTCTCCAGGTGTCCTGATACCAGATGGGATTTGGCCTGGAGAGAGGGCAGCCCCGGCAGTTGTAGGGATGGTGAGGGCCAGGCACCCAAGGAGCCAGCCAGGCTGTGTGGCCAGACTGCGGCCTCTCCGGCAGGTGTGGCCTGATGCTGACCCTGGCCACCAACCTGCTGATGTGGGTTTTGGCTGTCACCAATGACTCCCTGCACCGCACGATCGAGGTGGAGCTCAGTGGCCTCACGGACAAATTCTCAGGTACTGGGGACACCAGGCCCCCCACCCCTTCACGTGCTGAGCGAGCTGTGCAAAGAGAATTTTTTTTACAAGTAACGCTTTAGATTGTTTTATAATGAAAAATGCAGACTTATCCATGGCTGATGTAGCTCAGTGGATTGAGCACTGGCCTGTGAACCAGATGGTTGCTGGTTCAACTCCCAGTCAGGGCACATGCCTGGGTTGTGGTCCAAGTGCCCAGTGGGGGTGTATGAGAGGCAACTGATGTATTTCTCACACATCAATGTTTCTCTCCCTCTTTTCTTCTTTCTAAAAATAAATAAATAAAATCTTTAAAGAAATTCACACTTAGAGATAAGGAGTCGAACAAGGTATATCCATCACCCAGGTGCAAGAATGATTAGCATTTCACCACATTTATTTTATGAGTAAATTATTTACATTACTGAGATTGTGGCATTTCATCTCAAGATATTTCAGTGTGCATCTCTTTGAAATAAATATATTTCACTACAGGACACCAGGATTATAACTTCTAACAAAATTCCTTCACATCATCCCCATTCTCTCTATCAACCTGTATTAGCTTTTTCAATCAGCCTGGGAAATGTATCTTACAAGGAAGGGTTCATTCAAACAGGCAACACCTTCGGTGGTTTGTTCTTTCTCCCTAATGACACTGAGACTTGTCAAGTTGCTTGTGAGTGGTGGCATTTGACTTGTTCTCCTTGCTTTTCCTAGAAGCTGGAGGTAGGGCCGATTAGACTCAGACTAAACACTGTGGGCCCGGGTGCCTTGTGGTTGCCTCACTGCAGGGCACAAGCGTGCTGCCCAGGGAGCAGCCAGATCCCCCTATTGTTACAACGCTGTGGGTTTCCCCTTGTGCCCAACCAGAGATCCGATCCGCCCAGGTAACATTTGGCACCAAAGATGTTGCACATTAAATGCTTTACATAAGCTCGACACCCGAAGTCCAGAATCCCTTTGTAAAGGAAGGATTGTCCTGTGATCTCCAATTTCTCTCTCTGGGCCTCAGTCTTCATACCTGTGAAATGGGCGGCCAGGTCCCCTCCACCTCCGGCACACTCCAGGAAGTGGGCAGGACTGGTTTGTGCAGCTGGTGTCCTCAGAGCAAGGCCCACCTGACTACCCGTCCCCTCTCCCACCCCCTCCCAGGCAACACCTGCCTGTGCCTCAACGCCACGGTGTGCCAGGTCTTCCAGAAGGGCTACCTGATGCTCTACCCCTTCGGCACCGAGTACTGCCTCATCTGCTGCGCCGTGCTTTTTGTCATGTGGAAGAACGTGGGCCGCCGCCTGGCACCCCACGCAAGCGCCCACCCGGGCACCCCACCCTTCCACCTGCTCGGAGCCATCCCCGGGCTGCTGCTGGGCCTGCTGGCCCTGGTGGCAGGCACGTGTGTGTTCGTGATCTTCCAGGTCGAAGCCAGTGGCCCTACCATCGCTCCTCAGTATTTCATCCTTTACTATGCCTTCTACACGGCCCTGCTACCCGCCATGAGCCTGGCGTGCCTGGCAGGCACGGCCATCCACGGGCTGGAGGAGCGAGAACTGGACACGCTCAAGAACCCCACCCGCAGCCTGGATGTGATGCTGCTCATGGGGGCCGCGCTGGGCCAGGTGGGCATTGCCTACTTCTCCATCGTGGCCATCGTGGCCATGCGCCCCCACGAGCTGCTCAACTGCCTGGTCCTGGCCTCCTCGCTGCTGCTCATCCTGCAACACGTGGTCCAGAACCTCTTCATCATTGAGGGCCTGCACCGGCGCCCGCTCTGGGAGGCGGCTCCTGAGGCGGGGCCACACTGCAGGGGCCCCCCGCCGGAGCTGGGTGGGGGCCTGCAGCCGGCCTCGAGGGCCTCCGTCCACTCCGGCGGCCACCTCAACTGGAAGCGGCGGGCGCTCAAGGAGCTATCCCTCTTCCTCATCCTCTGCAACGTCACGGTGAGTGATGCCGGGGCCGAGCCGGCCAGGCAGCCCTCAGAAACCTCACGGGAAGGGGCAGTCAAGGTGCATCCATGGGACATTGGCTGTCCCAAGGGTGACTGGCTTGTCCCTTTGATTGTCGAGGACACACGCCTCTTTCTGAGTAGCTCTGTGGTGCTTGAGAGCAGAGAGAGTCCCCCAGCTCCCTGCAGGGTATCTAGCATGAATAAACAAGCCAAGCCCATAGCCAAGTGCGCTTTATAAACACACATAAGATTTTTACCCTCAGGAAGCTTCCTATCTCGTGGGGGAGACGTCAGGGGAACAATCAAGAAATTACCAAATAATCAGTCACCCACTGAATTCAGTCAAAGGAAGAGATCAGAAAGTGCCTGGTTTTCTAAAGAACTTCTAGTGGAAGGTGTTGATTGCTCCATCCCGGGGGCTCCCGCCCAGGCAGTGGCTCTGCCTCTCGGGAAGCGTCACAGTAACGCCACACAAGGGGCACTATGGCCGTCCCTGGTTCACGATGAGGAGACTGAGGCCTAGGCCGCCAGGCCTGCCAAGATCCCACAGCCTAGGTGGCTGGGGGACAGCTCAGGGTGGTTTGAGTTCCTGGTGGCGGTGACAGTGCTAGGAACACACCCCAAAAGTTGAAACCCCTGGTTCAGGCAGAGAATAAGCAACAAACTGGCCCTAAGGGCAGCAGGGCCTCAGAGAGGGAAGTGTGGGCCCGAGTGGCCCAGGAAGGTTTTGTGAAAGTTTGACCTGGGCCTTAAGACTCGGGTAGAACTGGGGCAGGAGGCGGGGCCCAGGTGGAGGGGCAGGACTGGCAGGAGAATGAAGCCCCGGAAGAGGGGGGCGGAGATCAAGACACAGGGGTGCCCAGCGGGACAGAGCAGGTAGTACCGTGGGGGGGTGGCAACCTGGGCTCTCACAGTCCATCGGGGTTCAGGCTGGCAAGCGGAGGGAGGGGCTGTGGTAGGTGAGAGGGACCTGGAGGGAGAGGGGCTGGCTCTGAAGGCCCAAGGGTGTGGGGTGTGCTGGAGGAGCTGCAGTTTCTGGCACCTTCCCCGAGCGGAGTGCCTGGGAGCACCGCTCCCCACCACCCACCACCCTCCTCTCCTCCCCAGCTGTGGATGATGCCTGCGTTTGGCATACACCCCGAGTTTCAGAACGGCCTGGAGAAGGACTTCTATGGCTACCAGACGTGGTTCACCATCGTCAACTTTGGCCTGCCCCTGGGGGTCTTCTACCGCATGCACTCTGTCGGGGGGCTCGTGGAGGTTTACTTGGGGGCCTGAGGCTGCCCAAGGAACTCGCCCCTGGCAGAACCCCAAAGTGCCAAGGCTGAGAAAATGTAGTCTAGGGGCCCTGAGCAGATACCCCATCCCAGGGGGCTTTAGGGAAGCCTGTGTGTCCCAAAGCCTCCTCTTCCCCACAGTCCCACTACAGGGGCAGAGTGGGTCACTGTTCACAGCCCAAGACCAAGGGAAAGACCGGAATACTGAGCCTGTGATGCCCACGCCAAGGACAGCACCTGTTTGCCCCGCTTACCGCATCAGTATAGCACAGGGTGTGCCTAGGAAGCCCCCACAGCTACTCCAGGAGGGCCAGCCCTAAATGACTGAGTCTGGGGCACATGGACAGGGGTCCCTACCCAGCCAGGCCTCTGGAGTCCGCCTCCAGCTGGGGGCAGGGCGCAGGGTTCAAACTCAGCCCAGGGCATCCCGGAAACAGGCAGCTCTACCCTTCCCTCCCCACACAACCTAATAAGCTCATTAATTAGCTACCAGGCAGGGTTCAACAGCTCTCTCCAGCTGCCATAAACCCTGTTTGTTTGATCGATTACATTCAGGCTTCGTGGCATTTGTTCCCAGAGACAGAGCTGCCACTCCGGGTGCAGTGGGAAGGGACTGTACTTTGGGGCAGGGCTGTGGGGCAGGGACGGTCCTGTTTCTGGTCCAGGAGAGATCTACACCAGTTCTTGTCTGGCCCATGGGGCCAGAGGGGACCATGGGAAAGAGGGGCCAAGGCTCCAGAATACTCCCACCCCTCAGCAGCACACCCTCTCTCTGACAGAGCCCCAGGTGACTTTCTGGAGCTGGCTCACCATGGGGGCTGTGGTCTTGGGCTGCTGGGTCCCCAGGTCTGCGGGATCTTCTGAGTCACTGGGTAGTAAGGGCAGATGTGACAGCTCACCCATCCCTCTGAGCCCGGGGCAAACGCTGGGCTAGGCCAGGGGTGAGGTCTGGGGCTGCCCCCCCAAGCCCGAGGCAGGCTTTGCATGCCTCTGGGCACTGCCCAGGAAGCTGAGCCCTGGCGAGCACGGGGCCAAAGCTCCAGGAGCCCCCAGTGGCTGCCTGGGGCCAGCAGCTCCCCTGGGACTCGAGCGGAAAGCTGGGTGGTGGGTCCCTCACCTCTCTTGGCTGGGCTCTTTCTCTGGGTGGCCACAGCCTGGGAGTCCAATTCTCCAGTGCCCCCCGACCCCCAAGAGAATGACAAACAGGCTTCCAGTCAGGCACTAAGACCCTCTGCGGGCCGACTGTAGGAGGCAGCACCCCCCGACTCCCCTGAGGACAAGAGCCTGTCCCGGTCTGACCCTCCCCTCCCAGCACAAGGCACCAGGGCATGGAGAGGGGTTTATTGTGTGAAGAGGCCGATTGTACAGAGCAAAGATCGTACTGACAGGTGGGTGAGGGAGGGCCAGAGGCCAGGGCTGGGAGGACGGAGGGGAGGCCAGAGGGGTGGCATCCTGCCCCCCCCCACAGTCCTCCAGGCAGTGGGTGGGGTTGGGGAGGACTGAACAGCTGCCTCTCCCTCCTCGTTCCTTTTGTCCCCGTAACTGGATGTAAGAAGAAGCCAGGCTACAGCCATTGACCTGGGAGAATATAGCAGGACACCTTCCACACTGCACTCCAAACCCCTAACTAAAATGCATGGGGTCCCCCAGTCTGGCTGTTGCAGTCAGCCAGCCCTCAGCCCTGTCCTCAAGCAGCCGGGCCATGTGCCTTCCTTCCTCAGGCCCCCGGCAGCCAGCTGGCCTGGACCCAGTAGTGTCCAGTTAGGAGACTTGGATGGGCTCACCTCACCCTGCCCGGGTGCATCATGGGACAGCCCGCAGCTCCCTCCTGGGCAACCCCTTATGGCACAGTGACCGGATGGCCTCTGGGGGTGAGCAGGACAGGGGCCAAGTGGGCGCCAAGGGTCAGGATAGAAACAGGGCTTGAGGGGGAGCAGAGTGAGGTGGGGGCCTGGGCTGGGGCCTGCAGCCCTGGAGCCAGGAGGTGGGGGGAGTTCGGAGAAGGTCAGAGCCAGTGTCCCAGCCACGAGGGGCCTCCGGGGCCTGCCACCTCGGACTCGGCCACTCTGCCAGCCCCCAGCCCTGATCATAGTAAGTTAAAGCTCAGCATGGCCAGTGGATCTGGGCGGGGAGGATGGGGGGCCAGGGCTCCTCCCCTGGCCCCGCCCTCCCCTGGCCCCGCCCCTTGCAGGCAGCTGTCCTCACACGCGCTGGATCTCAAACAGCTTCACATCCGTGTCGTACCAGACGGGCGGGTCCACATTCCTGCGGAGGGAGTGGGCTGTCCTCGGGCTCTGGGGGGCCTCACAGGGGAGACCGTGGGGGTGCAGGCAGTGCCAGAGCCCGGACCCTCCCTCCCTGATGTCCCACCTCGGTGTCCCACGCTGAACTAGACAGGACCCCCCTGGTTAACTGTCTTGGTGTGAACCTCACTAGGACGGTCGGACCCAGTGCTGAGGCCCCCAGTGAGCCCCGCTGGGCAGACCCTCCAGTGGACACCCAACCCCCCAGGCTGGTCGCTGCCCCACCCCCACGGGGCCCACCTCAGATAGATGACGCCCCACATGTAGGTGCGGAACCACATGGCCGTGCCCGAGTTGGCCTGGTACTTCCGGATGAGGATGGGGTGTGGCACAGGCAGCAGCCCCACCAGGGTGCCATGTTGCAGGAACCTCAGGATCTCCGACTCGTCCGTCAGGCCCCTGCCGGCGTTGGGGGAGGGGGTGGTCTCCAAGGTGCTCGCGTGGGAAGCCACCATGAAGGTCCGGGGGAGCATGGGCTCACCATGGACCCCCGAGGCCCACACTCCCAGGCACACCCTCCCCCAAGCCTGGACTGGCCCCTCCTCAGAACCCTCCTATCTCCCCCCTCTCCCCCAACCCCCCTCAGCCTCACTTGTCAATGCAGATCTTCTCCACCTGCGGAACTAGCACCTGCAGCAACCTCATGATGGTCTGCAGCGGCAGCTTCGACTTCCAGGACAGGACCTGGGGGAGGAACCGGGCTCCTGGGCCTGGGAAGCAACCCGGGGAGGCTGTGGGACAGGCCTGCCCCCTGACCCAGAACTGCAGGCTCCCCGAGGCAAAACACATCCCCCCCGATCACCACGGCAGGGGCCTGACGGGGGACAGTGCCCATGAAGAGTGACTGTTTTTCATGGTAAGAGCCATGGCCTCATATTGAGCACAAAAATGGTCCCCTTGGGTCCTCACCACGACATGAGCAGGTAGGGACATTTACTGTCCCCATGCAAGTGCCATGAGGGGTGACCTCGGGAAACACATGAAAGACCGGATCAGCGATCCGGGGAAGGAGGCTGGAGAGGACGATTTATGAAGAAAGTTGGTGCTAAGTTGGTGCTGTGGGCGGGCGAAGCTCATCCCCACTCCAGAGGAGGCAACCGCGCCAGAGGACGGCCAAGGTCGCCCAGCCAGGAGGACGGACCCTGAGTCTGGCTCCCAGGCCGGTCCTCAGATTTGGACACATAGCCATGGAGACTTCACTTACTGAATGGTTCCCAGCCCCAGAAGCACCTGACCCAGCCCCCACAGGGGTGCCACCTGCCCAAACCCTCACCCACTCCGACGTCGGGCTCCACTGTCCACTGGCCGACGCGCTAGACGGTCGCCGCTGCTCCCGCCAGGCCGGGCTGGGCTCCTGGTCCCAGGAAACGACAGGAGTGAGGGGTGGAGGAACGGGAACAGGGTGGGGGCAGAGGGCACAGCAGTAGCCCCTCTCCCAACCCATCCACCGTCTGAAACCTGGCAGGGCAACGGGGCCTCCCCTCACTAGCCCATGTGCATGGTGGGAGGCTCACTCCCACTGAGGGGACAGCCCAGCACCCTTCGCCCTGTGCTCCAGGCCCTGCCCAGCCCAACCTCAGATAAGGCTGATGGATGGGGAGTCTGAAGGCCAAGGGCTTGAGTCTGTGACCGTTGTGAAAGGGAGAGGTCTACAGAAGTCCCCCACCCCCACCCCAGAGAATCAGCTGGGTGCTCTCCCCTTCACTGCAGGTGACAGACACCAGAGTGCCCTGACCGGCCCACATCTCGGAGGAGGCCAGGACAAAAGGGGCTGCTCAGCCTCGCCAGCCCCAGCAGTCCCTGTCACCCACCTCCTCAGTGGGACCCCCATCTGCGGGGCCCTGTTGGGGTGCCGGCTCCAGGGACCGCAAGGTGCCGTCCTCCGATACCTGGGACTTCTCGGTCAGCTTGTCAATGCCTGGGAGGGCCGGGTGTGGTGAGGACACTGCCCAGGGCCCCTAGACAGCATGTCCCCTGGGCCTGGGCCCCTGGAGGCTCCCTCTTCCCCCACTTTAGAGACACTGTGCCTGATCCCTCCCCCCCCAGCCCTGCACCCGCCTCCCCCAGAGCCCACACCCAGGCCTGAGGCCCCGCCCCCACACCGCAGGCCCCTCCTGGACCCCAGTGCCCCTGCCCCACCCCAGCTGCCATGCCCATCTCCACTGCTGTCCAACTCAAGCCACGCCCTTTGCCAGAGCTGGGGTGGCATGCCCCAGAAACCCCGCCCGCCCCCAAACACGCCGGCATCCACACCCTCTGCCACCCACCCAGCGCCAGACCTGGGGTGGCCACCAGGCTGGTCTTGAGGGTGCCAGGCTCGGCAGGGGCGGCGGGGCGGGAGCCCTCCATGGAGGCGCCCTCCTGGGAGCCGGTGCGGGACAAGGGCTCCGGCGCCCGCCGGCGCCGCTGCAGCGCCTTGTGGATGGCAGGTGGGTCTGTGGGCAGGTTGGCCAGCTGGTGGAAGACATTGCGCTTCCGGATGATGGCATAGACCAAGTTGGAGTTGCCTGGGGAGGTAAGTGCTTGGCCTCAGGGAGGCCCTTTGCCTCCCCCTCCACCTGGCAGGCTTCCTGGGATGGGGACCTCGGAGGGCAGAAGGGTGTCGGCCCTGGGAGGGGGCTGGGGAGAACCGCCCAAGAGAAGGGGCCAGGGCAGGGCTGGCACCCAGTAGGGGAGCGCCTGCTGGGGCTGCGCAAAGATGCACCTTCTCAGAAATGAGTGTCTGGACTGAGCTCCCCCGGGGCCCCCCTTCCCCCCAGCACTATGGGGCAACACTCGGCAAAGTGCGGTTGGCCGGGCACGTCAGCGTCCCCTCCACACCGGCTCTTCAGTCCTTCCACCGTCTGCCTGAGCCAGGTCACTGGCAGGAAGGTACTCACCTCTCACCACGCTGTTCTGGTTGGGGTGCAGTATCTCACCCCAGGGCCTTTGCATAGGTGGCCCCTCCCCAAAATGCTCTTCTATGCAAATATTACTTATTTTGGAAATAATGAGACCGCCAATATCTAAGTGACCAGGCACTGTGCCAAGTGCTTTTTGGTGGGTTATTTTACTTGGTCCTCCCACCGCCCCCCGAGAGGGGGCCTCTTCCCACCATCATTGTGACCTCCTTATAGACAACGGCTGAGGCTCAGAGAGGCTCAGTGACTCGCCCACAGCCGCAGAGCTAACAGGTGACGAGGCCCTACCTTACACCAGACAACCCACATCCATGACACCCAGCAGGGTCGTGCCACTCAGCACTCCCCTGTCATCAGATTAAGATGGTCATCCAGGCGACCATCTGTTTAAAGCCTCCCTCTGTGCCTCCGCCCCCGGCTGCGAGAGCCTCGGGGCAGGGAGCACCCTGCCTGGTTCTCCACCATGTCCACTGCACCCCGCGCAGGGCATTGCAGGTGCTCAATTAATACACATCGGACAACCCGGGGACAGGGCAGAGAGCTGTCACCCTCGGACAGGAAGGTATCCTTGTGCACTGCCCACCCCCGTTCCCGCCCCCACCCCCACCCCGAGGGCTCGGCCGGGGCGTCACCGTCAAACTGGTACTGGATGATGTTGTTGAAGACCTCCAGGAGGAAGAAGGCCAGGTGGTGGTTCTGGGAGGCAGAGAAGAGGAACCAGGTGGTGGAGAAGGCCTCCAGCAGGTGCAGCAGTTTGTTGGCGGCCACCATGGACAGGCTCTTGAGGTAGGGGGACACTGCAGGAGAGGGCTCGGCTCACTCCCAGGACCCCGCCAGCCAGCGAGTGTCCTGGGTCCTGGACCCGAGCGGAACAAGATGCTCCTGCTCCTGAGCCCTCCCCACCTCCTGCCTGTGAAGTCCCTGAGAAGCCAGGAAGGGCATAACCCCAGAGGCCAAGGTCACCCTGGCCAGGGCTTCTGCAGAGCCCTAGGGAGCAGGGTAGGCTCCACCCTCACCCCTCCACCACACGGACAGCGGTACTGTGTACAAGCCCACTCACACAGGCGGTCCCACCCACCCCTCCCCACACCTCTGGACGGGAAGCGGGACACAGACAAAGCCACCCCATTTTACAGGTGAGGAGCCTGAGGCTCAGAGGGGTTCTAAAGCCACACAGAGTTGTCTGGCTGTCAAATGGCTGGGCTGGGATCCAGACTCAGGGCCTTTAGGTCTCGCTGGAATATCAAACTGATAGTCTCCATCTAATTAAATACTTCTTTTTTTTTTTTGGTGCAGCCTGTGGGGGGACTCGGAGATGAAACGCTGCACACAGCTGGAAGTCACATGCTGATCTGTGCCCTTCCGCGTCTCAGGTCCTGCGCCCTCAGCAGGAGGGGGCGGGGGCGGCTGTCTTGTTCACAGGTGCATTGTCAGAGCCGGCCACACTCAGCCAGTGCTCGGTAAGGTAAGGGACGGAGCCAGTGAGTGAACGGTTAAGGGAGGGCCCCAGAGCTCACAGTCACGATAAAGGCCCTGTACACCACCCCCCACCCTGGAGTCCAAACCAGACCACATGGGAGTTGGCCCCTCTCACCCAGGACCACGATCCCCAAAAGTCATCCTGCCCCAGCCCACCACCACCACCTGGCTGGGCCCAGCTCCCCAGCCAAGCTGAGCCCCCTGCCCTCCCAGGCAGTTAGCTGTCTGCAGCCCCCGATGGTGGGTGGGCCGGGCACATCACAGCACCCGGAGACTGAGGTCTAGACCCTCACTGGCCCATACAGTAGCCACGAGCCACATGGGGCCATTAAGCCTTGAAACATGGGCAGTCCTAACTGATACCTGCTGCACACGTGTGACCCACACACAAGGTGCTGAAGACTGAATGGGAAAAGGAATACAAAATATCTCAATCATTTGTATTGGTTACACACTGAGATGATGGTATTCCAGATATAGTGAGATATAGTGGATTATATACACCATATTTTTAAATTATTGTCACCTACTTTTTTGTGTGTTTGTGGCTACTAGACCAGTACATAGACGGCTGGCTGCCTTTATATTTCTATCAGGCAAGGACGGTTTGAACAGGTAGTGCCAGCCACGCAGCCCGTGGCCTAGTGCCACCTGGTGGTGAGCGCGGGGAAGGTGGGCTCCGCGGCCCCCTACCGTTGACTATGATCGTGAGCAGGCAATCGAAGAGGGGCTGCAGCCGCTGGTGCCCGCTGGTGATGATCTTGTGGAATACCTGTGCGGGGGAGGCAAGGGGCGGCCATGGGGTCCCCTCCATCTGCAGACTCGGCCAAGAGGACGTCACCCCCCTGCACCCAGGTGCCCCCTTACCACAATGAGCAGGTCGGCATGGGTGCCCGTGAAGACCGGGATGTCCATGGGCACGCGCACCGAGTAGGGCTTGTTCAGCCGCACCCCGAAGTTCCGCTCCCCACTCAGAAGCAGCAGGATGAAGACACCAATGTGCATCAGGCCCACCCGAGCTGTGGCAGGTGGCATGGGGCAGGTGGCATGTCACCACACAGGTAGGGAGGGGAGGAAGGGAGCGAATGGGCAGGAACCCATCTTGGGGGGACTGGAAAAGCCCTCCTCAGGGCCCCAGGCCTGAGCTCCTAGGAGATAAACCGTCTGACCGGGCCACCCCTCTTCAAGGAACCCCCATCCTGTGCCCATCCCATCCTATGCGCACCGTGGCCTTACACTGATCTGCTCGGGCATCATTGAGGAAGTAGAGGATGGGGACCAGGATGTCAAGCACATCGCTGCTCTTCAGCACAAAGAAGAGAAATTTCTGGGGGAAGGAGGAGGGAACAGGCAGGCAGGCTCAGAGGGAGGGCAGCTCTGCCCCACCCTCATTGCCCGCTGGGAGTCTCCCCAGACGCTGCCCCTAACCCTGGCCTATACTGAGTAGTGACTCCCTCTCAGGGCAGACCGCTGCCCACCAGGCTGCGCCCCTGCAGCTGGGCCCCTGCAGCCGGCCCACCTTGTTGAAGTCACAGAGCTTCCAGAAGAGGACCAGCAGCTCCTGGTGGAACTGGATCTTCTTGGTGGAGTTGGGCAGGTAGGTCTGGAGCAGGGGGTTGGACAGCAGCCGGGCTGTGCCCTTGAGGATAAACTGGAAGTCCTGGGAGGGAGAGCGGGGCCCATCCAACCTGCTCTCTACGAACACCTCCTCATTTCCCCAGAGCCTGGTCCCACCCTGAGAGTCTGAGGGGCCCAGATTCCCATGTCATCAAAGCTGTCTTGGGGTAAGCCCCTCAGGAAGCTCAGTTCAAGGCTGGCCGGGAGGAGCCCCTTCCCCTCCTCCTATGTGCTGAACTTTGCCCTCCTCAAGGCAAGGGAACAGCTACCATTGCCATGTTGCAGACGCAGAGATCAGAGCTTTGGAACCACATGACCATGTCCCCAAGGTCACAAGACTCATGGACTTAGGTCTGCCTGGTCCACTACCTTCCCCTCCCTTGACCTCTGAGGAACTTGACATCAGAGCCACCTCCTGGAAGTCTTCCCAGTTACCATCACCCAGTTGAGGCCGTCAGCGCTTCTCTGCACCTCGAAACCCTCGCAGTCCTACTGTCGCTATTTCACTGGGGTGGCCCGAGTCCAGGGGGACTACAGCTCCCATATGTAGGGGTCTGGACTCCCCCACCCCTATCTCTCCTGCGTCCCCTCACCCGCTGCAAGAGTGTAACCTCTGTGGGGTGGGCATCAAGAACCCCCTCAACAAGAGCAGTCCTAGACTCACCTCCTCACGGTGGATTCGGGACAAGTAGTTTACAAACAGGTTCTCGGGCCCTGGAGGCTGCCAAGGGTGGGGCTGGGGTGAGCAGGTGCCCCCACCTCTGCCCCTACCCCAGGCCCAGGTGTTAGCCGTGGTGCCCCCTTAAGCCCCAGGCTCACCACAAGGTGACCACTGGGTGTCCCTCACCCAGCTCCACTAGGGGGCGCCACCTGCCCAGAGGCCCTGCCCTCCCGCTCCAGTCCTTACATCAATGTCGTCCATGGCAGTGCCTGTGGTGGTGCCGTCGATGGTGGGGCTGGTGCTGGTGGCGCTGTCGTGGTCTAGGGTGACGATGAGAACTTGGGCAGCCTCCTCCACCAGGGGTTCCCGGTAGTCGGAGAAGAGCAGGTGGTTGTAGGGGATCCCGTAGCCCACAGGGTCATAGGCACACACGGTGTTGAGCAGGGAGGTGAAGAGGGGCAGGGCGTGTCTGCAGGGAGAGGAGCGGCGGGGCTGCAGAGACCCCACCGGGCCCAGCCCTTCATCCACCCCTGCCAGCCACGCAGGGGGGCCAGCCAAGCCGCTCCCTCATTCCACACAGGTCTCAGTGCCAGCCCGGGGCCGGGGGCGGAGCAGCAGGGACAGGAGCTCCTCCCCTTCCTGAGTAAAGGACCCTCCTCATCTTTGCCTGCCTCTGGCCGCTCCAGCCTGGGCAGCGGGCAGGAGGAGTTTATACCGACAGCAAGGTGGCCAGTCAGGACCCTCAGATTCCTGTCCTTTAGATTCCTCCCGCCAGGAGCTGAAGCCTATTCTTCTTTTATTTTTTACGATTTTATTTTTTGGAGGTTCTCAGCAAAACTGAGGAAGGGTCAGAGATGTCCCGCATACCCCTGTTCCCACATATGTACCCCCACCACTAATGAACCTGCATCGTAACCAGCCAAAGCCCAGCGCTTCCATGAGGGTTCAGTCTTGGTGCCGTACAATCTACAGGCTTGGACGGGCATGTGACATGCCCTCAGGTTTTTGAGGGCCAGGCACCCTCCCTTGGGGCTTCCGAGAAGGGGCTGGCAGCCCACGGGGAGATGGGCTCCCCCCCCCAGGAAGCAGAGCACCTGCTCAGTCACCCAGTTCCCAGGCCACAGAGAGACTCCGTTCAGAGATTCGCAAGATGTCAGGGTTCAAGCTCCTCATCTTACAGACGAGGGAACTGAGACCCACAGAGGTTAAGTGAGTGGCTCAGGGAGCTGTTTGCCTGATAAGGCTGGTGAGAAAGAAACTGGCCAGCTGTTGACTGCGGCTGGCAGAGGGTGTCACCTGGGGTCTTTTCGGGGTGGAGGTGCGGGGGCGGGGGAACCCTGGGCAGGAGACCAGGAAGATCTGCGGGATGAGGCATGCCACGTGGGTCTGGAAGCCAGAGGGTGAACCGGGGCCCTCGAGGACACGAACTCCTGTGCTGCTGGCGGCCCAGCCCTGGGCACAGCTGGAGCGCCTGTACCTGCTCCGCAGACTCAGCCCCACCCTGTGACACCTCCCGTGCTCACACAGGAACCCGTGAGTGCCCCCGGAGCCCATGAGCGCCCCCATGTGGCTGGGCTTCCATCCCTCAGGGCATGCAGCCCTCCCCCTCCTCACCAATAAGCCGTCTGAATTGTGCTGCCCAATATGAGCCACACATAGGTCCAAAGAGCTTAAAAAGTGCCTAGTCCGAAATGAGATGTGCGGTGAGTGTAAACTACACACCTGATTTTGAAAACTGAGCATAAAAGGGGAATGTAAAACAGCTCAATAATTTGTATATTGATTCATGTTAAATACTCATATTTCTGATTGGGATAAATCAAACATAATATTAAAATTAATTTCACTGTTTTGTTTTTACTTTTGAATATCGCTACTAGAAATGCTTTAACTGCCTGCGTGGTTCGCATTACGGTTGTACTGGATGGAGGCACACGTCACCCAGGCTCCCGGCAATGGGACATTGGACAGCGCTGGCGTAAGGTGTGGCTGTTAAGTTACAGGTAGGTTATCGCCACCAGGGGGCAGCACATCCCCTCAAATAAGTCTCATAGGGCGGGACGTGGCCTCAGCTCCTCAGCCCTTTCAAAAGAAAGAGAAGGGAAAGAAAGGCCAGGGGCCCCTCACTCACCTGTTCTCCGTGGAACAAAAGAACTGCACCCACGGGTTGGTGCTGCCACTGTCCGGGGCTGGGGGCAGGTACATGGCCTCCGAGAAGCACGTCAGCAGCAGCTTCAGCAGTTCCGTCCTCAAGGAGGGGGTTCAGTGCAGAAGGATCTCAAGTCTCCTCCGCGGGGATGTGCCCACCCTCCCCAGCCCCAGCTCAAGTCCATGAAAAGAAATGGCCCCATTTTTCCCTGTGAAGCTAAAGTTGGTTCATGAGTGGGCAGAGTCTCTTCGTAAGGCCCCAGGCATGGTTCCCTCCAGCCACGAGCTCTGGGCCCAAGAAGGCTCACCGGTTGGTGTCGTGGATGTAGTTGGGCTGGGGGGAGTGAGCGAAGCCCACGCCGGCCTCCCAGATGTATTCGCAGCTGTCCAGGGAGTGCACGTCTTCTGCTGAGTCCTGGGGATAGGGGCAGGGAGAGGTCAGGCTGGGGGTGGCCAACCCAAGTGCCCCACTGTCCCCCGGGGCAGAGACCCTCAAAATGCCCCAGGTACTAATGCACAAGGGAAGAAACGAACGTTCTCAAACTCTTGAAAGCTCATTTTTCTTCACTCTGGTTCTTTTACTTGCTCAATACAGTTTGAAACAGGGAGAGAGATAGGGAGGGAGGGGGATGGAATTGGATGTGTCTGGTGGTGTGTGGGGGTGGAGGGCAGAGAGCACTCAAGGTCAAGTCCTTGGGCCCAGGGGAAGAGAAAGGGCTAGGCCTCCCGTGCCCAAGCCCCACACCCTACTCACCGCCCAGGCGAAGACAATGGGAGCCTGTGCCCAGGCTCCCGGATGCAGGGGGCAGGGCCAGGCACCAGATGGCCCCACTCCAGCTGTGCCAGCCACCACCCCCTTCCTGGGACCACGCACGCCAGGCAGCCCAGCTCTCCCTGAGTAGCCCTGTGCTCCAAAGCATCCTGCCCAAGGGAACTTCCACCAGCCCCACCCCAGACCCAGAGCCCTCCCCCCAGTCTGCAGTGGGGTCAGGGTCTCTCACCACTGTGCTCCTCCGGTGGCTCTGGACAGTGAAATCTGGGCAGAAGAGCAAGTCAGCAATGGCCAGGAGCAGGGACTCAGCCAGGGGCCGGGCATTCTCATCATCATCTTCTCCCTGCTCAGAGCACAGCACCCAGGGGCCACCTCAGCAATAGCTGGCCAAGGAGAGGTGGCCCCGGGATTTGGGAGAGGGGAGGAGGCCAGGGTCTGGGCCCAGGCAGTCACTGTGGCAGCCTGCTGTGACTCCGAGCACTGAGTGGGAGGGGCTGGGTCCTGTCCCCTAAACTCTGGAGCCTGGATCCTGCAGGGAACCCACGTGTCCACCCACTGGCCAGCTGCCCTGTCCCTATCTCCACCCAGAGACCCTGTGGGAGAGGAGCCCCCACCCAGTACCTGCACTTCCCAAAGCCCCAGAAGTTCTGGAGGAACATGGCTCGCCCTGCACCTGGTTCTCACCAGGTCAACACCGTAACTCCACCCCCCACCGACCCCCGCCCGCCCAAGCCCACAGACCCCTCCTCGCCCGGCCCCGGGCACTGTGGACCAGAAGAAGCCCCTCCAGTCTGGGTCCTCAAAGATGTAGGGCAGCACGCGGGTGAGCAGCCGGCTGCAGTTCAGCACAATCTGCTTCTCCTTCTCTGAGTGGCAGCCGCTCTCGGCTCCCTGCACCAGCTTCTCCACAGCCTGTGGGATGGGCACAGGAGCACGCTGGAAGGGTGGGGAGTGGGGCCCTGGCACTCGGCTCGGGGTGGGCACCCCAGGCTTGAGAGGGGCAGAGGCATCGGCTCCACAGGGGAGGCCCCACCCCACGGGTGCCACCCTCCAGACAGGGTCAGCCAGCCCCGGGTGGACGGGACATGGACCAGCCCACCACTGTCTCGTAGACCCTTGTTAAGTGAAAGTGACTGTCCATCTGAGCCTCAGTTTCCTTATCTGTAAAATGGCGACACTGACAGTGACAACCGTGCAGGGCGAGCTAGATAACTGGCCCCGGGAAAGCCTTCATGGCCACTGGGCACAGGGGACCAGAGCCCAGCCCAACCTGGGAGGTGGCGGCACATGCCAGGTGCCTGGCCTCTGGGACCACAGGGCTGGGCCAGCTTCAGTTTCCCCAAGAGAGCGGTAAAGAGCTCAGCGGGGGGCAGCAGTGAGGGCCAGGCACCCCCCACCTTGTAGCACAGAGTGGCCAGGTTGGAGGGCGACTCCTCCCGCACTGCCCGGATCTCCGCCGCTGGCACCAGCGCAAAGACATCCTGCACCGAGGTGGCCGTGTCTGCCCAGAACTGGTCCCAAAAGGCATCGTCGGTGGCTTCCACGGGCTGTGAGGAAACCCAGTGTCCAGATGTACAACCCTTGTCACAGGGCCCATGATTTGCCCAACACGCAGCCAAGGAAGCTCCCAAGAGCTGCTCCATCCCTGCGGGTGCCCCGGAGCCTTCCTGTGTGGGCGACATCCTGTGGCCACCAGGAACCCAGGTCAGCACAGGCAGGCCAGGGCACACGACAGATGGTCAGGGGCCAGCTGGGCATTGAGTTCAGCAGCCAAAGCCCAGCCCAGTCCCTGAGGGACTGTGACTGTCCACTTCTGGGTAAGTCACTCTCCACCTCTGGTGGAGCCTCCCCACCCACAAACATTCTAGGCCACGCCAGCAGGTCAAGTGCCCAGGGACCAGACCCAGGCGGTGCCCCTCCCCCGGAGGGAAGACGAGGGGCATGTGCTCATCCCCATTCACCCAAGCTGCCCACCTCAGCCCCAGCCTCCACCCTCACCCAGCACACCTGATGGATGCCACATCTAAAGGCCTCCACCCCCCAGCTCTCTGACCACACCTGCTCCCCTGGGTGCCCCTCCCGGCATGCATGGGCACTGCCATTCAGGGCACTCTTGCCAGGGCCCCAACTACAGGACGGCCCATCTTACCTCCTCCATCCCACCTCCATGCTGCCCCCCCTTTCAAAGCCCAGCGCCAAAGGCACAGCTCCCACAGCCATGACCTTTAGGGCTCCCCACTGCCAGCAGGACTGAATCCGGACCTCAGCTGGACAGCCAGCCAAGCCCTTCCCTAAACACACCTGCAGGCGGGTGCACACGCACACACGTATGTGCATGCATACGTGCCTGCATCTGCTAGCTCTACCATGCAGCCCTGCCATATCTTCTCCTTCCCTTTGCTCACCTCCTCCCAGCAGGCCCACCCCTCTCGACACACTGCCAAGCCCCACCCATCCCGTTGAAGCCAGGCAATCAATGCGGATGATAAACCCCACTTCCAGAAACATTTCCTAAGGAAATGATCGGAGATATCTATGCATGTATCAGGATGATAACCGAGGTGTTACTAACAGCAGTGAAAAGCTGGGATCAACCTAACTCGCCAACAGCCAGGAAATGCGTAAGAAGCTCGGGCACACTGGTACAATGGAATACTATGTAGCCGTCAGAATCTCGCTGTCAAAGGATGTTCACGAATGGAAGCCGCTAAGTGTCACGTTGTGTGGAAACAACCACAAGATCTAAAACTACAGGATGGCCACAGCTGTGTGTGAAATTAGGTGGTGACAGACGTCTAGAAGGGAGGACACTGATCCCTCTGGGTGGTGGTTAAATACGTTCTTCTGTAAGTTCAGTATTACCACTTTCTTCCTTTCGAATGTTCACCTGTGGAGGGGCGGAGGGGCTGGGGTGTGCAGGCACTCGCCCCCTCCCAAAGACCGCTGCTTCCAGCAAGAGCCCCTCCCCACCGCCCCAGCCAGCCCCCTGCCAGCCTGGGGTCTCCCCAGTTCTGAAAGGGCTCACAGAGTGCCGCACCGCCCCCCCAAATACACATCTAACAGGTATCGCCCTTGTGATCAGAAAACTGTGTATCTTAACAAAGAATTCTGTTCTCTGAAGCCACTTCTTGCAAGAGGTCTCCCTGAGCTCCAGACCGATGGGCCTGCTCCCACCTAGGAACCCCCTCTCTGCCCACTCAGGGAGACCTCTCCACAGCCCCTGACTCCATGGGTCTCGAGGCCCCTTTAGGCCACCAGCCCTTCCTCCCTGACCCTGCCATGGAGGCATAGGGCAGATGCTCAGGCAATATTTGTTCAGCTAAAGGCTGTAATTCCCCCTAGAGACCCCTTCAGCCCGGTCACTAGACAGGGCTGGGGGCTGTCCAAAGCCACGGCTGGGGTCGTGAGCCTCGCAAGGTCCAGGAGTGCCCTGGCCCACTCCCCTCTGAGCTACAGGGCTGCGTGTGGCCTTGGTCCTCTGGACAGTCCTGGCACCAGGGCCTGCTCAGTACCAGAACTGGTAGAACAAGTTATCGGAGTGGGGGGCGGGGAGAGGAACAGAGGCCAAAGGAGAGGCCTTAGGGCTGGGGTTTGCTGGTCAGGACAGCCCTCTGACACTCACCAGGTGGCCAGGAGGGAGGTAGGAAAGGACACCCAGAAAATATGCAGAGCCCTCTCCCCATCCCAATCTGGAAGCTTCTCTGGGAAGCTCCCATCTCTACACCTTCCCTGCATCCCAGGTGAACACTACCCCCTTAAAGGGGCCGAAACTCGTCTGAACACCAAGGAGACTTGGCCTCTGGTCTAGTTCATCAGGCCAGTGTCCCCAGGGTAGCCCAGCCCTGAAATGAGGAACTTCCTAGCTGTGAGAGCCGGCCTTGAACCTTGAGAGCGGTGAATTTCACCTCCCACGTCCTCAACTGGTCCCACTGTGGCTTGGACACGTCAAGCTGCTGACCACTGCCTGCCCATACCAGGCTAGCCTAATGCTACAGGTATGTCAGGGTCACTTCCGCCACTTAGGCCTCCAAGGGGAGGGACATGGCTCAGTTCCTGCCTCAGTTTCCCCAGCTGGGGTCCACCCAGCCCAAGGAAGCTCTAAAATCCAGGCCAGTTTCTTTGAAAAGGGTGTTTTTGCTGGCAGTGGGCAGGCCCGCGCTGCCAGGGGCACAAGGGCTGAGCTACCTGGTGGGTAACTAGATATTCTTACCCCAGCTCTGCAGGGCCTGCCCAGGCCGGTGCTGCCAGCAGCCTGAGGGGCCAGCTGCATCTTCTGAAACCTCTCTGGAGGAGGAGGGAAGGACCAGCAGTGCTCCAGCCTGCTAAGGGTGACCTGGAGGACTGTGTCACCATGGCATTGACATGCATGCTCATGTGCACACATGTAAACATGGACCTACCAGAACCTGCACCTCTCATCTGCCCAACAGCAAAGAACCTCCAAACAGGTGGAGCCTGGGAGAGGGTCCAGGTCTGGGAATGCCCCCCTCCAAGGCCCCTCCCACCTGGGAAAGTCTCAGGAAACACAACCAGAGCTACTGGCCCTCAGCGCCAGGGTCCAGCCCAGCCCAGGGCAGGAAGGAAACAGGATGCAGCACAGGAAGGCTGGGCAGTGGCGGCTCAGGCCTCAGCCTCGGGAAAAGGCGCTGGGCCAGCTTGTTTGTGTTCACCCCACGGCCTCTAAGGGCCTGGAACCGGAGGACACCCTGGGGACAACTAGCCCACATCTCCTTGGAGACATGAAGTGGCAAGTTCTGGATGATCATCTGGGACCTGGTCCTCACCCCAAGCTACTCAAGCCAGGTCACTGCACAGGACCCAAGGTTTCAGCCCCTGAGGACCTCTCCCTCCAGGCAGCCCAGACCACCTCCCTGCTTCAAGGCCCCAGTGCTCCCAGAGGGAGACCCAGGCCGGTCTCTGGCTTCACTCCTGTCCCAAGCCAACACACCATCCTCAGCTGGGAGATGAGACAGTGACGTCTCAGTCAGATCCATCACCGTATTTCAGGGAGGGAGGCAAGAGCCAGTAGGAAGGTAGCCCACCCAGACCCTTTGGGTCCTGGCTGAGCTGGCCCGGCTGGCCCAGCGCAGGACCTGGCAGCTGAGCCAACGGCCCAGTGTCCATTTCTCCACCAAGGCGCTTCCCTCCCTCCCTCTTCTCTCTGTGGGCCCACACTGGGCGGCTGGACCACCTTCCACCCACACACCTAGAAGCCCAGCCCTAGAGAGCAAAGTGCCAGAACTGACCAGGAGCCACTGGCGAATCAGAGAGCAGCAAGGAGCAAGGTCTGGTTTCTGTCAAACACCTCCTGGCCAGGCAGGGCTCTCCGGAGGCCCTGGGCCTTTGCCAGCACCTGACCTTTCTCTCCTGGGAACCAGAGAAGGTGGGTCCCCTGGTCTGGCCTCTGGAGCTGTGACCAGCAAGTTGGCTGTGGGTAGATGGCCCCCCCATCCCACTCTAACTGCCAAGGGCAAGAGAGAGCCCAGGGAGGGGTGGGGGTAAGGGTAAGAGGACAGTCCCAGATGACAGCAGGTCCGAACTCCCTTGAAAGTGGGGAACTTGGGAAGTCAGGGCTGGCATCTCTGTGGCCAGAATGGCCTGGCTCAAGGGGTGGGCGAGGGAGCAGCCTTGCCGGGGCCAGGTCCCTTCATTGGCAGCAAGGAGGTGGCCTCCGTGCCACTTGTGGACTCAGGGGAGTGTGCAACCACGGATTAGGCTGCAAGGCACCCCCAGGCCCCACACCAGCAGGTCAAGGGCAATCTGGAGGTTTCTCAGCCCTGACCCAGGAAACAGGGGGTACCCCAAACACAGCCATCCCCATGGTTGGGTCTCAGAGGAGAAGTCCCCTTCAGAAGTGGTCTCAGCTGGGAAACTGGACTCCAAGGGTCTGGGAAGAGGTCCCCTTGCCAGGCTGCTGGGCCTTTGCTACCCTGGGCATGGACCAGGGCCCAGCCGAGCTGCCGCTGCCGCGCACCAGCTGTTTTCCCAACCAGGGCGGACACCGGCCCGGCTTTGTTTGCACTGAGTCAGCCAGGTCTGTGCGTCCGGGACCCGCAGGCACCGAGGGGCAGCGAGGGAAGCAGGGAGGTGGATGGGTGGGTGGAGGCGGGCAGAGGCTAACGATGCAAGGCTGGAGGAGCGGATGGGGTGGGGGGCGGGCAGCGGCGACGCCGGCTCTGAAAGTAGGCACACGTCAGCCTAAGGTGGCAGCAGCGGCTGCGGGGATAAGAATATTCCCGGGAGAGAAGGCGGGGGTGGGGGACTAAGCTAGGGGATGGAGTCTCTCGGGGTACAGGCCAGGGGTTTGGCTCCGACCCTGGCATCCGTACCACCCACAGACCCAGCTGCTTCCCCATCTCGGGGCAGGCCAAGTTCACGCAGCCCCCTGGCCCAGCCTAGCCCCCAGTCTGGTAGGTGGGTAGCGAGGCCGGGGCCCCGGGCGCACCTGCGTCTTGGTGGTGAGCTGGATCACCGCCTTTCGGAAATTCAGCTTGGAGTCGGCCGACCCCATATCGTTGGAGCCCGATCCGGACCGGCACTGGTCCCGACTCCCGCTGCAGCGCCGGCTCACGATCCAGCTCCAGCGCCACGGCCCCCGCGGCTCTTGCAGGAGCAGAGCACACACAGCTCAGCACCCCGCCCGCCCGACTGCCGGGCGTCGGCCCCGCCTCCTCTTCAGCCCCGCCCCCGCCAGGCTCCGCCCCTATTTGCTCCACCTCCGACACCTGCCGCACGCGGCACAGTCCACTCTCCGCGCTCGGAGTCTGCCGCAAGCCCCGCGTCTTTCTCGGCTCCACCCAATGCCTCTGCGCGCTCCCTTCTGCGTCCGAGCGTGGTCCCCGCTCCGTCTCTCCCAAATCCACCTAGCCGCAGGGCCCGCGATCCTCCCAGCCTCCCGTCCCCGCCCCCTCCCCAACACTGGTCCCCACGCCATCACTGGACCCACACTTCCTCGGAGCCTTCTCCCCTGAGTTTCTTCCTCGTCAATCCCTGTCCTCTGAGCCTTTGTTTTCTTCCGAGCATCTGCTCCCTTGGTCCCCTTTTTCTGACCCGTCAAACCCACGTGTCCGGAGAGCCTTAGGCTCAGCCTCCTGCTCTGTGGAAGGCAGGCTGACCCAGCGCCCTCCTCTCAGAGAGCAGCTCCGGAGCCTGGTGAGCGCTAGGGGTCCTTTTGGCTCCCACAACCCCTTTCTGGCCGCCTGCCTCCCCTGGAAATTCTTTTAAGGCCGTCCGTCTGAACAAATGTGTCAAGGGACCAGTAATTAGCAACACTGTGTTGGGGACGGGGGCGGAGGGGCTTAAGACAGGAGGCCTACCCTTTGTCAGCAATTACCTAGGGAGAGAAAGAGAAGAATCAGCCATGGATCATCCAGCGTGTCTTTGGTAGAGGCAAAGTAGCAGTCATAGAAGAAGTGACAATATTGCTAACAACAATAACCTACCTCTAAGGTATCTATTATCCGCATTTACACATTTTCAGAAAACCGAGGCTTGAAATATTTAAGCTATTTGCCCAAAGCGACACAACTAGTAAGGAACAAAGCCAAAATTTAAAAAAATCGAACTCAGCCCCAAAGAGGCTGGGCTTTTTCTACAACATCATCTTGCATGCTGTGTCTGGAAGCTTCTGGAAATCCTGGATGCTTCCAAAGGAGGTGACATTTAGCTTAAATAGGAATTCCACGGCTTAAAAAAGTGAGGGATGTACCCTGTAGGCAGCAAAGAGATGGCACAAAGGTAAAGTAGGACAGGTGTGGACGTGAGGGGGACAGGATGTCGCCATGGCCCTGAGTCAGCAGACTGCACAGGAGAGCTCTGTCCTGGCCCCAGAGATGAACTTCCCCTTCCCTGGATGAAATCCTGGCCAGGCCTGTGGCTTTTCTCATGGCTCCCGAGATAATGAATGAATGGCACCTTTATTTGGCATTTCAAAAAAAAAAATCCAGTCTGCTCTGCAAATCACCCAATGCTAGTCCAGCCTAGAGTGACATTAAAAACTCTGAATCTCAGTCATTACAGAGATGCAAATTGAAACCGCACCATGATAACCATTATATTACCTATTAGGGCAAGGGAGAAAAAAACCAAACCTGACATAACAGATACTGGCTTGGATGGGGAGCATTTATAGGTTGTTATAAAGTTAAATATACAATTACTATATAATTCTCTAATTCCACTCATGCTATATACCCAGGAGAAATGAAGACAGATATTCACATGCACACACACACAAAAAAACATGTGTAATGCTGGTAGTAATTTCATTCATAACCACCCGAAGGAGGCAGGTGACGTTGGCGATGTGGAATCCTGATTGTCAATTTGGTGCATGTTCTAGGTACCGTTGCTGCCTCTCCCCACCAAATTTGACGTAAAACAATAAACATTTATTGTAAATTCATTAGTCACTAATTCAGGCAGGGCCCAGCTGAGGTGGCTTGTGTCTGCCCCACGACGTCCAGGGTCTCAGCTGGGAAGACTAGAATGGCTAGGGGAGGGGTTAACTCAGTGCAGCTGGGTGCTGGAGCCATCTGGGGGCTTCCTCACTCCCATCTCTGGCATCTGGCATCTTGGGAGGACTCAAAGCCTGGGCTCAGCTGGGGCCGAATCTGGCATCATCAACGTGAGTCTCCTGTGTGGCCTGGGCCTCTCACAGCAAGGCCCTGGGCTCTGAGTGTGAGTGTCCCAAAGGGTACAAAAGAGAGGGTGCCTGAGAGAGAGAAAGAGAGGAGGAGGAGGAGGAGGAGGAGGAGGAGGAGAAGAAGAAGAAGCCTCATGGCCGTTTAGTAGCTAGCCTGGGAATAATAACACGTAAAGTCCCTTCTACCACACTCCATTGGTCAAAGCAATCACAAATCCATTGGATTCCAGCAGAGGGAACCAATACCCCACCCCAAGGAAGAAGTGTCAAAGAAGCTGGCAAAATGTTTAAAGCTGCCACACTGTGGGTGATTCTCTCCTTCACACCTCGTCCCTCCCAGCCCTGTCGTTCTCTGCCACCTTTGTCTCTAAGTCTTCTCATCTCAGTAAATGGCACCTCCCAGGCAGTCAAGCCAGAAGTCAGCGTCACCCTGGACACCTCTCCTCTTGTCACCTTATGTCCAACCCATCACCACGTCTTGATGTTACTTCCCAAACATGTATGCTGTATTTTCTACCTCCCTCATTTCTACTGACCACCCCCCTCATCTCCCATCTATGGCAGCCTCCACCCGGCAGAACAGCAGGGAGTGGTTGTGAAATGCAGCTCACGACACTCACGACTGAAACCACCTCAGAGCCTTTCGTTGGGGACAGTTTCTTCAGGGTTGCAAGGTGTCCTGCACTGCCCATCTGCTCCCCGCCCCCCAGAACCCTCGGGCTCCACACGCTGAACTTCCCACGCTTCCTCTCGACCCCTAAGTGCTTTCTGCCCAGGGTCTCTGCACAGGCCGGTCTCCCGCCTGGGCGCTCCCTCCTCTCGCCCTTCATGTGCCTGTCCCCTGCTCATCCCTGGGGTCTTATCTTTAGAGCCTCTTCTCCTGACAGATCTCTCATTCCCAGCTGTTGTTATTCCAGCCCCAGATGTTGCCTAAAGCTTTAACCCCCCGTTTAAAGTACTTTTGTCTTTTTATTTGGTTTATGTTTCTCTTGCCTAGTGAAATGCGATATTCGTGTGAGCAGAGACGGGGTCGATCTTGTTCCCTGCAGCCCCGGCAGCTGGTACTGGATAGTGGGCGAAGGTGACTCCCGCAGGGCTGTCGTAGGACCTGGAGCCACGTCGGGTGTCTGCGTCAGTCAGTAGGACTGATACATTCACCGACTGTTTCTCAGAGCCATTTTTCTCATACTTTTGGGAGCCTTTCAGGTGGGGCAGATCTGAGCGGAGGCAGAGAAGGATGACAAAGGGTGAGGGACGTGGTCCGGCCGCTGGCCTCAGAGCATTCACTTGTTCATCCGCTGGAGGCTGCTTCGTGCCTGGCGGATGGGTCCTGTGCAGAGTCCCATGCACACTGTGAAGCGGGCACGCAAGACACAGCATGGGCTTCTCCACAGGTCTCTTAGGCCCATGGCTCTGGCCTTGACTGCAAGCCTCACCAGCCCTGTACTAGAAAGGTAAGGTCCCTGAACAGGCCTTCCCAGGAGCCCTGCCAGAAGAGGGGTAGCCACGGGCGACAAATAGACCCTCCAGGTAAAACATGTTATAGTAAAAATGACCCTAAAGGCAAACACTGGCTGGTGCACGCATGCCCCAGGCCCTGCTCTAAGCCCTTGGCCTGTGTTAGCTCACAGACTCCTCCCAGCAGCCCCCTGAGGTGGCCCTGAAAGAGCAGGGTGAGGCCACAGGGGGACACTCAGCACACACTTCCTAAAGGACAGGCCTGGGGCTTTAACTGCAGGGACTGGAGGAGGGCTTGGGGAATCAAGGCACTTCCAGAGGGCAGGGACTGTGAGGATCTGGTCTGGGACAGACCCAGATGATTTATGGGGGGAGGGGGGACACCAGATGACCTCATTCATTCAAATGTGTTGAGCGCCTTACCCTGCCAGGCGCCGCCGACCTCAGACTGCAGGACTGGCCAGATGGGCCCAGAGCGTTCAGTGCAGCGGGTGCCCAGCGCTGCAAAGTCTGAGGGCAGGGAGGGCGGCGGCTCGGCCTCGAGGGGTGGCGGCTCGGCCTCGAGGGGTAGCGCCTCTGGAAGAAGTTGTCCTGGTGCTGCCTGATCCCTTGACCTCAACCCAAAATGCACAGTATTGGGAGTTAGTGGGAAGCGCGAGGGCCCAAAGACGCCACTGGGCATCCTGACCCTCCCCCAGCGTGACTCGCGTGACTGGGAGTGACCGAGACCCTCTAACGTCAGCACTGCCTGCGCCGTCATTTCCGGTGGGCTGGGCTTCGGAGTGGGCAGTGGTGACTGTGCCCGCGGGTTGTCGCATCGGGGTCCCAAGCAGACTCTGCCTGGAAGGCGTTTGCATCCAGTTCCGAGCCTCCCCTCCCCAACCCCGCCCCCGCCCCACCCGGGTCGAATCTTTGCCCTTGCCGCACCTCTGGGATCTGGGCTTGTGCTCCGGAGGGAGCTCCTGGGCTGGGAACTGGGGAAGTGCTCCTGGTCCCCCCAGGAGTGAAACCGACCCCAGGGGAACCCTACTGCCCAAGGTTTAGGAAACGGTGGGTCCACCAACGGGCCGCCTGACACCGCTGACGAGGAACACCATGAAACAGGCCTGCCTGACACACAGAGGAGGGACCAGGCTCTGGGGTTGCCGCCATCGGGTCGTGAATAGGTAGGTCCCAGCCATCAGCCCGCTCTATGCTCCGTTAAGGGGAAAAGGCCTGAATAAAGTGGACCCCAGGGTTTTTTGGCTGGTAGCTCAGGAAGGCAAAGGAACTTCCTTCCTCAAAGGCAGATCTGATTTTTCTTCTCATGCAATAGTCCAGAAAATATTAAGTCTGCCCCAGAGACACAAAGGGTGACCCCCTCCCTGGGCCAGGAGCCTGGGGTTCCCATGAACCAAACTGGGCTAAGGGCCCGGCGCAGGCCCGGTGTGCAGCAGGAAGCCCGTCCCCCAGCTGCCCGCAGCTCTCTGAGGCACCTGGGCCTCCACCCCCTGTCCCCCTCGGAAGCAGTGAGGGGGGGGGATTCCACCACCTGGCAGAGTCGGTGGCCCAGCTGCAGCCGGCCCCCACCCCACGCCAGCCTCACAGGACCTAGGGACCCAGGGGAGTCCAGCCTGAATCCCCCTGCCTAGTACTTGGGTGGCAGTGAGAATCCAGCCTTTAGGACATGCTTGTCCTTGCCAGGCAACACTCCTGGACTGGGGCGCTGGGAGGGAGGTTACAGGAAAGGAGAATATTCGGGAAGAGCCATGTCGAGGGCGTAGTCAGTGCGGTAAAGGCCAAAGGCTGAGAGATGACCCAGCAGCTGGGTGTTTTCAAACCTCATCGATGAAAACAGCCTTAGCTCCAGGGGCTAGAGGTGAATCTCCAGGTTGGGGACTGCCTTTCATTACCCTGGCAAGAGGTGGGGGGGGCCTGCCCTGGCTGGTGTAGCTCATTGGATTGAGCACGGACTGTGAACCAAAGGGTCGTGGGTTCGATTCCCAGTCAGGGCACATGCCTGGGTTGCAGGCCAGGTAGGTCCCCAGTAGGGGGGCGCATGAGAGCCCACCACACTGATGTTTCTCTCCCTCTCTTCCACCCTTTCCCTTTGTCTAAAAATAAGTAAATAAAGATTGGAAAAAAGTTCATAGAAAAATTAAAATGTACATTAAAAACTTTTTAAGTAATAAAAAAAGTTTTAAAAAGAAGGGGGCCCTGCTAGCATCCTCACTGCCAAAGCCTAGGCCCTCAGCCCTGGGCCCCTGCTTTCCCTCTGGGGCTTCCTGCGCTCCCCAGGGGCAGCCCTGGCTCCTGTAGTTACATTTCCACAGGGCTGCAGACTGAAGACATGAGCAAGTGCAGAGGGCAACTTGGTGGGCTTGGGGTCCCAACCAGATCCCTCCGGAACTCAGCCCCCCCAACCTGGTTGTCATGAGACTCATTTTGTCCCCATCTCAATAAATGACCTCACCGCCGCCCTGTTACCCAGAAGTCTCAGTGGTGTCTCCGATTCCTTAGTCGGTTCATCTGAGCGTCTTGGTTCTACACGCAGCACGTTTTTCATCTCGCTGCATGTCCACCGCCCCCGGCCTTGTCCTCCCACCGCCACCTCCCTTTAGACCATTGAGAGAACTGCATCCTCGTCTTCTTGCTTCACTTCTTGAGTTAACTGTTTCCCTGAAGTATAACGTATTTAGAGAAGTGTACACAGCGTAAGTGTGCACGTCAATGATGTTCACTACTGAACACACCTGTGTAACCAGCACCAAGGTGAAGAAATGAAACACTCCCTGCGCCTCAGAGTTCCCCACGTGACTCCCCAAGGCCAAACAGTCTCCCATTTAGAATCCTTTTTGCCCGTTATACACTTTCTGTAAGTGGAATCATGACTCCCCCAAGGTGTCCACCTCCTAATCTCAGAATCTTTGACTATGTTACAGTACATGACAAAAAGGACTTTACAGATGTGATTAAGTGGAAGGCTTTAAGTTGGGGGGATTCTGCTGGATTATTATCCAGGTGGGCCCAATGTAATCCCACATGTCTTTTTGTTTTAAAGATTTATTTATTTACTTACTTATTTTAGAGAGACATGGAGGGATAAAAAGGGAAAGAAACACCAATTGTGTGAGAGGTACATCAATCAGTTGCCTCTCAACCATGAACCTGGCCTGCAACCCAGGCATGTGCCCTGACTGGGAACCAAACCGGTGACCTTTTGGCCATTGCTCAATCCTCTGAGCCACACCAGCCAGGTCCCCAAATGTCTTTAGAAGTGGAAGAGAGGCAGAAGAGGTCAGTGTGATGCAGTGTAAGAAGGACTCAACCTGCTGTTGATGCTTTGAAGACGGAGGAAGGGAGAGATGAGCCAAGGAATGTGGGAAGGCTCTAAAAGGTGAAAGAGGCAGGAACAGACTCTGCTGGAGCCTGCAGAGGGAACTCAGGCCTGTGGACACCTCGATTTCAGCCACTGAGCCCATGTCAGACTTCTGACATACAGAACTGTAAGATAACAAATTTGTGCTGTTTCAAGGCATGAAATTTGGGGTATTTGTTACAGAAACAATAGTAAATACAAGTACTTGCTCTCTGTGTCTGGTGCTTTCACTCGACATTTTATCTGTAGTCTATAATACTCCATTGCATGAGTATACCATTTTATTTACCTACTGATGGACAGTTGGGTTGTTCCTAGTTTACAGTAGTACTATGAACAGCACCACTGCAAACGTTTGTGTACCTGTCTTTCGGCCACGTATGTACGTATTTCTGTTGCACATATAGAGGAACAGAATTGCTGGGTTACCAGGTGTGCATTTATAGCGGATGCTGTGACGCGTCACCCAGACTTTCCCTCAGGACCCCAGGCCCTGCTCTCCCAGCGGCTGGACACCGCCGGCACTCTCTGAGAAGAGAGGGACTGGGAAGAGCTCCTCCGCCCAGTGTCGTGCCACGTCCCAGCGGCAGCCTGCATCCATTCCAGGACTGGTTAGTAAGTGTGTGTACTGAGGTGGGGGGGGGTGAATATAAACGCCACCCCCCCAATGCCTTTTGGAATAACTTTGATGGGTCATCCCAGATTCAGGGCTTTCCAGAAACCAAGGGAGGCTTTGTGGAGGTCAGGTCTTAACCCAACGTTTTCTTCTTCCAACCCTGCTTCCTTCTCTCTTCCTACAGGTGTCGATCCTTCTAAAGAAGTTGAACACCTTCTCACATGTTTATTGGGCCATTGTGGTCACATGTGGAATTCCTAGTCAAGTCTTTTACCCATTTTTGCACTGAATTGCCTTTCTTTTTCTGGTGGTTTGCAGGTGTTCTTTCTATACTCGATGCAAGTCCTTAGTTGGGTGCATTTGCCACATATTCTCAGTTGAACATACTCAGGGGACTTCAACAGTAACAGCACATAGTGAGTCCTAATAACATAACTGTTGACTTACATGTTGAATTACATGAATGCTTGAGTCTGAAAACTCCCTTAAGGAAAGAATGCCTGGAGAGGTAAAACCGTACTTGATTTTAATGGATATAATTGAATATAGGGTATGGATCCCACTCCTGGCCTGAGGTTTCTGGCTACAGGCATTTGAACACTCAACTTCTTCAAAGTAAATGTGAATGAACATTGATTCAGAGTGTCTGTCCACAGAAGGTATCAAGAGGCTAGCCTGTTCTAGGCATTGAGGAGCCAGCTGTGAACAAAAGATAAGATCCCTGCTTTCAGGAGACCCGAAGGGAGAGAAACACAACAGGTAAACAAAATAAAATAATTTCACACACTGAGCCCTAAAGTGAAGGAGGTCATCATGGAGGGAAGGGGCGTGTTGAGCCAGAAGAAGCCAAACCAGGGCATTAGGGAGATCCCGCCCTCGGCCCCGCCTCCATCTTTGCATACAGCTCCTGATTGGCCGAAGGTGTCTAGCCCCACCCCGCGGAGCGGGCTGTTGGGGAAGCTCTGGGCGGTTGGGGAAACGCCGGGCGAACCCTGCCGGGATGCAGTCGCGGCTCCGGGTGTCGCCGAGCGGGCCGGGGGCAGCGCGGGCCGAAGCTGGGCAAGGCGCGTCCGCCGTGGCACACGCGTACTCTTAGCGCCCCAGACCTGCCGTGGGGCCCGGGCCCTTCTTGTCGCCGAACCGCCCGCCGTCCCCTCCCCTCCACCCTTTGTGCCGCCGCCGCTGTGTGTGCCAGGCTCCGCAGGACCCCGGCCGGGCCAGAACGCCGCGCCGAGTCAGCCTCGTGCGGGCGCCGGGTTAGCGGCCGATGGCGAAGGGGCGCAGCGCGGGCTGGGGCGCTGCAGCCGGAGTCCGCGACGCGGGAGACCCGGCCCGCCTCCGCCGCATTGTCCCGCGCCCCGCACCCGGGCTCTGAGCCGCGCCGCCGCAGCGCCCGCCCGCAGCCCACGGGGCCATGCGGAGGGCCGCGGGGATGGAGGACTTTTCCACGGAGGAAGAGGAGCCCTGGTACGACCAGCAGGACCTGGAGCAGGGTGAGCACGGAGGAGGGGGCAGGAAAGCGAAGTGCGCCCCGCGACCCCTGTCCGCTACTCCATTGTTGGGCGGTGTCAACCCCGGGAGGGCTGGGCTGGACCCCGCGAGCCGCACTCAGAGGGGTGATGTGTGTGGCGAATGGGAGGGTGGAGAGAAGGGGCGTGCTGCCCGGGAAGACCCGGACGGGGCCCGCGGAGACCTGCAAAAGTCGGGGGACCGCTCTTCCTCTTTCCCGAAGGACAGGGGCACGCATACGTGTTCACCCAGCTCGCCCACCCCAACTTAGAGGCAGGAACTGCCCAGGGGCCCCTGATGCTGTCGGGGGACCTAGGTCGTCACTGGAAGTCTTTGGAGGCCGGGAGGTGGCTCCTTGGTTGTTTTCCTGGGAGGGGTGGAGTGTGTGGCGGGGGAGGGGGAGGCTTATCCCAAATCCAGCACCCTTCCTTCTCTGCCAGAATTCCTGAGCCCTAATACTCCCAGAAAGTTTCCCCAGCTCCCTTTCCCTCGACCCAGGGAGGGACTGGATGGAGTGCGGGGACCCTGCCAGGGGAGAAGCGCAGATTTGGAGTCATCAATCTGCCTTCCCGAGGGAGGGGTCCCCTGGTCCTTTCCCTCTGGCCCCCTCACAAACTGCTTGTTGTGTGGAGTGGGTCAGGTTTGGGAATTCTGAGCAAGGGCTCAGCTTAGAGCCTGAGTAAAGAGGGAGCCACCTCCCTCCTCCATCTGAGAGCAGAGAGGGTGAGTAGAAGTGGGTTAGACGCCGGTGATGAGGTGGCCAAAGTGACATCACTCCAAGTAGGGGGCGGGCTGTTAGGACAGGAAACAGGAGGAGGCCTAAGAGGGTCAGGGCCAAGGCCTACGAGAGTAGAGTCAAATCCACACTATCCTCCCCAAGAGCGTCTCATTCCTGAATGGTCAGGGCTGGAGGGGTGTCCAGGAGAAGTGACCACTGTCCCCTGCAAGTGGGCGGGGGTGGACCCGAGTCTGGTTCAGTGTGTGACTGACACTCCTGCTCTGGGGCTCCGTCCGTGGCCCCCAAAGCCTGGCTTTGCCCTCTTGGGAAGCATCTACCTAGATTCCTGAGCCTTTGTTTCCTGGCTCTGACCCACATCCCGGTGTGGCCAGATTGGCTGGCAGATGAGGCTCGGTCCTTGTGCTTCAGAATGTGGGGAAGCCAGAGGCTCGAGTGTGGGACTGGGGGTGCTGGGTCATCCCCTGCTATACTCTATGCCTGGAGTCTACCCTTAGCTACCCTGCCTGGAGTGAGATGCCCAACACTGGCTGTGACCACCCTTCCCCAAACCTGGGCACTACCCCCCCTAATTTTACCTATCAGACTCCACCTAAGTGCCAGACAGTATCCTGGGCACTGGGCATAGTCCCAGCCCTGGCCCACTAAGTGGATTTGGGCAAGTGGAGGTGGGCCTGTAATTGAGTGTAGGTGACAGGATGCAGTGAGAGGGCTTCATGGAAGAGGCGGGCCCAGAAGGAAGGACTGGAAGCTGAGTGCCTGGGAAATGGCCTCTGGGAAACAGATGCGGATTTGTTGCTGTCTCATTTCATTCTGCACCCTTAACCACGTCTCCGGAAGTGTTGGCCCTGTGCCGGCCCAGATGTGGGAGCCAAGGAGCAGCGGTGGGAGGTGTGCTGCTCCCAGAGAGGGAGGGGTGTCCAGATTCCCGGCTGGGCTGGGGGCCCACTCTGGGCCAGGGTGGGGGATGGGCCCAGCCAGCTCCCTGCTCTGGCCTGGCTGGCCAACAGCGGTCAGCCTCCCTCGGGCTCCCCTGCAGCCATCAGAAATGAGACAGTCTCAGAAGACACTGGAGCTGTCCACTGAAAACCAAATGTGTGCTGAGCCTGTGAAGTGATCTCTGTCCTCAGGGGACGCCACGTTCCAGCAGGGGAGGCAGAAAGGAGATCAAACTAGCAACCATGGTAGAGCCACGGGGCTGCAGCAGCAGGCACATTCGGAAGGGTTCCCACAGAGGCCCCTCTGAGCCGCGTGCTGAAAAGGCACTCCCTAGGCAGAGAAAGGCAGGCGGGCATTCTGGAGGGAGGGGACACTTGTACAAGGCATGGAGCAACGTGGGAAGACCACATGTGGCTGGAAAGTAGATAGAGTTTGAGCTGGGGTGGGAAGAAGTCCCAGGCACAGGTGCTGTGGAACCATCCCTGTGGGGGAGGCCACGGGGAGAGCTGGACGGTGGGGTGAGTGTTCTCCAAAGCCTGGCCACACTGGGGATCAGGTGCCTGTTGTGACCTCCTTCCCTGTACCCAAGTCCCCAAGTCTCTGCCCAGCTGCTCCCTCCGTGCCTCTGAGTGGCCCAGGAAGCGGTTTGCCCAGCCGGCCTGGTCCCCCAACTCCATTACAGCAGGTCCTGACTTCACTTCCTGAAATTTGCCCATCAGGACCCCATTCGACTTTCTGATGCCATTTCATCCCAGCCATCCCAATAGCAGGGTCCTTGGTGCTCGCTGCGTTCCCTGCGCCCACTGCCACAGCACCTCTAAAAATAGAAAATGTCATTAATTATTAAGCACTGGCACTCTTTCTCTTCCTGCCTGCCTCCCCATCTTGGACCAGGCTTGGCAGGCCCTGTGGGTACCACTTCCCAGGCTGAGAGATGGTTGCTGAGTCAGAGATTTGAAGTCCTGGGCACCTGACCTTGAGTCTGAGCCTCGGAAGAGAGCTCTGGCGTGGCAAGGGGAGGAGGCGACTGGAACCCAATTCTGTGGACCCAGAATTCATGCCTTGTAAGCTGTGAGCTGGTCAGCCGCAGCCCCGCCAGGTCTCCTCCCTCCCCTCACCCCCCGATCTTTGTCTCTCCTTCCCTGTGCCTGTTCCCTGTCCCTTTCCCGCCTCCCTGCTTCGGAGTCTGTGGGGCCCCACCCAGGCCCCAGCCAGGGGCAGCCAGTGGGATTTCAGCATTTCTTTTCAAAGACACCCTGTGTCTCCCAGTCATGCCCTTTCAGGCTTCTGGGGCGTTGCTCCTGGGCAGCACCACAGCTGATTGGGCAGGGGGGGTAATACTGAAGCCTGCTGCAGGAGACCCCAAAATCTCCCGGTCCAGGAAGGGGAGGTGCCGGTAGTCTCAATACTTTCCCTGGCTCAATCCAGTGATCTGGTTGTGACAGGCTGTTCTCCCCTCTGGCTTCTAGCTCACCCCATGTCCCACTCCCAGGCCACCCTCCTGCTCTGCTCCACGGGGAGCTACACCCTCCCTGGAGCCCTCAGTTCGCTGGTATCCCTTCCCCAGCACTTGACTCTATCCAGTCCCTAGCTGCGCAGCTTCTGTACTTCCCTCATGACCCCTCCTGGCGGCTTTGACCAGCTTAGCTGGCACTGTGATCAGGTTTCCCAGAGACCGACCCTGAGGTTCTCCCCGCCCCAAAGAGCTTCCGTTGTGTTCCCTTCTTCCCCATTCCTGAATCACTAGGAGGCCCAGCTCACAGTTGCTGCCTTCTGAGGGCCGTGTCCCTGGTTTATAGTGTGACTTCAGCTGCCCCAGCCCCCTGCCGTAGGAATGCTCACAGCTCAGGGAGGGAGGCCAGCAGGAAGTGCAGTGCTCATGGCCTTGGACTCTAGGTTACGCTGCAAGGGATCCACACAGGCCACCCACAGGGCCTGGTCCCTGACACCAAGGCAGGTGACATCAGTACCAATGGCTTCTTCACACCCGACAGTGCCCAGGGGAGAAGATGATGAGTGTGGTCCTAGAGGTGGTTTCGCTGGGCTCCTAATTTTCCACCGAGCTCTCAGCATAAGATGGGGCTGCAGATCCATGACCCTAACATCAAACTTCACACTTTGTAGACTTGCCAAACGTGTAGTTAATAAATGTACACCACTCGTGCCCTCATTCCCCGTCTAGGTTGGTGTCAGGTAGCTAGTTTTTCTTGGCAGCATCATCAGAAGGTTAACTGTTTGATGCTGAAGGTTCTTATCTGATTTGTATGAACTGGTACTTTGTGCAATGGCTCGGGTGGGTGTTCAGGGCAGTGGTTGTGTTTGTCCAGGCTAAGTTATTGCTACTGCAGCCTTGCTTTGGGATAGCAGCTTTGCACTCCTCAACCAGGGAGCTCCTCTGGGTGACGCCTGGACACAGGGCTCCCCACCCCACCCCCACTTAGGTCCTGCCTGGAGGCTGCACTCTGGCTGTTTTGGAACCTCACCCCCCTGGGTGGAAGCAGACCCTGGTTTGTTTCCCAGGGAAGGGAGGTTGCAGAGAAGGGCACAGGTCTGGAGGGCCCAATGCTCCTGGAGACTGGGGCGAGGAGACCTGAACTCTCTGTGTGGCTATAACCCAGCTGGCAACCTTGAGCGGGAAGTCATTCTTCCGCTCTGGCCTGTCATCCACAGAATAAGGAGATTGGGCCAAAGAGCTTCGAAGCCTCATCCAGTTCGAATATCCAGCAGGCCCCTTGCCCCTCCACCTCTCAGTGAGCTCCTAGTCACCCCTCCCAAATGCTGCCCATTGTCTGAGCCTCTTGCTGTGCCTGGGACAAAGAATGTCCCTTAGTCCTTATCCAGGGCACTTGGCACCTCGGTCTTATCATTCTTTCAAAACAGATTTATATACCTGCTCTGTGCCAGGTACTGTTCTGGGTCCTGGGGATTCAGTGAAGGAAACAGGCAAGATCCTGCTCTGTGAGCTTACAATTAGGGGGGGTGGGGGACAAAAAGATAAATAAGCAAATTGTTTGGTAAGTTAGATGGTGATTTCTGCTAAAGAGAAAAAATTAAGCCGGGGAGGAATGCAGAGTGGGGGAGAGTGCAATTTTAAATCAATGCTGGGGAAAGGCCTCCTGGAGAAAGTGACATTTAAGCACAGACTTGAAGGCCAAGAGTGCTGAGCCCTGAGAGTGTCCCGGGGGGAGTGCATTCCAGGCAGAAGCCACAGCCAGTGCAGAGGGCAGCCCCTGTGTCCTGGTCGTCTTGGGGGTCCCCGAGGCCCAACTCAGAATGAATGCTCAGAGCATGGGTAGGGGTCCTCTGGCTTCCTCCTCACACTGCTCACTGTTTCCCCTGCCCTCCACCCCTCCTCCCAGACTTGCACTTGGCCGCGGAGCTGGGGAAGACGCTGCTGGAGAGGAACAAGGAGCTGGAGGAGTCCTTGCGGCACATGTATGCCACCAACGAGGAGCAGGTGCAGGAGATTGAGGTGAGGGCCTCGGGCTCTGCACGCACACACCCCCGCCCCCACCTAAGTTGCCTCTGTGCAATTAGGAAAAGACGCAGCCTCCACGACCATCCCAGGCAGTCCTGCCCCACAGCCTTTTCCCCCATTCTGTGGCGTATGAATGCCCCGAAAGGAACCTGTCCCTGGAAATGGGCGGAGGGCCCAGGCAGAGGCATTTTCCCTCACCCTGTTCCAAAAGGTTAGTCACCCTCCCTCCCCTATGAACCCCAGTACCTGACCAAGCAGCTGGACACGCTTCGGCACGTGAACGAGCAGCACGCCAAAGTGTACGAGCAGCTGGACCTGACAGCCCGGGACCTGGAGCTGACCAACCAGAAGCTGGTGCAGGAGAGTAAGGCCGCCCAGCAGAAGATCCATGGGTGAGGGCTGGGGATGAGTTCGGGGCCCAGGACGGAGGGCCGTGGGGAGGAGGGACAGGCAAGGAGAGGCCCGGGACTGGCTGTGCACATGGGTGGATGGACTGGTGGGCGTGACTGCTGCTCCTCATCCCAGAAGCCCAGGCTGGGAACCTGGAGTAGTACTGACTTTGTCCTTGTAGATTTGGGGTGGTTTAACATTCAGGCCATAATCATGTAAGCAGCAACTATGCACCAGGCTCTGTTCGGGCACCCAGGATGCAGTGATAGGGATCCAGAGACACTGCCCCACTCTGGGAGTTCACAGCCCGAGAAGGAATGCAGGCATGTGGATATCTAATTGCAATGCAGGGTGATGAGTGACAGAAGGTGTACGAGGAGCTGAGGTAGTACAGAGGAGAGATGGTCAGCGCGCAGCCTGGGAGGCATGGGAGAAGGGTGGGTACCTCAGCACCAGGCAGCATGGCTCAAGGTTGCCCGTCTGTCCCCAACCCCATGTCCCTCCAGGGCTACAGTGAGGAGGGCTGGCCCTGTCCCCTGAAAGTCCCTCCCATGCGTGTCTCCCACCCAACCCTCAGGCTGACGGAGACCATTGAGCGTCTGCAGGCCCAGGTAGAGGAGCTGCAGGCCCAGGTGGAGCACCTTCGGGGCCTGGAGCAGCTGAGACTGCGCCGGGAGAAACGGGAACGCAGACGCACCATCCACACCTTCCCCTGCCTCAAGGAGCTGTGCACCAGCCCCCGGTAGGCGAGGGTGCCCCTTGTGGGTAGAGGACCCGGACCCTGGATGGCATCTCCAAGCGCCCAGGACTGCCAGCCGGGGGAGCGAGGAGAGGGTGGGCACCGGGCAGCAGGTGAGAGCAAGAGTTGGTGCGCTGCCCAGGCTGTTGGCGAGGCTGGCCCTGTTGCTAACGACAGTCAGCAGCTGCTGTTTACAGAGCACTGGCCATGCGCCCACGACTCCGCTAAGTGGCTTCATAATCATGGCAGTACCCTGAGGTGTGTTTTACTGCCCTCACTGTGCAGATGAGGAAGTGAGCCCCACAGGTTCTGTGTCTTTCCGAGGTCCCCTGGTTAGTAAGCCAGAGCTCTAGCCCGGGAGGGGTCAGCCACTGCCCCTTTCAGCCCCCGTTCGTTGCCTCTCAGTGGGATGACTTCTTAATGGAAGAATACATGTGGTCTATTTGGGGGGAGGGTTCTTAAATTGGTAACTTTTATTTTTTTACATTAAGTTATTGGGGTGATGTTGGCTAATGAGATCCTGAAGGTTCCGAGTGCACATTTCTAGGATGTACGGTCTATATGTTGCATTCTGTGCGCGCCAGCAAAGTCAGATCATCTTCCGCTGGCGTGTATTTGGCCTCCTTTATCGCCCCTCACCCCCTTCTCCCTGGCAACCATCACATAGTCCCTGACGTCCATGTGTTTCAGTTTTATGTCCCTTATATGAGTGAAATCTAGAATTCTTAGCTTTTTCTGACGGACTCATTTCCTTACCATAGTATGCCCAAGGTCCATCCATGTTGTCGAAAATGGCAGTATTTCATCTTTTGGGGCTGAGTAGTTTTTCATTGTGTATGTATACCCCATCTCTATCTAATCCCGGTGTTTCAGTAAGGGTCCTAGCAAGAGGCAGTGCCTCACACAGAGTAATTGAGAGGCGATTAATAAAGAGGTGTGGTCAGGTACAGGAAAATGTACAGTGTCCTGGGGGACACTGTAGCGCCCCAGGCTTGCCATAGTGAGGAGCTGTTACCATCCCTTGGCCCACGAGGGCAGGGGCAGAGGGGTGACTGGGGCCGGGAAGCAATGGAGGATGCTGCACTGAGCCGGGAGGAGCCTGGGGAAGGCGTCCCCACGCCTGTGTCTCCTCCCATTCTTGGATCCCCTGCCTCCAGCCCCCACTGACTGGGCTCAGGTAGCCTGGCTGAAGCAGTCCATTGGCGTCTCCCTCCCAGAGCAGAGGGCAGAGGGAGAAGGGCCTGGAGTGGATGGAGAGGGACAAACACTATGCAGCCCAGGGGACCAGATAGTTGTAAGTGTCCCGGGCTGGACTCCCGGGCCTTGCCCATGGCCAAAGCGCTCTGCCCACCTGCCCCTCCCCCTCTCCCAGGTGCGAGGACGCCTTCCGCTTACACAGTTCCTCGCTGGAGCTGGGCCCTAGGCCCTTGGAGCAGGAGAACGAGCGTCTGCAAACCTTGGTGGGCGTCCTGCGGTCCCAGGTGAGCCAGGAGCGGCAGCGCAAGGAGCGGGCGGAGCGTGAGTTCGCGGCCGTGCTCCAGGAGTACTCGGAGCTGGAACAGCAGCTGTGCGAGATGGAGGGCTGCCGCCTCCGTGTGCAGGAGCTGGAGGCCGAGCTGCTGGAGCTGCAGCAGATGAAGCAGGCGAAGACCTACCTGCTGGGCCAGGAGGATCACCTGGCCGCGGCCCTACTGGCACCCCTCACCCAGGCCCCTGAGGCTGATGACCCCCAGCCAGGCAGCGGGGATGAGTTCGGCGCCCAGGACGGTGTCTCCTCCCCAGGCCACTCTGTGCGCAAAAGCTGCAGCGACACAGCGCTCAACGCCATCGTGGCCAGAGACCCAGCCAGCCGGCATGCGGGCAACCTCACACTACACGCCAACAGCGTGCGCAAGCGGGGCATGTCCATCCTGCGGGAGGTAGACGAGCAGTATCACGCGCTGCTAGAGAAGTACGAGGAGCTGCTGAGCAAGTGCCGGCAGCACCGGGCCGGGGTGCGGCATGCTGGCGTGCAGACCTCACGGCCCATCTCGCGGGACAGCTCGTGGAGGGACCTGCGGGGTGGTGAGGAGGGCCAGGGGGAGGCCAGGGCTGCGGAGAAGAGCCTGAGCCAGCACGTGGAGGCCGTGGACAAGCGGCTGGAGCAGAGCCAGCCTGAGTACAAGGCGCTCTTCCAGGAGATCTTCTCCAGAATCCAGAAGACCAAGGCCGACATCAATGCCACCAAGGTCAAGACCCACAGCAGCAAGTGACCCTCAGGGTCCCCCCCCAGGGTAAGGCCATGGGTGCCTCATGCCTGGGCCTCGCTGCCTCTGGTGAATGAGGGAGCTTTTTTGCGGCACTATAACCCAGTAGGGGCCACTCTCCGACCCAGGGAGCCGGTAGGGGACCCAGCTTGTCCCCTGCTGATGTGGGAGGTGGTCAACATGTTAACAGCCTGGCCCCCCCAGGACCCTCCATGACCCCATGTCAGCCCAAGGCACAGCTACGAGTTACAAAGCCAAACGGCCCCGCTTCCCTTCCCCAGCTTTCTGACCCCAGACTTGTCGCCAGGCTTCTGAGAGCCGCTCTGGACCAGTTGGCTTTTTTCTTTTTTTTTCAAAGTTCAGTTTCTTTTCTGGTTTTTTTTTTTGAGAAGTTTGCAATGTAAGGTTCCCCTGACCCCTTGCCGCAACTGGAAACACTTGAAGGGGGACCCCAGAGCCAGCTGTGGCAGGTTCCTGGGGTTTCCTGGACCACCCACTGCTTTTCCCCAGGTGTGACACACTGTCATTCCCCTAGTGCCAGCTGTCCCACCCCCAGGGTCCTAACCAGGTCAGAGATGGCCCCTGCCATGCAGAGCAGAACACCTCAGCCTGACCTCAGGGTCCCCTGCGCCGGCCCTGGTGGGGGCGCCCTTCTCCCTGGAGACCCTCAGCCCACTGCAGATCGGTAGCCGACCCGAGGAGCGGAACAGAGAGGCCCTTAGCAGCCGCACACGAGCGGTGTGCCACTGCCCTCAGAGCCAGCCTCCTTGGGTTCCAGCCCTGGAAGTACCTTCTGGGCATTAAGCCTTGCAGGGGTCTGGGCGGTGGGGAGCCCCCCATCTCTGCACACCACCTGCAACTCATCAAGTTTGGCCTCTGCCTGCCCCCACCTCAGGGACCATAACGCGTCTCATTCACTCCCATGCTGCCCACATGCTGACCTCACCACGGGTCACACGTGCTGCTCCCAGAATGTACCGGGCATGTGCCACAAGCCAGTGTTCCCAGCTTCCGCCCCTGTCCCCTTTCACTGGGGGCGTCCCAAGACTCCCCACTCTGAACAGTATTAAAATGGGACCTGCAAGGAGAGCATGTCTCCTTCCTCCCATAAAATGCCTGCTCTTAACCTCCTGCCTTTGTGGAGGGCTCTCGAGGACCCAGCTGGGGTTCAACCAATTGTGAAGGCTTCAGAAAATCCAGCTTCAACTAGGAGATGCCAGGTCCCCAGCTTGCCCTGAGCAATGCTTCAGGGCTCCTAGTTTCTGCTGCCCACCCACCCCGAGACCCAAGAAGTCAGAGCAGCCGTACAGCCTGGTGAAGGCGATAGCCCTGGCCTCTGTGCCAGGAGCCTGGGGGGCACCTTCATGCCTTACTCGTTTCTAAGGGGTAAAGGGATTTTCTTAATACGCACGCCTGACCTCCCCAGAGGTGCCAACTTGCTCTCCGGGCGGCACTGTGATGAGAGCTGTTGGCCGGTCCTTCGGCCACACATCTTGGAACCCTTTGTCCTTTGGAGCCAGGCAGCTCCCAGCCCTCCATGTGTCTCTGTCATCTAGGGTGGAGGGGGTGGGGTGCACCGGGTGGGGGAGGGGCTCCTGCCTGTTCTTCTCCCAGTTCTGTAGCAGCCGACCAGCATCACCTTTGATGTATACATGAGAGAAATATATTTACAAATGCTTTATTCTCTTCTTTAATAAAAAAAATGCACCAGTATTCTAAAGGCAGAAATGACCCCGGAGCCATGGTCCTATTGAGCGTCTCACAGGTCTGCCTCCCATTGCACAGCTCTGAGGGGAGAAATTCCTGAACCTCACTCCCCCACGACCCCTGGCCCCCCCGAGATTGGCAGCCATTGAGCTGAAGAGGGTCTCAGAAGCTGTTTACTGAGCACCAGCCACGAGGGCGGTGTTGCCTTGCAGGGTGCCCCACACTGGCTGGACCCTTCTTGCTGGACAGATTTTGCAGTTCCCTCCTCCCAACCCACACCTGCCAACAGCTGCAACTTCAGAAGTCAAAGAAAACACTCCCGAATCTTTGGGGCTCAGTTTCTCCCCACCTTCTCCAAGCGCCCACTTCCACACAGAAAAATCAGCAGACTCTGGATCCCATTCCCACAAGGAAAAGCTTCCAAAATCTTTTGGAGGTCGGCTCAGGGACCTCCCTCCAACCACCCCCCTGCCCCTCAAGGAGCCAGGAACAACCTCCCTCGGCCCCTGCAGGTGAGGACGGTGCGGTGTGGGGAGCCCAGAACTGGGCCCCAACTTGGTGGTGTCTGCTTTTTAAATCAATGACCAGCATGCTGGTTTTAAGTACACAGCACGCAAAGGGCTGTCTGCCAAGGGAATGGGGAGCACAGTGGACATGATACCCGGAGCAATTGCACCTGAGGAGCCAGGGGAGCTGGGTCTTGCACCAGGGCACCCTTCTCTCTCTCTCTCTCTCTCTCTTGAAGTCCCCAATGGATATATCCCCACCCCCGCCTCTATTTCCTTCCTGGGTTGCCTCCCCCAGGTCTCTCCCCTGCTTCTTCTCCCAGACTGACAACCTTCCCCAAGACCAAACGCTGGGTAAGTAAGAGGGACTGGTCCCCCTCCCACCACCCTGCCTACACCCTCCCTGCAAACTCTGAGCTGAAAGCTTGGTTTTCTGGTAACTAGGCTGAGAGGGAAACAGCTTCGGAAAGAAGGGGGCAGCTTTGCTCACCCACGCCGGGGTCAGGGGGTGAGAGCAGGCTCTGTGCTGCCTGCCCAGCCCCTCTGGGGAGAAGGAAGGAGACCTGGAACAGAGCTGGTCCGACTGGATTTCCCAGCCTGTGCCGCAAAAAAAAAAAAAAAAAAAGATAAAAGCCATCAGGTCTCTGAAAGTAAAAGGAAGTTCCTTCAAAAAACCTGTACACACTTAGCACCCTAGTAACAGCCAACTGCTGTTGCCTGCTGGCAGGCAGCTATAGAATCTCTATTTTCTGTTGGGGATCCTGAGGCTTAGAGGTTAAGTTAGTAATTCAAGAGCACAGAGAAATATTTGAACCCAGGTGTGACCCAATCCCACTATGCCATAGTGCACGTCCCCTATTTCCATGTAATGTGGAGTTTTAAGAGCCAGTCTGGGCCAGGGCACTCCAGGAAAGAAGGGGAAATCTGTCGGGCCCCCCGTATGGTTGTGGTACCCAACTCACAGGCCACCCAGAAGGGCTGGTTCCTGCAAGCTCCTCAGCTACTGGGAAAGGCTGGATGATTCTCTCTCATCTTCCCCTCTCCTCACCTCTGAATGTCCCTTTTCCGAAGCACCATCTCCACCAATGCAGCACCAAGGAGGGGGAAGGAGGCTGGCTTTAGCCTTCTGTGCCCACCTTTTTAAGGGAACAGGTGGCACCTCTCTGGCCTGTTTCTCCCAGAAGGCCTCTATTCTGGATGGTTCACCGGAGCAGCAGGTACAAGGAGCCTGGCAGCTGGTTTCCCTGCCCCCACCCCCCGTGGTAACTTGTCTCATTCTCTCCTCTACCCCACTCCTGTCCCAGAATCCAGGGCACCAGATGGCCCAAACAGGCTGTGTTTATTTGGGGCCATGGAAACCTGCAGCTTTCTTTTCCTATCATTCCGGGTCAGGCACAGACAGGGCTGGAGCCCAGCTCAAAGCAATGATTGAATGGTGGTGACTTTGCTGTTCACAATCCCGGAGTGTGGACCTGGAGGAGTCCCAGCTTGGCTCCCCTGAGAAGCTATTCCAGGTGCCATACAGATGCCTCTTCCCTCTGAGGTCTTGGGACTAAGACAGGGAGGGACTCAGGAGACTCCCCTTCCAACCCAGCGCCATCCTCTGCCTCGTTTGGGTTTACAAAGCCAGGGCTTGGGGGGCAGTTTATTTCCCCCTAAAGATTTGCCTGGATCAATGAGGCTAAGACCATAAAGACCTGACTGGATGACAATCTCCTGTTTCAAACAGCCAACATCCCCAGACACTTATTTTCCTAGGTAATTATGCTTTTCCTAAAAATAGAACTCTATTGAGAAACAAACACTAGCCCTGGCTGATGTGGCTCAGTAGCTTGGGTGCCCACCTACGAACCAGATGGTTGCTGGTTCAATTCCCAGTCAGGGCACATACTGGGGTTGTGGGCTAGGTTCTCAGTAGGGAATGCCTGAAGGGCAACCACACACTAATGTTTCTCTCCCTCTCTTTCTCCCTCCCTTCCCCTCTCTAAAAGTAAATAAATAAAATCCTAAAAAAAACAACCACTAATATTACTAATAATCACTAACATCCATTGAGCTGTTTTTGTTTACCACCCTGCCTCTCGGCAAAGTAACTCAGCCATCATTTAGCTGTTTCCAAACACTGCTAGGTCTACTTTGAACCTTTCTTGGAGTCCCAACCTCTCGGTTTGGGAGTTCACCCCCTAACAGCCCTGTAAAAAGCTCTGCTTAGCCTGTCTGTCTGGATCTCCACCTACATGCTCAGCCTCAGGGGGCTACCTCCTGGCTGGGGGAAACTGCCAGGGGGCTCCTCGGAACTGCTGGCTCCCGAACAAAGGAAGGTGGGTGTAGCCCACTTACTTATTTTAGAGAGAGAAACATCGATTTGTTGTTTCATTATTTATGCATCCACTGGTTGATTCTTGTATGTTCCCCGACCAGGGGACCACACCCACAACCTTGGTGTATCAGGATGATGCTACCCACACTTTTTTCTCTTCCTGCCTGCCTCTCTCATCTGGTAATTGTTACAGACTTTTCACACACGTGCTCAGCGGGGTCTTGCTTATAGGCTGCCTCATGAAATGAGCCTAAAGTTACTAAAACTCAGTTCTAGCGGACCTCAGCTTTCAAAAAACACATTCCCAAAGAATTGGTCGGAACAATGTGTACCGAGTGCCTATGATGTGCCAGGCTCTGGCTGCTGGGTATCCGAAGCAGAGGGCCAGTGCCTTCCTGGAGCTTATTACATTCTGGCTGGGAGAAAGGCAATAAACTGGAAAAGCAAGATTAGGCGATTTGAAAGGGGGGAAAAGTACAGCAGAGTAAAGGGGATGAAGATGAACTAGGCTAGACAGGGCTGGCCTCATGGGTGGTGTGATATGGCAGGAGAGCGGCCCGGGAGGAGGGGAGAGGGTGTTTCTGGAGAGACAGATCGGGGGTTCTTTCACCAGGAGGCTCCCTTGAGAACTCGCTAGCTAGCTAACGTCTTCCCCACCGCTGCAGTAGACCTCAGGGCGCCAACCAGACCTCCGGAACCCAGCCGATGGGGACCATCTAACAGGCGCCGCGCTAGAGCCCTGCCGGGAGCTCAGCTCGCCGCTTCCCCTGATGGCGCTAAAAGTCGCACGGAACCAAACCCAGAGAGAAACACGATCTAACGGACCGCCAAAGGATGAGCACACCGGAAGCAGCCCCGAGACTCGAACATGGCGGCAGCTCGGGGCCTCCGCTGGGGCCTGAACCGAGCCAGAGCCTGTTTGCTACCACCACCCGCGCACTGCCCCCGCCGGGAGCTGCACAAGCAGGTAGACGGCACCGAATTCCAGAGCATCTACAGCTTGGACAAGCTCTACCCGGAATCGCGGGGAGTGGACACCGCCTGGAGGGTCCCGGTGAGCCGGGAGGGCCAGACGGAAGGGGCGTTTCCCCGCCTCTGGCGGGGGCGGGGGGGGGGAAGGTCAGGAAGCCGGGGCCCTATTGGGCGTGCGCGCCGGTTCTTCGCTGGGGGCCGCAGTGGAAGGGAGCTGGTTGCCCGAGCAACCGACGACTGGGACCACTGGGCGGGTGTCGGCCCCTCGGGAGACTCGAGAAGTGGGAGTGCTGCGCCAGCCAGCACGAGGGACAGTCTCCTTAAGAGACCACCAGCTTTTCCGCATTAGTTCCCCAACCTTCAGACCCAGAGCCTTGTCCCAAGGAAAATGTTGGCATTCTCGCCCTGCAGAATGGGCAATAAATGCAGGAGGCTGCCATGTTGTTGCTCCCTTCTGGGATGTGGGAAAGTTACACTGTCCTTAGCCTCTAGTAACCCCAGCATACCCAAGGAAGCTGTTTTCTCGTTCGTATCCTCAGGATGCATTTACTCACAGCTTGCTGTGTGCAGACTCCGGCTCTGGCTTAGACCCAGGCTCTGGCCCTGGCCCGGAGCCAGAGAGATAGCACCCAGCCAATTTCCTTGAGTTTCCACCTACAGGGCTGGAAGAGAACGTTCATTGATTCATTCACTCAGTCAACACACTTCCATTGAGAGCGTGCTTTGTAGCAGTGCACTAGGCATGGGGATAGAGCAGTGAACACAACACAAAAATCCTACTCTTTTTGGACGTTGAATTCTAAAGGAGGAGACAGCAACGCCAGTAAAATGAGTAGTGCAGAACATGTGAGAAGGTGATGTGCTTTAGAGAAAATAAAGCCCGGAAGGAAGAGGAGTGCTAAGGTAGGAGGTGGTGTTAGTTTTAAACAGGATGGTCTAGGAAGGCCTCTGAGAAGGTGACATTGAGTGGGACCTGGAAGAAGCAAGGCAGGGAGCCATGAGAATAGAGGGGAGATGGACATCCTGTGGGAACAGTAGGTGCCGCCACCTCAGAGCGGTAGCATGCTCTGCCTGTTCAAGGAACAGCAAGCAGGCGAGTAGGGGAACCTATTGGAGGATCCGAGGCAGAGGAGTGGGATGATCCAGCTGGGTTTTACAGGGCTCACTCTTAACAGAGCCTCGTGCAGAGTAGATTGTGGAATGGGAAAAACAGCAAGGCCAGTTAGGAGATTGCAACAATGCAGGTGAGAGATGAGAAGCAGGGTGGAAGCAGTAGAATCCTGAGAACTGTTCAGGTTCTAGATATGTTCTGAATGGAAAGCCTCTGGGCTTTGCCAGTGGATTTTCGCTGAGAAGTGAGAATAAGAGAGGAGTTGAAGTCTGGGGCTTTGGGCAATGGAAGGATTAGAAAGTTCTTTCATTTAGCAAAAAAGAAAAAAACATTATTGTGTACTTATGTGTCAGACACTTTCAAGCACTGCAGTGGAAGAAGCAGAAAGTAAGCAAGTGGAGAAAATACGTCGGGTATTGAGAAGCAATGAATAGAGCAGTGTCCTATCAGAATGCAGGGTGGCTGCTTTGGAGTGGAAGGAAGGGGGGTTCTCCTAGTTGGGTGTTGTTTTTTTTTATTTTTTTATTGATTATGCTGTTACAGTTGTTCTATTCCCCCCTTCATTCCCCTCCACCCTACCCCCCCGTCCCCACCATTACCCCCCCTTTAGTTTATGACCATGTGTCTCAAGTCCTTTAGATTCTATATTTCCCATGCTATTCTTGCCCCCCCCCTTCTATTTTCTATCTACTGTCTATGCTACTTATTTTCTGTACCTTCTCCCCCCTTCTCCTCCTCCCACTCCCCTGTTGCTAACCCTCCTTGAGATCTTCATTTCTATGTTTCCACTCCTGATCTAGCTGTCCTTTTAGTTTGCTTTCGTTTTAGGTGTGGTTGTTAATAACTGTGAGTTTGTTGTCCTTTCACTGTTCACGTTTCTTTAACTTCTTTTTCTTAGATAAGTCCCTTTAACATTTCATATAATAAGGGCTTGGTGATGATGAACTCCTTGAATTTGATCTTATCTGAGAAGCACTTTATCTGCCCTTCCATTCTAAATGAAAGTTTTGCTGGATAGAGCAATCTTGGTTGTAGGTCTTTGGATTTCATGACTTGGAATACCTCTTTCCAGCCCCTTCTTGCCTGTAAGGTCTCTTTTGAGAAATCTGCTGACAGTCTGATGGGGACTCCTTTGTAGGTGACTGTCCCCTTAGCTCTTGCTGCTTCTAGGATTCTCTCCTTCATTTTAATCTTGGCTAATGTAATGATGATGTGCCTTGGTGTGTTCCTTCTTGGGTCCAACTTCTTTGGGACTCTCTGAACTTCCTGGATTTCCTGGAAGTCTATTTCCTTTGCCAGATTGGGGAAACTCTCCTTTATTATTTGTTCAAAGAAGTTTTCCACTGGTGGCTATGCCTTTCCCCCTTCTGGTACCCCTATAATTCGGATGTTGGAGCGTTTAAAGATGTCCTGGAGGTTCCTAAGACTCTCCTCATTTCTTTGAATTCTTGCTTCTTGATTCTTTTCTGTTTGGCCATTATTTGCTTTCTTCTGGTCCACTCCATTGATTTGAGTCCCAGTTTCCTTTTCATTGCTATTGGTGTCCTGTGCAATTCCATTCATTTCAATTAGTTTCGCCTTCATATATTTGTCTAATTTGTGGCTATAATCAACCAGTTCTGTGAGGATCCTGATCACCAGTGTTTTAAACTGTGCGTCTGAGAGTTTTGCTATTTCTTCATCGCTTAGATCTATAGGCTCTGGGGCTTTGAGATTTTCTTGAGCCATTTTTGGTCTGTTCGCGCCCTTTAAGTGTGAGAAGCTGCGCCTTGGACTCCCAGGTCGCTGGGTTGTGACGCTGTATGTGGGGGCGTGGTCAGAGCCGGGAAATGGCAACCCCCTCTGCTGTTTCCTACAGCTGGGTGAGGATTAGCGTCTTAGGTGGTTCACCTGGGCCGGGCCACTCAGAGTCGCTGGGTTATGACGCTGTATGTGGAGGTGGGGTCAGAGCAGGGAAATGGCGGCGCCTGCCCCGGTCCAACCATCCACTCCCTCGCCTGTCCACCCGCGCACAAATGCGGGACCACAGTCAACACGCAGCACCGCTCGCCTGGTCGCTCGCTTGGTTGCTCACTAGGTCCAACCCTGCGCCTGGATTCTGCGTGCCTGAGTCCTTCTGACCGAGTCCTCCTGTGCAACCCCGCTCCACCAGCCGCTGGTTTCGCCCCTTACCGGTCAGGCTGAAGAATTTGTTGTTAACGGACTTCCGAAAAGTTCAATTTTCCGTGTTCTGGCTGTGTTTTCTGTTGCTAATATTTAATTGTCTCTAAACTTGGTTGTGTGAGAAGGCACGGCACATCCACCTATGCCTCCATCTTGGCGGAAGTCTCCCTAGTTGGGTGTTTGAGGCATCTGAGAGGGGACATCGAAGATGTCGCTGTTGGCGATGGGTCTGCAGTCGAAGAGAAGTTTTGGTTTGAGCCAGAAAGTTAGGAATCACCAACACAGATGATACGTTTATCAACACAGATGAATGAAATGTTCCAGGGAAAAAGTAAGGTAGAGAAGTGAAAGGATTTCAGGGGCATGTCAATGTTTAAAGGTTGCAAAGAGCAAGCAAAGGAGAGTGAGAAAGTCCTAGGGCAGTAAGAGAAAAAACACGAAGATTGCTCAGAAGAAGGTGCTGCGCAGAGGGCGTGGCCCATGCGGAGTAAGATGAGGGTCCGCCCCCAACCCCTAAAATAATTCTAAGGTGAAAAGGGGCAGGGCGTGGAGAACAGGATGGGCGAGGATATTTTCTGAGCATGGATGGCCAGAAGAGCCTCAGAGGGGTGGTGTTTGCCCTGGGCCTGTGGATACAAGGCTCAAAAGCTGAAGGCCATTGCTAGGGGAGCAGCTGGGAGGGACATGGAGGTGCGAAGTCCTGGAGGGAGTGGTTCAGTTCAACACAGACCCTCAAGGCAGATGTGCCCGTCACTGTCCAAGGCAGGCAAACTCCCAGGAGGGCAGAGGGCACTCCTGTTGGAGTTTCCCTGACGTGTGTGTGCTCTGGTGCCTTCCCTCCCTTCCCCCAGGAGCCGGGGCTCTGATGGTCCCCGCACTGGCTCAGGTGGGGCAGGGAGGGCTGGACACGTCAGTTCCATTTTCCTGAAGGGGTATACCGTCTGAGACGGTACTTCTGGGAGCCTTTTCTGTCCTCGGATCGGATTTTGCCGGGGTGCTGGGAATAGTTGTATTACATTTGTGTCGTGGCTTTACATCATTTCTTTGACTGCCCTGGACCAGCTGGGAGTCACCTAGCGAGTAATATTTATTTGACACTGTGTACATTATGTTACAGGATGATGCAAAGCAAGCCAACAGTGACATTCCTCTTGGTAAGTAATTTGATTTTATTTTAAAAGTCAGCCATTTCCCCCTCACCTCACACATTCCTCCCAGATCTTTCCAGCCTAATAAAAGTAAAGAAACTCTTTGGGTATGCAAAAGTGGAGTCCTTTCAGTATTGTTTAGAATAGCAAAAAAAAAAAAAAAAATGTGGTGCAGCCACTTTGGAGCGCCCTGCAGCTCGGACGGAGAGCTCCTCGTGTTCCCGGGACATGGAATAATCTTTCCAATAGATGAACTGATCCTCATTTGAAGAAAGCAAATTACAGAAGAATGTGCATAGTAAGCTAGCATTTGTATCTTGCATATGCATCTGAAATAGATCTGAAAGGATGCACAAGAGATTGGGTAGGAGGACGGCCTTGGGGAGGGGAGAGGAGAGAAGGGACTCAGGGGACCTCTGCCTGTAAACCAGAGCTTGCATCACTTTAGAATTGTACGCCCATCAAGCCTGAGGAAAGGCCTGGAAAGAAGCAACCAGCCCTTTTCAGATTCAGAGGCTCTGTGGCCTCCACAGGCTGGAAAGGAAGAGAATCAGAGCTGCTGGCTCCCCCAGGCCCCCGCTGAGGTGACAGTGAAACAAAGGGGCCAGGTGACAGCAACACAAAGGAGAGGGCACCCTGTGGCCAACCCCATCACTTGCAGCTGAGCCCTGTGGTGCAAGGGCCTAGAGGGGGCGCAGGGGCTGCATCTCAGCAGCCTTCCCAGAAGGGAGGTGAGTGGGAGGGGCCACACCACAGCTTCCCCTGCCGCCCCCACTGCTGTGGTCTGGGAGGGTCCAGGGAGTTCCCGTGGAGACAGAGTTGAGGGCGGTGACAGCCGGGCCCATTGCCATGGTTGCCAGTGCATTGGGCCATTGGGCCATGGTCCCCGTACAGTACGTGTGGACCCATCACCCGAGCCACCACAAGGAGGAAGTCCTCTCAAGCAGTCCCAAGATGGGTCACCACTGGCTGTGGGGGTCAGCCCTCTACCACCAGGCCACCACCGTTTGCCACCCAGACTTCTTGCAGCTCAGCTTCTAGTCACCCCAAGTTTTCTTCTTTCCCTACTTTCCTCAGACACTATGAGGCTGCTTGTCATGAACTATAAAAATAGAAGGAAGAAGCCTCATTTTATAGATGGCAAACGCACACAAAACCGAGGCCCAGAGGAACATGGGACTTGGCCAGCGTCATACGGTCAGCAGCTGTGCGGGTGTCAGGAGCACGGCCCCTGCTCCAGTTCGGGTGCTCGGTCACCCAGCGGGTGTTTTTCAATGCTGGCCAGGTGCTGGGCTCGCGGAGTCCATAGTGGATTAGACACACACCTGTCCTCGGACGTTACAGGCTATTGGGTACCACGACCACCACGTTCCAAAATAAAACAGTAAGTGTGTCTCTTAGGTTGACCTTTGAAAGAATCCTTGCTTTAAAACAAGGAGCAAAAAGCTGGGGCAGCTGGAATGTACCAGACCAGAAGCAGACGACCCTGGTCATAATTTTATATCCTCTGTTGTCTGTGACCTTGGGAAAGTCACTCTTGACTTTAGTTTTGACATCTACAAATCATCTCTTACTGCACTGATCTGACTGTTACATTTATGTGTGTGTGGCCCACATGTCATTGAGAGAGATGTGTGATGTTTTGCCACGAGATAATCATTTCTTTGGGGCATGTTCTGTTTTGCAGATCGCTTGACAATATCGTACTGCCGGAGCAGCGGTCCCGGGGGCCAGAACGTGAACAAAGGTGCAGGGTGCCTTGTCGTTCTCTTTAGCTGGAAGAGGGACTTGAGGATGCTGTGTTTACATTCATGGGGAATGAAGAGCTTTTTTTTTTTTATAGCAGAAGCTTAAATAAGCCAGTTTATAATAATCCTGTTTATTCCTCTGAATGTGGCCTGGTTCTCAGACTGAGCCATGGGTTCCGGAACTAGGGCCAGCTTGTGAGTCGAAACAAAGTGGAATCCCAGTGGCAGTCGGCAGCCAGCCCTCGGAGCAGGTTGCCCGCGTCCTTGCAGAGCCCGTCCCCCTGTACTCAGCACCCAGTACACTGTAAGAGGAGTACTGGGCTTTAGTTCCTGGAAGTTTACTTCTGTGCAGAAGTGCCTCACTGTCTTGCAGGCTCATTCCACGGCCAGCTTTGCGTCCCCAAGTTGACAGGAAAGAAACACACCCGATTGGGTTTCTCACCTCCCTTTGTTTCAGGATGGTCACCAGCCACCCGGGTGCAGAGCCTGCCTAGAGCCTCTCGGTGACCCATGCTCCCTCCTCTCTCTTTCCAGTGAATTCCAAGGCTGAAGTCAGGTTTCACCTGGCCACCGCAGACTGGATCGCAGAGCCCGTGCGGCAGAAGATAGCGGTCACGGTAGCGCCAGCCCCCGTCTCTTTAATCCCTCCGTTCCCTCCGTTGCTTTTATTGTTTTTATTTTTTAAATGATTTCTTTTTTAGACAGAGGGGAAGGGAGGGAGGGAGAGAAACATGGCTAGGACGCCTCTTATTCATGCCCTAGAGGTGCACCCTGACCAGAGTCAGAACCTGCAGCCCAGGCACGTGCCCTGACGGGGAATTGAACGTGCGACCTCTTGCTTTGTGGGGTGCCATCTAACCAACTGATCCACACTGGTCAGGGCATCCCTCAGTCGCTTTTAAACCTTTACTCTGTAGAACTCTGGTTTGGCCTTTGTTCCCTGCAGCATAAAAATAAGATCAACAAGTCAGGAGAGCTGATACTGACCTCTGAATGCAGCCGCTACCAGCTCCGAAATCTGGCAGATTGCCTACAGAAAATTCGAGACATGATCGCTGAAGCCAGCCAGCCAGCCAAGGAGCCCTCCAGAGAAGATGCGGCACTATGGAAAATCAGGTACCAGGAAACGCCCCAAACTTCTCCTGACGGGGAGCACCGGGCAGAAAGGGGGCAGGGTCGAGTCCACAGCCTGCCAGCAAACCTCACCCCGTCCTCCAGGGTGGGGGCAGACTGACCTGAGCGGAGACCTGGGAGCCGGCAGCTGCCGATCCAACTGCTCAGCTTCCCGCCCAGCCACCAGTTCTTCTCACCACTTTGAAAAGCGCTGACTGGGCCCCTGGGCCTGACTGCACTGGTTTTGTTTGCAGGGTAGAAAACATGAATCGGGAAAGGCTGAGAAAAAAGAGAATCAGTTCTGCCGTCAAGACGAGCAGGAGGGTAGAGGTGGACTGAAGTCATCCTCCGGCGCTGGCAGAGACCCTCTGCAGGGCACCAGGCAGCCGGCCAGAGCTTCAGCGCCGCCAGGAGACCGATGCGTTGTTGGCGGTTGCTAGCACTCGTCTCTCTAACCTTGGAGCCATCCGAGAACGCTCACTTGGGATGCGGGCACTGGCTGAGACCGTCTTTGTAGGCAATTACACATTGTCAGACCTTGATTACCCATTTAATATGTGAGCTGCAATAAAATTCTAAATACAGAATGCTTCCATTCTTCGGCATGCTTCAGAACAGAATTCCTGCCTTCCTCTCGGTTGAAATCTGCCTACATGGCACAGCCTGGGGGAGATGGTGATGAGCGAGGTGCCTGCCTTCGAGGAGCGCGCCATCGGTTAGAAGCTGAGGCAGGGAGTGGGCATCAGAGCTGGGCTTCACAGAGGTGCAGAGTTTCAGTCAAGACCAAGGGGCACCTGGCTGGTGTAGCTCAGTGGATTGAGCGTGGGTCTGTGAACCAGGGGATCGTGGTTTGATTCCCAGTCAGGGCACATGCCTGGGTTGCAGGCCAGTTCCCAGCAGGGGACACAGGAGAGGCAACCACACATTGATGTTTCTCTCCCTCTCTCCCTTGCCCACTAAAGATAAATAAATTAAATTTTAAAAAAAGACCAAGGGCAGAGCACGTGCCACTTGAAGGTAACAGTATGGATAAAGGGAACCAAAGAAAAGGCTGCGGGGTGGCGAGACAATGAGGAAGCTGTCTGAATGGCGGGTTTGTGCAGGGGGCTCATGGGAGCTACCTCTGGAAAGGGAGACAGAAGCTCAGTGGAGATTCTCAAATTCAAGTTAAGCAGGTTAACTAACCCTAAGCAGGTTAGGTTTTAAGAAATGTAGGGAGCAGGGAACCACCCCAGTGGGAAGGAATGTCGTGTTAGGTGCTGCTGTGGGCCCTGGCCCTGCGGTTGTGGGAGTAGGAAAAGAGTGGTTTGGAACTAGAAGGGTTTTCCAATCCTAGGGGTGGGGAAGCACGCAGGCCAGCGTTAAAGTAGATTAGCATGTACGAATCCCATAGAACGTTCTCTATCATTTTTATCTTGTTCACTCATTTGACAAACAATGCATTGCAACGCTTTAAATGCAGTGTAATAGACAGTAGTAGTGCATACACCATCTGTGAGCAGGGACCTCATTCACGTGAGTGTAAACAAAGGGGGAAAGTCTTTGGTAAATGACTTAGAAAATGTAGATGTGACAGACACGGTCCTAGTCCTGAAGAGAGCCCTCTGGGGGTCACGGAAGTATGACATTCAATAGTCCACATGGCCCTGGGTGAGTTCCCCGGGGTATCAGCAGTGAACAAGTCCGTTCTTCCAGAGATTTAACATCCAATCAGTGAAAAGAAAAATGGATTCCTGTATGGTAACATGACCTAAAATGTGGTCAGTAACATAAGAAAGGTCTAAAGAGATTCTGAGAGGCAGAGAAAGAATCAGTTCCAGCTGGAAGGCCGGAGAAGATGCATTGCAGGTGGGCCTGACGGGGGGGGGTGTTGGGAAGAGCTGGCCGTGCAAGCAAGGTAAGAGCTCGTCACCCGGAGGCTCCAGTGTGGCCAGGGGCCATGCCTATCGCTGGGACTGGGAACTGGAGCACTGAGAATGGGCTCCTAATCCAGACTAACTACCCTGGGCAGCTCCTGCCCTCCACCACCCGCAGTTACGGGGCCGTGGGCACACTCCTTGGCCTCCCAGTTTCCTGTCTGTAAACTGGGGATGATGTGATCAGTGGCTACCTCTTCAAGATGGTATGGGACTTCAATGAATAAATAAATAAATGGTTAATGGCACTGAGTATGTGCTCAGGGAATGGTGATTAATAGCACAGTTTGGCGGGGACCCAGGGGATGAGGAGCTGCAGAAGCCACATCTGCCACATTGAGTGGGAGCCAGGTCTAGAAAGTCCTTAAATGTGACAGCCAAGACATTCAGACTCTACCCCTACAGGGGCTGTCAGGGGAAGATTAATCTGGCCATGAACGGAGGAGGAAAGACCGCAGGGAAGTGAGCAGAGGTTGCTAGACTGACCCCGGTGAGCAGTCAGGGCCCCATCCTGGAACTGGGGCAGGGACAGCAGGGATGGAGAGAAAATAGATGCAAAAGGATTATGGGGACAGAAAATCGGCCCACGTGGAAAGGGAACAGGTGTGTGACGTGGGTGATGCTGTGCACTGAAACAGGAAAGTCACAAAGGGAGCAGGCCGGTAGGGCGGTTGGGCGAGGAGGGTGGGTTTGCCTGGGAGAGGCTGACTTTGTGGGGCCTGTGAAGGAATGCCCAGGTACCGATGCCCAGGAGAGGGGACGGAGCCTGCAGCTGGGAGTGAGGTTGCCTCTGGGAGGTGCTGGAGGCAGGAGGACAAGCAGAGTCTGGGTACCGGCAGCAACAGTTGAGGAGGAGGTGCGACAGAACCCAGAGAGACCTGCTCAGACAGTGTCAGCAGGAAACTGGAGAAGGCACCCCTGTGGGTGACCCTGAGCAAAGTGCTGGCCCTCTGAGGCCCTCAGAAGACAGGTAGCATGTGAAAGGACCTGGAAAAGCATTCCGTAAAGGAGGGGAAGAAGAGGTACAGAGAAACAAAACAGGCCCAGGGATGGAGAGTAGAGCCCAGGGGTAGGACCTATTCTTTTTAAAAGCTGAGGGCAAAAGAATGAACATGGATGAACCTCATGGGCACAATCTTGAGCGAAAGAGGCCAAGCTACCAAAGGGTACGATTCCGCGTATACATAGTTCAAAACAAGGCACAACTGCTTAACGGGGATGCAAATCAGGAAAGTAGCTGGGGGAGGGGGAGGTCCGACGGGAGGCTGGGAATGTTCTCTCTCTCATGGGCTGTGATGTGTGCACTTTGCCGCATGAACGTTACACTTCAACAAACAAACTGATTAACTGAAATGAGGGCAGGAGACGGGAGCCAGGTCGGTTAAACTGGTCTTGCTGATGTGAAGGAAGGAGGCGGGTTTCTGCAGACTCCGCGTGTTGGAGAGAGAAACAGGAGCGTGTCCAAAGCGCCCTGTGCTCTGAAATGTGGAGGGTGGGGAGGCCAAGTCTCGTCGCAGGCCTGACCGGGATGCGTGCTGCCTGCCCTTGCCTGAAGCTTCTGCTGCCACATCTTTCAGATGTGCGTGGGTTCTAATAGTGGATTTTCAACGTTGCAACATTTAAAAATGTTTTTATTCTTTATTCGTGCTATTTTTTCTGTAAGTTTTAAAGGAACAAAATATTAGGGTGAAGTATTTATTTGGCCGATATATTTCTTTTCTGCATATTACACGTTGGCATATAACAGACGTGTGTGTATACAGGGAAGGAGTTGCTCCTCCTGGTGGTCCCTTGTCTCGTGATAGACTTTCAGGGTTTAAGTTTCAGTATTCGTGATTGAAGCTAGCCTGTTCTCGTTCACTCCTTCCACCACTTTTCCCTAAAACACCTGATTTCCTGTCGACTCAGTAGCAGACACTATGGCTGGAACCTCCGTCTTCCCCGCCGCGGTCCGGGTGTTCGGGAGTCCCAGCCCTGCTGGGCTTCCTCCCCGCGTGGAGGCTGCAGGTCGGTCCGCTCGCCTCCCGGGGCAGCCTCTTCCCGCCTCCTCTCGCTCGGTCGTGGGCTCCGGGGGCCTCTTCACGCCCACCCTTGGCTCCGTATCCTCGGTAAACGCGTGCCCCGCTGACGCCTGCACCGGAAGTCTGACGTCTACTAGAGGAAGAGATATGCGGGGGGGAGCTGCGGGCCCCAGTGGCCTAATGGATAAGGCACTGGCCTCCTAAGCCAGGGATTGTGGGTTCGAGTCCCACCTGGGGTAAAACTCACATTTTGTCACTCAGAAAAACTCACTCCGTCGTGTTTGTTCCACTCGAGTCGCCCCCAGACCCCTGTGCACGCATGGGAAGGTGGCTGCCTGCAACAGAGCACCATCGGCGACACCCCCTCTGTCACCTTTCCTGCAACTCAGGGGCCGATGCTAGACAGCAACCCTGCAAACGGGAGGGGCTGCGAGGAAGGCGGCGGGGGCGGCGGCGGCGGGGGTGGCGGCAGCGGGGGCCCAAGTCGCGGGGAGCGGAGCCCCCGGCTGTGGCTCGCAGAGCCAAAAGTATATCCCCGGCGAGACCACGTACGTCACACGTCACCCCAGGTGGGACTCGAACCCACAATCCCTGGCTTAGGAGGCCAGTGCCTTATCCATTAGGCCACTGGGGCGCGACAAAATGCGGTGGCCACGCGGCGCCTGGTAACGCTCAGAACCGCGGGCACAGGCCCCAGCTTCCCGCGCCCGCGGTCGGCTGCGCGCTCCCGGACGGCGCCGGGGCGGGGTCCCGCGGGGCGGCCGATGGCCGCAGGGTACGCGGCCGGCCGCGCTGAGCGAAAAGCTAAAGAGAGAGAGGAGACGATCGGGAAGGGCCGGCCCAACCCCAGGGTGGTCCGCTGGCGCACGTCTTAAGTTCTCCGAAGACAGACGTCGGTGGACAGAGGGACGAGGAGAGGGGACGCAGTCTCGTCGTCCGCGGGCCACTTGGCCAAAATGGCACCGACCACGAAGGGACTCGAACCCTCAATCTTCTGATCCGAAGTCAGACGCCTTATCCGTTAGGCCACGTGGTCCTAGCGTAGCGAAACCAGCACCACGCAGTCCAGGTACGACTTCTCTGCGGGTGGTGGCGCCCACTGCAGGTGCCACAGGGTACGACACTGGCTCGGAGGAGACGGAGCGAGGATGCGATCTACGCCGTCGATTTCCGTGCCAGCGCGTCCATAGATCCCTAAGGGAGCATCGCAGTAGAGCTGCGTCCCCGTGGACTTTGCGTGGCATAGCGAGTCGAGTGAAACAGACAACTCCGGCTCAGGAAGTCGAAAGTTCGGATTTCCTGTTCCCGTGCACAGTTCTCTGAGAGGACAGCGCAGTGGTATCACAGCTGAATTCCAACCTTTGCTTTTCCTACCAGAAAGTTCGGTGTGATGTCATTACGCGGCCCTGCGGCCTCACAGCTGAAAAGGCAAGTGATCATCTTTTACTTATTTACTATCTCCATGGCCTAGTGGTTAAACCGGTGGTTCAAAACGCCTGTAAAAGTGAGATAGTATGTAAGATCGAATCCTGTATAAGGTAGTTTCTATAGTACCCACATAAAACAAAAATGGTGCAGCTCATTTCCTTTCCAATAGCACTGCAGTTATTTTGCCTTTTCTTTTTTTCCTTTTGATCATGCCGGACTACA